CAGCCTGTCATTCCGCCGAATCTCTATTCGTACTATATGTTAATGAACATGATAGCCTGAGGTCCCCAGGTAAACAATCAGTAAACATTCGTTAAGATTTGTAATCAATTATTGTCTAGAATCCAGCCAAACTCTGGTTTGAGTACCTTATCGGACCTTATTTGGACGGACATTACCTGAACGGACATAATTATGAACGGACATTAATATGAACGCTAGAAGGCAATCAAAACCATCAAAAATCCGAATTTTTTCTTTTTTTTTTACGTTTTTTAAATATTAGCAAATGATTTTTAAATCCATTTTTCATACAGTAACTGTAAGCAAGAAAAGCAATCTTTAATCAGTGAAAATGTTAAAATATGTGTACATGATCATTATTTAATATCACATGTCTTCTTCATCAAATTGGTTTTCGTGCAGGGAGATATATCCCGGTTTGTTCTCTACTTTATCGAGATGGGTGGTATGGTAGAAGGTATCGTAGCTGACATAAGCCACCGAAAGTCGCCTATACCAAGTGGGGGCTGGAGATAAAGCTTAAGCTGTACTTTAGGCATTCAAGTATCTCTCTAGTAGAGCAGTTGGGATCGTTCATTGCTCGGTATGACTACGAGTTGGACAGACAATCAGTTGTAAGAGAAAATGTGGAGGTAGAAGAATTGCGGAAGATCAACTTCAAGATAGTGATCATGCAATAATGTGATATTTACAATTCAGATTGTTAAAATTTATATTTAATAATATTATTAAATTTTACCTTGTTTTTATTGATTCAACGATATAGTTTAGTCTAATGATAGCTATTGAAATTGACTGACATTAAAAAGTTGTCATATTCTGGACAAAAAGTTCGAAATGGAAAAATTTAAAAAAAATTCAACGGACTTTAACTTGGACGGACTTTATTTGAAAGGACATTAAAGTGAACGCTAGGGCCTCCAGCGTTCAAGTAATGTCCGTCCAAATAAGGTCCGATAAGGTAATATCCCAGTTCATTTTGTAACGGAGTTTTATATTAACAGGAAACGATGTAACAGCTAGTCGATATATTTTAATTTTGCCATGGGGTGGCAAGTCCCCATACATCGTGGTCCGGTAGTTTCATTGCGTCCTAATATATGAACAATTTCTAAGTCGGACTTACAAACAATATTTTCAATTTTGTCATCAATGTATGGTTGGAAACTATAAACTGGAAACACTGATCCTTTTCAGTACGTCATTACTCAATACTCTCCAGTCTTAATGTAAGTAGACACTACGCAATAACACATCATTATCAAGGATACATGTTTTCAGGAATTTTTATGAAGAAAAGTGAACGATTTGAGAGCTACAGCACCTGATCACTTATCAGGAGATATTGAACTTAACTGCAGCATTTGCAACAGCCGAAGTATTTCGGTTCGCTCACGACTGGTTATGCTTGTGGATTGTTTCTATTTTGTATTTGTGTCCTGATTACAACAATCTACTATATAACTTTACCATTTGTATGAGAATCCACTGTTTCTGTGCATGTAAAATGATGGAAATTATTAAAGTACACAATGACATAAGGGACTGGGAGTGAAATGATATTTTAACAACCAATTTAAGTGAATACCGAGCTCGATATTGTTCATTAAGGGGGGGGGGGGGGGGGGGGGGGGGGGGGGGGGGGGGGGGGGGGGGGGGGGGGGGGGGGGGGGGGGGGGGGGTTCAGCCTGATTTTTTTGTGAAACTTGGTTTCGAGATAGCAGTTGACCAACAAACTACGACTGGTGACTGAACTTTTGAGGGGGTCCCGGACCCCAACCGCCAAACGGTGCCCGCGGGGCAGCCACGCCCATATTTGGTCCAAATTAGGCCCAATTTAACCAAATACCCTGAACATGCCCAAAATCCAGATTTTAGGTGCTTTACTTGTAGCTAGTGGTCCTCTGAACTCGTATATGAATTTTCATCAAGATTGGACAAAAATGACTGAGTTATGAGCCAAAAACCATATGACCATATTTGGGCATACGCACCAAATTTGATCGATTTTGGCCCATAAATTGGTCAAATATCAATATTTTTGAATGAAACCAACTTTATATGGAAGGTAAGCCTATACTACACATTCTCTATGATTATCAGCTCAATATCTACCTAACTGTGGATTCTGTGTTCAAATAATTGCAAAAAATGAACAAAATCGCCCATATCTCAGTTCGCGATATTTGCAAAACTGACTTCGCTCAAAACAATAGAACTCAATAGGGTTTCAATATTTTTTCATGAAATTTTCAGAATCAACGTAGAATCGCCTCATGACCTTAAGTTTTGTATTGGAATTTTGAGTTAGGCCTTTAAAAAAATTTGGCGGCCAAATTCTGAAAAATGCCCGGCAAATTTCAGAATTTGGCCGCCAAATTTTTTAAAAGGCCTAACTCAAAATTCCAATACAAAACTTAAGGTCATGAGGCGATTCTACGTCGATTCTGAAAATTTCATGAAAAAATATTGAAACCCTATTGAGTTCTATTGTTTTGAGCGAAGTCAGTTTTGCAAATATCGCGAACTGAGATATGGGCGATTTTGTTCATTTTTTGCAATTATTTGAACACAGAATCCACAGTTAGGTAGATATTGAGCTGATAATCATAGAGAATGTGTAGTATAGGCTTACCTTTCATATAAAGTTAGTTTCATTCAAAAATATTGATATTTGATCAATTTATGGGCCAAAATCGATCAAATTTGGTGCGTATGCCCAAATATGGTCATATGGTTTTTGGCTCATAACTCAGTCATTTTTTGTCCAATCTTGATGAAAATTCATATACGAGTTCAGGGGATCACTAGCTACAAGTAAAGCACCTAAAATCTGGACTTTGGGCATGTTCAGGGTATTTGGCTAAATTGGGCCTAATTTGGACCAAATATGGGCGTGGCTGCCCCGCGGGCACCGTTTGGCGGTTGGGGTCCGGGACCCCCTCAAAAGTTCGGTCACCGGTCCTAGTTTGTTGGTCAACTACTATCTCGAAACCAAGGTTCACAAAAAAATCAGGGTGAACCCCCCGCCTTAATACATGGCAAGTTAGGGCGACGGAGTTGTATTTATAGAAGCAATATAATATGATATAAAATCAATCAGGCTGAGCTGAAAGATCCATTAAGGCCATCCATGTGATTACTCAATACTTATAGTTATATATGCCATGACGGGACTCCAACAAAATCGAATAAATTTATTATATATATACAGCAAAAGTCGCGTCGACCGCATTTCATTTATTGATTTGAATTCTATCTGATATGTGTCAATGCCGAATGGTTTATTGAGGTTAGCATTTCAACACGTGATATCAATAACGGATTGATCTATTAGCAAACCCTCATTTTAAGTGAAAACGGCAGGTTACGGCAATTTTCATGTCAGCACGTATCAAAGTTGACATATTCATTATCGATATAGTTTCCTATCGCATCGATTCATTTTCTCGTATTGAAGGAGGAGATGATCATTGATCAATAAACTTCAACTTCAAGTATAACATGCTTCAAGTTATTATATTTTCAATATCCTCGTGATTGCGAAATTTTGGATAAATTTTAGTTTCAACTGTTGTTAGCGTCATTATTGCTGTTCAGGGCAAATAGAGATCAATTAGCTTTAAATTCGAATAATGGAATCCTTTCAAAATCAAGCATCACAAGATTAGAAGCACTTTAAAATGATATTAGCCGAATCGTTAACAGCAAATTAATGTTTTACATTTTCGATCCATATGTTTGCTTGAAAGTACAGTGAAATTTTTGACCCCGGACCAAACATAATATTAATAATAATAATTACCGTTAGAAAGGAAAATTTTCCAAAGTTTAAAAAGTTTGGAATCTAAAGAGTCTGTAACATATAGTTGGCCGGAATAATTTGGTCGGAATTATAATAATAATATCGGAAGTTCTTTGTCGGGGGTTAGTCCAGTCCATGAAGATGAATAAGGAAACGTCAAACCACGTGATACTGATATATTAATACAGTGTAGTGCGCAAATTCCGCACAAAATTAAAATCATGAAAAAATGCTTAAATTTTGTACTGTCGACAAATCTGTGCTTAAATTGCACGTGCAGTCAGTGTTTATGATGTTGTGGCACTCACCCTACCTACATCGAGGTTACGCCAAAGACGTTTATATAATGAGGTCCCTCTGGTGTAGGACACGATGTATGTTTCGAAATCAGCATCGAAAAATACATCGAATAATGCTATTTTCACATTCTCACTGAGCATTGCTCAGGGCCCTTCTGTGAAAAATTAACAATCTTTGGTGAGTGATTTAGTGGGACCGCAATTCAGTACGTATATTGTATAAGTTTAGAATTACCCTCATAGAAATTAGAAGGGCACGATGGCTGCATGGCTACTTGAGTTGGAGATGGACAATAACAAAGGTACTGCACATGTTTGAGACAGTAACTTTCTAACATTAGTCTTAGATTACAATAACAATACATTATCATGTATTGTATACAACTACAAGCTAAAATGCAATGCCTGTAAACTACAATATTATGTGATTGTACCTATATAATTACAATGTATCTAATTGTGAATAAAGTGACTCGATTTCAATCTGTTAAGGCATTACGACTCTAAATATATCACCTTCTTTTGTTATTTTATCAATCATCGATAATTAATAGTATTAAAATGTCCTTTCCTGATTTCTAAATGTTTACTTTCTTTTGTCTTTCCAGTGTTTTTGATGTCACGTCATGAAAAATGTTTGACCCTAAACATGGCCATAGTTATGGGCATTGCATGTAATGTGATCGATCTTAATCTTATCTCATTGCACACAGCAGTACCAAGTACTTAAATCTGATAGAGCGCATAACGGTCGATGGTGCAGCGAAAAATTGTGCGGTATTAGGGCAACAGTGCGACTCCGCACCCTTTTCTAAAGCTCGAAAATCATTTCAATTATTCTTAAAAACGATTTCTAATAAATGACATTTCTGGTGCAAATTATTTTCATCCCAATGGCCGATCAAGACTGCTTCTGATAGAGATTATACTTTAGAGTACAATCAAACATCGCATGTGACATTGTATTAGTTATCTTTATAATTCGCGAAATCATAGTGTTTGTAAAATTGTAGTGTTTTAAACTAATTACAACACTACAAATCTATTACATTTATTGAGAATTATGTAACGTAACGTGATGGAAATATTTTAAACGGGCATATCCTGTCCAAACCCAGGATGCACAACATGAAGAATTCGTTGTAACTTCGTTTGAAAAGCATTAATTAATAGTTTACTCCTTATTATCTTCTTATCCTAACTTTGCAGATTCTGATGATTATGAAGTCAAGTTCAAATTTTTCTATCGACTTCCTGTTAAGTAGCAGTACTGCTACTAGCGGTAGTAAATCAGGTGAAGTTACACGAACGGAAATGGCAACAAACCCTTTAGCTCCAATTGAGAGAGATTCTCGAGGGTCGTCTTATCCACAGCAATATGACCTGGTTAGTTTTCTGTGTCAATCATATTCAATCCATGGATCACATCACTAATTATAAGTCACTAATTAGTGACGTGATCTGACCCCTCTTGGGGGCCGGATCAGTTTTCTGACCCAAGGTCTCCCAGTGGGTTAGTTGGTCGAAATGGGGTTTTTTAATCGTTTGATCAGATCCATGAGTACTCAAGTTCAACATTTGTCAAGTACAATGGCGCCGTGTGGGCGTGTGGGCCAGTGGCTGAACTCTAAGTATAGTAGTAGTACTACTACTACTATATCAGTTTTAATTGTATTGTAAATGTATCTCCATTCTAGCTAATAGTATTAGTAATTGACTATTTATGCATCATAATTCTATATTTCTATAAGTATAAGCCTTGTCCTTCAGCGAGAAAACGAACATATAGGATTTACTGGTTTCGATGAGAAGACTGCAAATGAGTTCACAATTCCAGGTATTTCCCCAAACTATTTATCACCGTCTAGATATACTGTGCAGGTACTGTTATAATAGTAGTATGACATGTATGATGTAGTTTACATCCCCTTATAGTTATATTCAATAGGGTTAAATATAACATATTGCTTTATAACGTTTCATTTTGGATACAGTGCAGAAGATCAAAGGAAGATCAAATTATCAATAATCTGCATTTTGTACTGTTTATATATGGATTAATTAGTCCCTATTTTTACTCTATCGGCATAAATACTTTGTAAAACTCAGGATGCGACAATCAGGAGATTCCGCCGCTAGGAAGTTATCTCACTACAAATCAGATGATGTTAATGTACCCAGCCACACGGTTTAACGGACATCATCACGGTTTTAGCCAAGCAGCTTACGATCAATCTGGTTAGCAGCATACAGCTCCTAGTCCTAAATATAATCTGCGGACCTCCGACTTCCTTGTAATACCAAACAATTTAACTCCAAAATTTGGAATATTATTATTCGTCCATTTATTTATTTTATGTTGATTGACGATGTCAATCCACAATCCGTCGAGATCGTTGCTCTTCGAAGCAGAGCAACGAATGCTAGTTTGCGCGGCGCGTCGAAGCGGCGAAGTCCTCCAAATTTTATGTTAAGACTTTTTCTAAGATTAAGACGGAATATCGAATAGGCATTGAAATGACATTATAGCAGAATAGCAGCTCACTGAATTGTTGACACACGTTGCAACTTGCAACCCCTTTTCGTGCGCGAATTGCAGAGTTGGAGCTCATCGAATTTCTATATAACCCTGTTTTGATTCACGATGTCAATCCTTCCTAGCTCGGCGAGGCCCAGTAGTGCATCGCGCTACAAAACCCTGTTATGCGATGTCACTTTCATAGCATATAATAGGGCAGTTATCATTACGTCTCTGAATTGCTTATAGATAATAGTTATTAGTTATCGTTAAATTAGGCCCCCGGCCCCCGACCTCCCCTAATTTATTCATTATTCTGCTTTTATAATATTAGTGCTGCTGAGTGGCTTTGTGGCTTCATGTCACGTACAAATTTAATAGGAATTTTGGTATTATCACTTACTTTCAATATGTCTTAAAATATTGCGACATAATGCTCATTTAGTTGGTCCCATGACTTGATTTCTATTTGTATATAGCATCTAAATCTAATAATGCTTGAGATTCATGACAAATGGAGTAAAATTGGAGCAGAAATAAATTCATATTGATCGATCCTGTCGTGAAACCAGGTATTTAATACAGGTCAGCAAGTCAAATCCAATAGAGAATTGATTTCAGTACTAGACACTTACGTCAACCGGGTGGCGGTCAGAAACCTGGATCCTTACAGACCTCATCCAAGGAAACGGCGCAGACTTAATTCGGTAAAACTAAACCTATCTTCAACTTTTCAATACTTTCAAATCATGCATTCACACATGTCACGTGTCTCATGTGATCTGTGTATTACTGTCTTCGTAATAATTTACTGGGCCGCGCTCAGCCTGTCATTCCGCCTAATCTTTACGTTTATAAACATGATAGCCTGAGGTCCCCAGGTAACGTAATAATATGTAGATGACAAGAGCTCCACTAACCCAGGCCCAGATTCTAAAGCTAGAGCAATGTTACACGGATCAAGCCTACCTGTCAACTAGAGACAGGTATAACCTGGCAAAGACTCTCGGACTGACTGAAACGCAGGTTTGTAGCTTTCGTCTCAGATACCCTATTACATGTATGTCTCATTTTAGTTGTAGAGATCTAGTGAAACATTGAGAGTTGGGACCGAAATTACTATTTCTGGTCACTACAGCTCACTGCCGCATAATAGCGTAATATAACCATATGCATAAAAGCATTGTAATTGTATTGCCTCATTTCTGCTAGTTTAGAACTGATATTACGCGAACATGCTTCATTTCAGGTTAAAATTTGGTTTCAAAATCGACGAGCAAAGTCAAAACGAGCGAAGGCGGATCTCGATAGAAGCAAGAGTCATGGTTGAAGTGGAGATATTAGGATGGAAAACCTCCACTGTTAATCAGACATGCCATAATTATCATTAGCCTGTGTTGGGTAAAATCATAAGATAACGGTTCCATGTTCGACATTCTTGCTGCTTTGTTTGTACTATATATGGTGATCTCTCTTAATTTTCCATTGTCAGACGTCAGTACACACAAATCCGTCTGAAAATGGATTTGTCGACACAAGAAGCTTTTCAGGATTGTTGAGGGTTTTGAGTTCCACTAAATAGTTAAAAATAGATAATAGTTTATATTTAATAATAAATGTCCTTTTAACCAGACCAACGTTTCCACTATTATGTGTGGATTTTGTTTTTCAAGATGCTTTAGATATTTGTTTAAAATAAAATGAACAACTTCTTTTCACTGAATTATAATGTACAAAGCGAAAATCAACATGATGTACGGTCTTACACAACCATCGGAAACGTAAAAAGTTTTGATGAAAATCCAATTATAACTTAAATAGAGGGCCCCGTGAGTTAAATAAATATCCGTGAATCTTCTAATGCTACTTTAAAATGGGTCACGGCTCAGATCTCGGATATAAAATTGGAATAAAAAGCCGAAAGTAGACACTTAAAGTGGGGTAGCGAGCACATTACAAATATCTAATAGGGTTAACGAAATTGTTTTAACAGGATAATATTCCCGTGAAAGAGGTGTACTGTTTAGTTTATTAAGTTCTAAGTTCACAACTTCCTAAATCTAACTTCGAGACGAGAATACATCAATTAAATCCCACTGAAGCAGCATTATTTTCATCACCGGGTGTCTGGTTGACGGGGATTACCGTTTCATCTTTGCGATAGAATCATCTACTTCCTTGTACTTGGTAAAGTTGTTGACGACTCCGTTTTTCGTGATCGATTTATCGTGTCCGGGGACGGTGAAGTGAATCTGTCTGGATCGGATACCATTCCGCCTGGTTCGCATCGCTATGTACGATATAATGACCAGTGCTGCTGCACTTGCCACGGCCTGAATTTGAAAGAGGTGTTAGGTCTTCGGAAAAATATTTGTTTTCTGTGTAGTGTATTAGCGCACTGCACATTAATTATACACATTAATTATACACATTTCAGGAACAAAATCTTTCACCATAAACAATGGTGCCTATCTGATTGTACACTTTCCACAATTTACTTTTTTATGTGGCTGTTACTTATTCCCATTAAATCCCAATTGGTTTATTGATTCCCCTTGTTGGTTCTAGAAATGTCAAATGGTAATTCATCTTCAAAACTTACAAAGAACCAGTAACCAGTAACCAGTAACCAGTAACCAGTAACCAGTAACCAGTAACCAGTAACCAGTAACCAGTTACCAGTTACCGGTTACCAGAGTATCACTCATTACATCAGAATCGTATGATGTGTTGTTTAATTGCATTTATAATTTGTTACGGTAACAGCTGAGATGATCCGATACATCGAACATTAACACTTAATGATTGATCAGCTGATGCTCTCTTCGGTTAATGTTGGCGTAATCTTGTAAGTAAAAGTCTTTCAATTGAATATTCTGTATTAAATATAGTCTTACTAAACGTTGTAAGCAGTCGTTTTAATTAATTTAGAGTATTAAATCTAATTGTTGAATCTTGGCACAGGTAACATAGAGCTAATTAAATCTACCACAAGGGACCTTGTGTCGACTGTCGACGTAGAAAATTTAGATACTCGGTTTGAACGTGTATACATTAACTTCTTGCTAACGACATCACACTGAATCTCAAGGTGCTACATAAGACACCTGGTGGAAACCAAATTGACTAACTCCCTTGCTCCGCATTTGACACTCAACTCTATCTCGAAATCCTGCCCGATTTGACACGTAGCAAGATGTTGTTGCTGCTTGCTTTTCTGTTCTGTACAGCTGCGGGGGACTTGGCAGACCTTTTCGCGTACCATAAGTGCACCAAAGTTAATGGCATATCTGGTGCTTGCAATCTTCGTCTGAATTACTTTACACTTGCAGGTAAGGTGCTGTTCTAGTTTTGCCAAATGCTCATTTCAGATTCTATTTAATTAGCGCGGTTACTGTTGAGTACTTCCTCCAGCTCAATATATTCCCCCGACCCAGGTACTCATAACTCTGGAGCAGGAGCTAATGGGCTGCTGTACTGGTACAGTGGACTACCAGCTCCTAGCTGCCTGGTGCGGAACCAGGACAAGTCAATCACAGAGCAGCTGCAACTAGGGATCAGATACTTCGACCTGGATCTGGCTCACATCTCAGAGAACAGTGGAGATTGGTGGGAGAATGGCCTCGTACTAGCTCATTGTAACGAGAATATCGGCTGTGCTTACTCCCACTCTCTTAAGAGGGCTCTGTTGGAGATTGAGGAGTTCATGGGACAAAACAGGGACGAGATAGTTCTCATACGGTTTAAAGATCACGCGGAAACTTCTAGAGAATACATAAAGAAACATCTGGGTAATGAGATATTATCCATATTCCGCACCTCTTCTAAAGTCAGGATCAACCCTGACTCTAATCCACGTCTGGGGGACGCCATAACCAGTAATAAGAGGCTGCTTATACACACTAACGGTGGTTTCTGGATGGGCAAACCCTTCAATAGTTTGAGTCAAGTAGAATCATTCAGAGGAGTAGGGGCCACATCTTCATGTTTCTCTAAGAAAGAAATCATGGATGTTTTTAAGAGTGATTGGTATCGAGTTACAGACGACTACTTCCCAGTTCAGGTGATTTGGATAACTCAGCAACTGTAAAATTACGAAATTTTTAGATTTTTTAGAAATTCTTATGATGACTGGTTTGTGATCCATAAGAACATCCATTAAAATATTTCAGGTGGACTGGTATTTCACTTTTGGATTGTGCCTGTGGGACTTGGCCGGACTATGTGACGGAACAGAGTTACACACCATTGTACAGATAAACAGGGAGTTAGTGCATGAAGCACATCGACCTATCAACTTAGTTCTTATAGACTACGCAGGTCGAGGAGTCACCAGACTGTCAGAATTTGTCAGGGAAATCAACGAAGAAAATGTCAAGATATTCACTTAATCTATTTTCCAAGTTACAGATAAACTGAGTTTTACTTTGTAAAGAGTAAGGGTTGAGCAGGAAAAGTAATTTAAAGTTGGTCCCAGTTTTAGGCTTTAAGTGTAAAAGAGGTATGCCTTAAAAGTGCATGATTTGCCCTTTAACAGTCACTAGCGATACCAAAATGTAAAAGGAATATTATCTAAATTTTAACTCTAAATAAACAAACCTTCATTCCATACATAGACATTTCGTCCATCCAAGGATGAGCGGTCCAGGCCAGATACTGGATAATATCCTTTGCGATTTGAGACTGGTACGGGATAGTGCCTGGAAATAAAATGAGTCAGTATAAACTCCATATTTGGATAATTCACGTTTCTTTCTTCCAGTACGAGGCAGCAACGAGTTTGATGAGTAATTAAATTGCACAGTCAAAACAAAGCTACATGTTAGAAATCCTTCCTACCATCCTCATAGTCGACAGATTCGTTGTAAAGCTGCTGAGCCATGCCGATATAGTATCCGTGGAAGTAAGGGTTATAAGCCTGCCCCTCTGCTGGCTCAGCCTGACCAGGAGGCACATCTTCGTACCCGGTCAACAGACTAAACAAGTAATCCTCGTTTCCTTCCCGAGCAACATTAATCAAGGTCAGGTCAGGTGGATGGGCGCCATTGTTAGCGAGACGGGCCTTAATCTCGTTATCGTAGGGAGCCGGCATGAAGTCCTGGATGTCACCTTGTCGCTCAATTGCGTTACCTTCATCGTCCACATCCGGATACATGTACTGAGAATTTAATTTACTTAAAATAAAAAACAACGTAGTCTCAATGTTAGGAGGATATTGTAGGTTGTAACAGTGTTGTGCTTTGGAACAATTTAAACTTTACAGTTTATCATATTACCTAATAATAAATACGTAAGACGTAATAAACAACAGTACCTCAGCTGCCATCTCTTTGACCTCCTCCTTGGTGTGAGTCACATCAATGTGCATTCTCCAGTAGAAGTATTGCATACTGTGACATGCCTGACAAACCTCCTTGTAAACTTGGAAACCACGCCGTAATCTGTTGGATTTTATCATTAAAATGCAATACTGAGATTATATGCATCTTAAAGATTAAAATTATAACTGGTTTGAAAAATCTTAAAGTCTCAGAATAAATCTATACTCATTATTTTACAGTATAGAACAGAAATTCAGAAAGAGAATAAGAACTCACGCTTTGTGGTCATACGACTTGTTCCACTCCTTGTGCTCCCAGTGCATGTGCCCGTGAGCAAGCTCTAACTCATCAGCACTAATCTGACCGTCGTTCAGGGCAACTCCAACACTGCACACAGCAGCTCCCAGCAACCCAACAAATCCATAACTCTGAAATGTTGGAACGTTATCAGTGGCGCGAAGAGTGACGTCAATCAGATAGCGGCAGCACGTTAGTTGAAGTAGGATGAATGTATAAACCAACAAGTTTCTGGGACTGGGAGATGAGGAAAGCACAGCTGGAATGTCGAAAATTTGTTCCGGATGTGAGATAGCTGAACTTTACCATGAAGGAGCTACTCATCTTATTTGTCTGTTTTTAATCCTTTTTTAAAAACAACTATGAATGGGTAAGGATAAACTAGGAACTCAGAAGTCGTATTGATGATGGCATGCAAGAAGGCACCTGTCATTTCACGTAACCATGAGTAGAGTCTCATTACCGCGCGTCAAATACGCGCGTAACGTGATGCTAAAATTTCACTCTCGCTACAACTTTACAAACTGTGCGTTTTCCATGACGTAGAGTGAAAATTTCCGACCTTCTAGACATAGGTCTATTTTCGGAGAGAAAAACTCGTTAAAAATTTAAGAAATTCATAGAATCGTGGAATATAAATAATATAGATTGAAAAAACTTGTCGCAAAACATATCTAGTAAAATCGAAATGCTGAATGCTTCATGTATGATTTAATTTTCCGTCGACAGGAACGAATAATTTTCAGAGTTTTGGATAACCGTTAGCTACGATGACTTAAATACCACGTTAAACTCACATAGTTGAATTTGGGACCAGAACCACCTGATCGGCCGCCCTGTCTCCAACCAGAAATACTAGGAAGGAATGCTCTCTGAAAATAAACATGGTTAGCAAGTTAGTCGTATTTACATGACGCTGACTGAAATCTTTTAACAAGATAAAGCAAAGATTGATAGAATGATTTGCATGCCAAGTTGACTTAATATCAGAGTACACTGTATACACTGGTATACAGTATACACTGCACTGTATACACAGTATACACTGGTATACACGAACCGAGGTTTGTGCAAAGTTGCGAGAGGACGTTTGAGCCAACAAGCGGCTACACTGAGATATCAGAGTCATCCTACTAGGAGAGGGTTAGTAAGTAAACTGAATTTAAACTGAAAGTAACAATACAATTTACACGCGCTGAATTCATTTCATGATCGTTTTTCTGATTATTTTACTTTTCTGAAAATCGATGATAAAACAGTTAAATTCGCAAAATTAAGACCAATTTATCCATTACAACAATAAATACTAAAAAGTGTGTCAACTGAAATAGAAAACGCTTCGTCAATATGCTATAATGCATTATGCATTATATCACAAAATGAAAATTATAATAATATAAGAAATCAAGATTTGTTACCAATTTATCAATCTGAATCACTATCTGAATCATCAACTTTGAAAGGATCAAACTCGGTAAAAGATTTTCTGTACTGCTTAACATCATGTTCCTCTTGCTCCTTAGATATTTTACATTCCTTCCAGCTAACTCTCCTGGGCATGTTGAGCAGTTCCTCGATGCCAACACTTCCCTGCCGAACTGAAGAGGGAACCTGACTTTCTGAGAACACAAAAACACCAGTTTATCCTGGTTTTCGAACTCAGCAATGAAGTAATCACTTCCAGGAGGTACCATTTCCTTCCAATCCTCACCAACCGGTATTTCCTGTACCTCTAGGTTATACTTATCAGCGAAGGTATAGAACACGTCCTTAATGTCGTTAACAGAGTATCGAGCAACTGGTACAGCCTGTATCTGCATGTGTGACGTGGACAGACTGCGCTCAAAGAACACTGTCGTTGATTTCTTGTTTGTTCTGTTCAGGGTTCTTAAAGCTCGTTTGAACTTTTCTACGTCTTCTTGCTGGTTTGGTTCCAAGAATTGCTGACATTTAATGTGGTTGGTCGGGACAATCATTACGTGGTCGTTGCTTAATGCGCCTTTTGCAAGCGCTAAATACATCGAAGCACCAACAGATATGACTAAATGTTTCTCAACATTTGGTGATTTCAAACAGAACCAGCAACTCTCTTTCTTCTTCTCCTTGCTGTCAGCACCACCGGGTGCAGCAGTCATCTTGCGCTTGTCACCCGTGCTGTAAAAGTGCTGCTGCTTCAAATCCTCTACTTTGTTTTGCTCTTTTTCAACCTCAATGTAAGGGTTTTCTGTGGTTTCTGCAGGTTGTTTTCTCAGTTCCGCATCAGTAAGGTGTTTCATGGGAACGTAATTTAAAGCATACAACCACTTACTCTTAGTTTTATTTCCTGCACAGTCTAAGGAAAGGAAACGAGTACAATAGGTTGCTTTCTCGTGCAGGATCTTGTGGTTGCGGTAGGGGAGTCGCTCGTAGTACGGGCCTGATACGAAGTGATACCGAGGTTTTATGGTGTTGACAAGATGTGACAACTCAGGAATACCCTCGGGTACTTTAAAATCTGGTTTTTTAACGTACCTCAGGACATCAGAGGGCCACTGACTAGTGATGAGAATATCAATACCATTCATAACGCCTGACTGAGCCTGTAGAATGTTCAGATCTGTTTCAGTGTAACAGTGAGGCTCATTTGACATGCCATCTCCGAACACACCACTGATATAAGCTATAGATAATCCGTTAGTGGTTGTGTACACACCTCTCCTTCCTAAATAAGTCACATTTTCTGTAACCTCCCCGTCTACAATATGCGAGAAATAAGCGGTATGTGACTCTTTTGTAGCACCTAAGATATAAGTGGGAACATCCAGCTTGTAAGTGCCATCTCTGAGACTGAGCCAGGACTCAGCGTTATCTCCTATCACGTGACCAGGTATGAGAAGAAGGTGAAATGGTCCACTTTTTGAGTTGACAGTGTTTACACGTGAACAGAGCTGTTTGAAGTTTCCTTGCACACTTCCAGCCACCAGGATCTTCAGAGTTTCCTTTGACATTCCTTTAAGATAATCTGGGTCAAGGGAATGTGCGTTTGTAGTTGTTGTGTATGATACAAAGCAAACATCGATGGAAACATTTATATTCCAGTCTAGGAAACATGTAACCATACTTGAGTCTTGACTCAAGATGTTGTGAAATAATTTGTAATATAAATTCTGTTATCTTCAATATTTCATTCTAAATATTGTAGAACAGCATGAAGAGTAAATAAATTTATCTAACGGAACTGATGAATAATATTATTGGTTTCATGTAAAGTAAACGTGATAATAAAATCAGAACATAAATATTTACAAAATACAACAATATTGAACAAAATTGTACAATTGTTATCGAGTTCAACATTTGGTAAAATTACATTTCTCATTTTATCAAAAAGTGCCCATTTAAAATACACCTTTAAAATCAGTGTTAGGTATTTGAAATGCTAACATATTGCAACCTAATACCCAGTATCCTAAAAACGTAGCTTCAATTTCAGATCTAAAAAATTAATTATGCAAGGTCTGATCAGTGTACAAAAAGGACCTGAGAGGTTGTAATTCTGTAAGGCTCTGAACGACAAAATAAATGATTAAAGTTCGAACACTGCGATTAACTTTGATTCAGGATTCAATATCAAACTTTCTCTGGTAATCTTCACAGAGTCTAATCGAAATTTATCATATAAGGGAACATCAATAAAATAATTCATCGAATTTCCAAGCGATCAACTATGAAGTTATGTTCATATGAAACAAAGAATAATATCTGTAAGTTTCAGCAAGCCCAGTTCCTATCCAAGTGTTCGGACGAATGCTTCCCTGCTGGACTCCAGGTCGAATACCATCTGTCTGACCTGCTCTTCATCTAGCGTATCTGCTGCAGACAACTTGTCCAGTTCCCCAACCCTGACCAAATTCAACTTGTTAAATACAACTTGTCCAGTTCCCCAACCCTGACCAAATTCAACTTGTTAAATACAACTTGTCCAGTTCCCCAACCCTGACCAAATTCAACTTGTTAAATACAACTTGTCCAGTTCCCCAACCCTGAGCAAATTCAACTTGTTAAATGAGCTACCTTAAGAAAATAATTTAATATATTAAGCTCTTACTCTCTTAGGATTATGACTGGAATTGGGCGGAGTTTTAATTGTGAACCTGATTTTATGTTGAACAATTATTATTAAAGTGTTACATTTCCTTGGTCCTGAGGCTTTAGTTGTATATTTTTCCTTCTCGTAGTTGATGTACTGTGTATTTTGCAATATGCGATAGTCAAAAAGGAAAAAATCGAGTAATACTAAATACTTGGACGTAGAAATAACATAAAGAACTTACCAGAAATATACTTTCTTCGTGCCATCAAAGTCGGACGGTAGGTTACTCATCCGGTCTAGAACATCTGCCAAGCATTTCAAATCGGTGTACAGCTCATCCTTAGCTCTCATATCCATTTGAAGTTTGTCACACAGAGTGATGTACAAAGATATCACATCAGCTATACTCTTGCTGATATTTCCTGAAATGATTTGGATGATTAAATGTTTGGTAGTTTTGGACAGCTGTGCTAAAAAACAGGACACTACTTTAATTATATTATTACATTAATTTAGAATTAAGTTTTGTATTCACCTTGGTTATCCTGTATAGTGATTGGCTTGCCCTCCTCAATTCGCTGTAACGCTGCAGGACAGTCCAAGTAATACTCCTTCATAAATGTTGGTATGTCTGGGTAGGCACTCGATTTAACCAGGTTGAATGCTGCCTACGACAAAATATGTTACACTAAATTAATTACATAATTCACTACTGACAAAGATAATTTTACAGTCCATGTTACAACAGTTCAGTTCATGTACTACAAAATGTCAGATGTATATAAATTAGGAAAGTATTCCAGGCCATAAGACACGGTCCAGTAGTCGTGTTGTAGCCTCCCCCCCCCCCCCTAGCCTCAACAAAGGAAGCTTGCATACTCACGCTGACTTGTGCTAAAAGTTTGGAGCACGCCTCAGTGTATTCTTTAGCTGTAAGAGCATCTTTAATGTAAGCTTTTTCCAGGCACTGTAGTGTTTGGATAAGCGCAAACAAGTCAGCCATGTTGTCATACTTTTCCCTTTCACGAGCATTTCGGAACAACTTCACCTCCTGGCAAGTTTTATATATTAATCTTTTAAATTTCTGTACTGTATGCTGAGTAGCAGACAAGATTAGCTTAAAATAAGTTACTTAGGGTTGAGTGCAGACACAATTTTTATGAATTTTGATGTCATCTCTTAAAAAACAGAGTTTTTAAATACTCCGAAAATTTCGGAATAAATCTAATTTAAAAGCAACAAATGCACAACAAACTAAAATAGCGTCTTTGGTTAAATAGTGATTGGTTTTACTAATTGAAAATGCACCAACCTCATATAATTCAGGTCTGTTTGTGTCGAACCTTCTCTCATGACGTCTGCCACTATTAGCTGAATACATTCCTATACCGCAGAGGAAATGGTTTAACTTCATGAAAATAAGTCTTTTCTAACCAGTACAATGGCAATGGCAAAGTTAACAATAAAATACTGTTTGCATCAAGTTTTTTATTAAAGCTTTAGCTTAAATTATAATCATGCGCTGCAGATAAAAGTAGTTACGGTTAGGAAACTCTTTTGTAGTTTAATGTCAGCTTATGAAAATAGTCAATGGCAGACACTGAAAATAAATTGTTAACATCAAATTCTGAACATAAATTAAAACACACTAAGATCATTATATTAAAAACACTTAGTTGCCAAGAAAACTGATAGGGACTTGGAATAAAGTCTGCTTTGATATTTATGTCACGTCCCCACTAGAAGTCGTCTAAATTCAACAAAAATACTTTGCAGTAACTTTTTTGCATTCCCGCACTGTGTGGTCAAGCAAACGTTTCTATCATATTTGCTTTTAGAAATCGTTTAAACAAATTTATAAAAATTATAATAATTTGAATAATTTAAAAGCTTTGCTCTTGCCCCTTATTTCAGCTACTCATAAAAGATAAAAATTCAAATTTATTTAATGATTATTAATATCTTAATAACGCGAATGGTCCTACAAGAATATAAAAACAACAACAGCAGATCTTTCAATGTATATAGTTAATAGTTATCTCTTTAAAAATTTTTCTTAAATTTCTTATTATTATACTCTTATCAAATTAATGAAGTATGATTAACTGTATGTCATTATCTGAAAAACAAATTTTAATGTTGGTAATTTATGCCTGTTATGATGAATTTATAACACTTTTACGAAATCTAACATTTTCAAGCACATTTTCTTACAACCAGCGCAGATCTATGCCAAGTAAAAATAGTGAAAAAACCGCCAGTACACTCAATGATTGCAATATAATAAGGAATCACTTTATATTTAAAACATCTTAGTCAACTTTTCTGTTCCTTGCTTTCTCTGTAGGTGGAACAGCTGCCTGATCAGCTACAGTTTCTTCTCTGTCCAAACCAAACATGGCCCTAAAAACAGGCATTTTTGATAGAAGCAGCTTCCATAGGACAAACCACGCTGAAAAATGGTTTATACAAATTATTGATAGGGAAGTACAAACGAAGTACAAAATTATAGTACCGCAAATTATTTAAATATAGGGCTCACCTTTTGATAAACAAATCATTCTGTTACCTGAGATTATGAAGATAGCAAGAACGATGAGAGATCCCAAAATTGAGGCAGCAGAAACAGCTATCAGATGGAGATCCATTTCATACTTTGAGCAAGGGCACTCTCCAATGGATTAACTACATGCCATGGTGTATCTCCTAAATTATGGAAACAATTAATAGAAGTTTAAAGTGATGTTATTATTATTATCATCAAATCTAAAATAGTTAATAATTTAATTAATTATTAACAGGCCCCTTAATATTTTTTCGATTTTGCTAATTAAAACAGATTTGTCGGAAGTTAATTTCTCAAGGTCGTTAACACAATAAAATATTTTGACGAATTGAAATTAAATAGATACCATGTCGCACAGGAACAGTATGATTAAATAATATAAAATTCACTCAAATCTTCTGACTTCTCATGGCATGTCTTTCTTTCAAAAAAAAAATAATAATAATAACTAAAAATGTATACATCGCTTTATAGCCAAAGAGAACTCAAAATCTAAAGATTCAGTTCAAGCCATCTAAAGCGACTCATAAACAATGAACATGTACATAAGAACTTAGCAATTTATGAAGTATGCTATTTTATGAAACTTATATGAATACTTTTTCAAAAAGATGAGTCTCTTTTTAAACAAGGCAATATCAGTCAATGTTCTCAATTTATAGGGAAGCTCAATGAAACGAAAAGTTTTTTCAATGAAACGAAAAGTTTTATTTTACATTCCTTTAATCATAAATAAAATAAGAGCTTAAACCACGAATTAGTTAGCTAGAAGTAAACTTGAGGAAATATTTTTGGTGATTGTATATAATTATTTAAAAAACTTTATTTGGTTGTTAGTATTTTTATTATGGTACCTAAGTGGTTGAATTTAGTGAGACAAGGTCAGTTTCTCTATTATCTTAGAAAAATTTCTACTTTACAGTAGGCAATGCTGAGTGGCAGGAATGAGGGACCAAAACGCTTGGGGCTAACAATGGCCCATTTACAAACCACTTCAGACATGGCAATGATGTCATTTATGCTTAATTCGTCTGAAACTGACCCTACTGCACTTGTAACATTCTATAAAAATCTCTTCTAAAATAGGTATAAAAATGCATAACTCAAAACACACAAACAAAATGTTTATAATCCTTATATAATAAATTTCTATAGAACTTTTAAATTTCTATAAAACTAATAAACCTATATATATTCATTTTGCACCCAGAGAAAGATGTGATCACAGAGGTAGTTTCGATATTATGTTCATGACAAGGTATGGGGCTGCTGCAAGTTATATTTTGCTAAGATATTACCGCTTTTTCAAGCTTAAGTAATCTAGGCAAGGTCAATTTTAAAGTTTTTGAATTTTGTCGAACGCTGTTTAAGGCTAAGTTCCAGTCATTTGGTTCTCCTTCCTTTTGAGTGTGAGTGATGGTGATTCTTATGGATGATTTGAGGTGATTGGGCTTATAACAGGTGAATGTAGTTAGCATGAGATTTTGTCGTACTGTATTCCATATTGTCCCTGCTCTGTATATGTAGCTGTCTGATGGTTTAGGTGTGAGAATGAGTGTCTCTTTGCCAAGTCTGCCAGATGTTTCAAAGAGGGAGTATAGTGATATAGGGGTTCTATATTTCAAGACCTTGAAGATGTCATTAATACAATGGTAGAAGTACAGATTATGCACATTCATGATTTCATGAGTGTTGAAGAGGGGTTTTGTATGCTCCTTTCTGTAGAATTCCTTGCCCAAGATTTGCTCCCCGTAGGGTCTGCATCGTGCACTAGTTTTAAATTTATCCAAGTATGCTTCTTTATCTCCAAACATTATGCGGGCACACATTTTCTGTGCTTTGAACAGAGGTTCAAGTTTTTTGTTAGATGCCCCTCCCCAGACAGTTATACCATATGCAAGATAGCTTTCAAACAGAGTGTGATATAGATCTTTATGGAGTGATGTGGGAATGTTATTTCAAACGGAGGGTCCACAGTAGCAAAAACTTCTCTGAGCTGTTTTACTATAGTTTGGAGCAGGAGGAACATCTAGGAGGAAATAATCTTGTTCAGTTCGTAGTACACTGCACATACAGGTTGACTCTTGATGTCAATGCATTTGGTGATATAGTCTGGAGCTATGTTGTTGACGCATTTGAATACGGCGCGGTTAGAGCAATTTTATACTCTATTCGTTGTCTTATTGGAAGAAAATGGGCCTTTTTCAGGAATGGAGTAACACTGTCCCATTTTTAATAGCTTTTCTACCAAACAAGAATCGAACACAGGAATTTTGTACTTTCTGGAGTTTCTTAAGGAGAAAATCAGGTAAGCCATTATATAGTAGTCCATTGCAATAGTTTTTCTACCAAACAAGAATCGAACACAGGAATTTTGTACTTTCTGGAGTTTCTAAGGAGAAAATCAGGTAAGCCATTATATAGTAGTCCATTGCAATAGTCCAGTTTTGAAAAGATCAAGCAGTGGACGAGCTGTCTTTTTAGGTCATAGTTAAGCTTTGAGCCTATGACTCAAAGGTTCGTCAAATGGATGTTGCAACAACTGATGATTGAGTTGACTTGGTCTTCAAACGTAAGGAATTGATCAAAGAGGACACCTAAACTCTGAATTTCGCATTGCAAAATTTGGAATTTGGCCGCCAAATTTTTTTAAAGGCCTAACTCAAAATTCTGTCCCAAAACTTAAGGTCGAAATGCGATTCTACGTTGATTCTGAAAATTTCATGTAAAAATATTGAAACCCTATTGAGTTCTATTGTTTTGAGCGAAATCAGTTTTACAAATATCGCGAACTGAGATATGGGCGATTTTGTTCATTTTTTGCGATTATTTGAACACAGAATCCACAGTTAGGTAGATATTGAGCTGATAATCATATATAGAGAATGTGTAGTATATGCTTACCTTCCATATAAAGTTGGTTTAATTCAAAAATATTGATATTTGACTAACTTATGGGCCAAAATCTATCAATTTTGGAGCGTATGCCCAAATATGGTCATATGGTTTTTGGCTCATAACTCAGTCATTTTTTGTCCAATCTTGATGAAAATTCATATATATAAAATCAGATATATTTTAATGTTGCCATGGGGTGGCAAGTCCCCATACATCGCAGTCCGGTAGTTTCATTGCGTCATAATATACGAGTTCAAGGGACCACTAGCTACAAGTAAAGCACCTTAAATCTGTATTTTGAGCATGTTCAGGGTATTTGGCTAAATTGGGCCTAATTTGGACCAAATATGGGCGTGGCTGCCCTGCGGGAACTGTTTGGCAGTTGGTGGTTGGGGTTCGGGACCCCCTCAAAAGTTCGGTCACCGGTCCTAGTTTGTTGGTCAACTGCTATCTCGAAACCAAGTTTCACAAAAAAATCAGGGTGAACCCCCCCCCCCCCCCCCCCTTAAACTCAATGTAAAGCTGGGTGTCATCTGCATACATGTGGATAGGATGTTAAATCCATGTTTCTTTGCAATATGATTAAGCTTCTTTGTCGCGATCGTTGACTTGCTTCGCAGAGCAACGATCTCGATTGGTTGACATCGTCAATCAAGCACTGTAACAATAATTAAATTTTTGAAATCCCTCACTGCTCGTATCGGCTCAGTAATGCTAAATGCATACGTTGCGATATGTGGTTGCGATTTACTGGGCCGCGCTCAGCCTGTCATTCCGCCGAATCTAAATTCGAGCTGAAAATGAATTACGACCTCCATCGTCCTGAAAAAAAGTTTACCTGGGGACCTCAGGCTATTATGTTCATAGAGATTAGGCGGAATGACAGGCTGAGCGCGGCCCAGTAAAAAAAGTGCGGATGCTCATTGAATGTTAGAGCGCACGTTACTAGCATTCACATGATCGTTTAGAACCAGTCACAGCCGCGCACAAAATCACGTGCACTATTAAATGTTTTTTATTGATATTGTACCTATTCAATGTGCAATTGGCAATGTCAAATGTATATGGGTATAATGGGTATAATGGGTATTATGGGTATAATAAATTAAATTTTATATTTTAATTATAATGTTTAAAGAACTGCATCAATTCTATACTTCAATTAATGTCAATTGTTTTATTTTTATTGACGATTTCAACTCTTCGAGATCGTTGGTCCCTTCGAGATCGTTGGTCTGCGAAGCAAAGCAACGTTCTGCGAAGCAAAAATGATTGTTCTTGTTGACTGATGTTATTCAAAGCGGCGATGTCCTCCAATTTTTTTCCAATTGAGACAGAGGTGCGCGAAAAAACTTTGTTAATATAAATAGTTAAGATTTGAATTTGGAGCTTCACATAGCTGCATGTGTATACGCGTACTGATTGATGCGCTTGTTTCACAAGTAGACCTCCTTCGGCGGTTGCGCGCTACTGAGAGGGCTCTGGTTAGAGCAAATTTGGAGCCACAAGGCCGGTCCAAGGGTGATTTTCAAATGTTTCTCCCAATATTTGAAATAGGGAATATATTGATTTTTAAAGGTTTGTTTTTACATAGGGTCATTGTGAAAATTATGTGTATATTGTTTGAATAATTTATAATTTTTCTTCAAATCATAACATTTAAGGTTAAATCGGCTTATATAGGAATTTCTAATTTTTGTTATAAATACTGTTGTCAATTGCAATTTTGTATTCACTTTATTTTACAATATTGATAGAAAATACTTCAAATAACTTTTTACATCAAAACGTTTTATATCAGCTATAAAACGTCTTATCAGGTAATAAAAACAATTTGCCACTTTATGTTAGGTGTTTTTGATTTTGAAATTGATCTTTAGGAACTAATCTATATAATGTTTTAGTAGACAGAGGCAACTTCTGTGTCAGATATAGCTTTAGAGGAAGTAAATTATATCGAGACTATTTGCATAATAAAGGACACAGGAGAAGCAAAGTGCAAAGAAACTGTCACAAACTGCTACTAACTGCTACAAACTGGCACTAACTGCTACAAACTGCTACAAACTGCTGCAAACGGCGCGCGAATGCGTGGGCCCGATTGCAGCAGTCAGTGCCAGTTTGTAGCAGTTAGTGCCAGTTTGTAGCAGTTAGTAGCAGTTTGTGGCTGTTAGTGCCAGTTTGTAGCAGTTAGTAGCAGTTAGTAGCAGTTTGTGCCAGTTTCTTTGCACTTTGCTCCTCCTGTGAGGAGGATCATGATAAACAACCATTTCGACCACCAATGTCCTATTCAGTGGCGTAACGTTGCCTGTTGGCGCCCCCTGCCGAAAAGGCGCCCCCTGTTGGCGCCCCCTCCCCTTTTGTGCCCACCTCTTAAAATTGAACAAATTAGGTGATTTTAGGGGATACGCGCCGGTAAAATCTCTAAAAAAGTGTGTATCTAGAGCAAAATGCGCAGATTTGCTAATACTTTAGTTAAGTTTTCAAAATTGTCCCACATTCAAACGACGATTTGGCGCCCCCCTAAGACGGCGCCCCCCTGCACAGTGGGTCAGCGGGGGCCATCGTTACGCCACTGGTCTTATTGTGAGTTGGTATTAACCACAATTATTATTATTAGTATAGAATAAGACAATTGTAATTCTTTACATTACACATGTACCTAATTGTACTCCTAAAAGTTCTAAGGTCTTTTGGTAAGAATACTCCTGATTTATTATTAATGAATGAATTATGAATTTAATCCTCAATAATATCATGGATTTCCATATCATTCTGGTAAATTAACTGCAGGATAATTGTAACCATGGCACACCTCTGGGTGTGCATTAATGAGTGTGTTGCCTCGAAGCAGTACAGTAGAGAAACAACATGTTATATCTGAATTTTGCCGTCACAGCCTCTACTATATAAATCAGTTGAATTTATGGTTCTATCCTTCTTTATTACATATTATTCTAATACAAATTCTTCCATTTAGCCCATGGAAAAAAGTGAATATATAAATTCACTTGTGGTATTAGGCGATGGATCATTCTCAACAGTATACAAAGGATATGATAAAAGAACAGGAGAATCAGTTGCCATAAAAAAACCGAAAAAGTTCAGCCAAGGAAAAGCTCACTTTCGTAAAGAGATAGATATTTTGAAAAAACTACCTAAGCATCCTAATATAATTCAGGTCTTAGACCGTAAGTATGTGAGCTAACTTCGTAATTTTTAAATGATGAAAACTTTTTTTGACCATAGTCTGTATCAAACTTGATGTAAAATTTATGATTACCCCAAGAATTTGTTGCAATTTCAAGCACTGTTAAAATAAATGATAACTTTACAGATGCTGAGTCTGACAAAAATCAGTACATGATTTTGGAGTACTGTCAAGGAGAAAGTCTCATGTGTTATATGAAAAACAATCTTGAGAATGCTTTTGGTGTTAAAGTAAATGATTTTCACAAAGCACTTCTTGGTAAGTCCAGACACTTGAAATGATATTTTAGGGGTGTCTCTCTTAATTTTAATGTGAAATTCTGTGTAGAGATACGTAATAGCTAATTCATTAATTTGTATCTGGTACTGAGCTTTTGAAGAGAGGACAAGAGTTTTACTTAAAGACCCTGACCCTGAGTGCTTGCAAACATAATGAAACTCATTTTCCTACTCATTTCCATAAATGCAGCATCTATGTCACTTTTTATATTGTATTCTTCCAGATATCACAGCAGGCTACAAACATTTGAGAGACTGTAAATTTGCACACAGAGACATCAAGCCTGATAATATTATGATAAGCTACAGCAGCAAAGATGGTAATTTCATCATAATATAGCGAATTTGGATAATCTTGTTTATCAATTTGATTCAGCCTATATGATAAATTTATAGTAGGAGCAGTAAAAGATATTTATTGTTGTATCTTTTAATAAGTTTGTAATTTACATAATATCATCTTCAAATAAAATAGATGTTCACCTTAAATTGAATTAATTTAGTAATACATTTCTTGTGAAAGGAGATTTGATTATTCATGTTAAAATCACTCCTTAGGATCAACTACTTACAAGCTTGCTGATATGGGGACTGCCAAGCAGTATACTGATCATGACAGTGAAGCTGGTAACTCAGCAACTCAGTTGAAATCTATTGTAGGTAAGTATCGTTTTTAATATTTATGTGGAAGTCGCTCCACATACTAAAGTGCAGTGCTGAGTCTTCAATAATGTAGTAGAGTTTTAATGATGTGATTAATTTTCCTTTATGCCAGGTTCTATAGACTATATGGATACATACATGCTTGGTCGCTACATTGACGAACAAAACAGACCAAAATGGAAGGGCAAAGACAAGGATGTATACCGTGCAAATATCGACTTATGGAGCATAGGATGTACTCTGGTGTACATAGCCTGCAATTGTGCTGCATTTGCAGCAGCAACACCTGATGATATCTTAGATCTACACAAAGTTAGAAAAAGCGATGCCATAATGGGATCAAATATAAACGGCAAAAAAACATTTTCAAATGCTTTTAGAGAAGTATCACCTCTCCGAAAAACTGCTTCACCGAGCCTGCAAGCAAAATATTTAAATGTAATTCTTGAGTGCTTCAAGCCTCTTGAAGAGAGAAGTGCCGACGCGTTTTTTGAATCTGTGGGTGAATTGAGAAAACGAGACTTGTGCTACATGATCAATGTAAATGAAGGGTTTGGACAGTATGAACTAAGTAAGGATGAAATTTGCAGTACAGATGCTGTAAGTGTCATCTCCATGAAGTCAATTGACCACTTATGTCTGGCTTTGAAGTTTCCTGTTCGTGTCAGATTCACTTATACCAAGGATATTAGTGTAAAGTTGAGGAAACCTCCATTGATAATTATGCCATCTGATCCTTACGGCAAATATATCCATGTCATTAAGTCTCGGTGTTCATCAATAAGGATTATCGTTGCTCAAGTTCAGGAACCCGATTTCGTAATAGTTATGCTGAAGCATCTTTCCCTTATTGTGGTGGATGACGATGATTTTGAAAGAATACAAAAAGATCATATTAACCCAACTGATAATGTGAGTAACAACATTTACACCCAGTATTCGGAAATTGAGCAAATATATAAAGATATGGGGAAAGTGAAGCGTACGGTAGAGCTTGATTCTCTACAGACTAGGTGCGGGAATATTGAGAAGGACCTTCAAGGCAAGCTCAAGGAGTATGGAAAAGCAGTGTATGGGAAGAAGCAGGCTACTGGACTCATTAAAGCCTTGTCAGATGCTATATTATGTGCTATATTGAAGACTGATAGCATCATGAAGAACACTGTTGCTATTTAATGAGTGGGCACCATGGCTAACCCCCTGTTAACTGGAAAGTTGTTCTGTGCTGGTGTTTTCTGCAGTTCATGCATTTTTTCCCTGTTTAAATGTACTTTTTAGTGTACAAATTTGATTTTTAACAGAATTTTTATCTTACGGAATTTTATTTTTATGATTCTTTATGAAGCAGTCTAAAAGTTATAATACCTTTTGCTTCTGATTTCTACTTCTTTCACTGAACTGATTTATTGTTGTCTTATTGGGAAAATATGATTAATGCCAAGTACAGGAAGCGAAAGAATGCGGAAATACATGTAAACTGTGTATGGAATTTTATAGGAAGAATGGCTGGGTAATTTTAAATAAACAATTATGATACATTTCTGCTTTCTATTTTTAACATCATCTTTGTATGGTATTATTGATGATGTATTTTTTCAATGTTGTTAGTTGCATGTAAATTTTGTGATAAAATATGCCCATCTTTTGTTTCTATAGAGTAAGAACTTATTGTTATTCAAATAGGCAAGTAAGTAAGTTATGTACTCAATACAGTGTCTTGAATGAAATATATTACTTCGCAAATATGATAGTATACTATATAACTATACAATTGATCTCTTAGTAGCGAATAGTGAATGCCAATATTAAATTGTCCCTCAATTACTAGCCCAGAAATAATGATGGTTATTACATTTGGTTGCTCTTTAAACAAAAGTAACTTTAGATTGAGGTTGTGACAATAACTATTGTACCCAGTGCATGATGAGGCCAGACTATGTTATCAGGGGTGAGAGTGTGGTTACCTCGTTATGTAGAAAGGATACAACTTTAGTAACAGGCTCAGAAGAGGGTAACATAAAGCTATATGACACTGAAATAATGAGACCCACTGCTACTTGGAAGGCTCACAAAAGTAGGTACTGTTTACAATTTTGGTACAGTTTTCATTAAATGATCGAGTTAATTTCCTTTAATAAGCAACATGTGTGTAGAATGTATGATATACACTGTTTATTGAACACAACATATTCTGTTTGCTGATCAACGGCCGCAAGTTCCATTTTATACTAAAAGTTAAGCTAAGTCGGAAGTCCTGGTCGATTTTATCGGAAAAGTATCCAAATCTCACAGTTAACCTGACTAAAGAATAACGAGGATGCAGCCCAGGTGATGTGTATGAAGAACCAGCAACACGATGGTATTCTGTCCCAAGGTAGAGAGGGAGCTCTGACCCTGTGGAAGGAGGGCCAGTGTGTTAGAACCAGTAGTGTTGCCAGTACTGGCTTTTGTAGGTTCGCCTTGTCTGATGATCAACGGCACTGCTTCGTCGGTCTGGACGAGAAATCAAAGGTTGGGAATGTTCTCATGAATAATCTTTCTTGTTTTTATGATAGAAATAATTTGGTATCTCTGATATTATCTCGCAAGTGTGTAGCTGAACATAACTTTGATTGTTTTCAGATCTCTTGTATTGTTGCTGATAAATTGAATGTTGTCAATACTTTTCAACCTTCAGACTACAACCAAAAAGGTAAGATAAAGTAATAAGTACAGATCGTAATTTAAAACTGCCAACAGTAACATGATAGCTGTCGCATTTTATACAGCAAAATTGCACAGAATTCTGAACTAACCCTCCCTAATTGTAGAATATACTCAGCTCCTTTATTACCGGTTAAACATAACGAGACTTTTAACCCTGTTCAGGAATGTGCTGGAGCGTTGCTGTCAGAGGAAACTATGTGTATCTGGGATATGAGAGTGGGCAAATTGTTTTGTTTGACTCCCGTCATCTTTCTAAACAGGTTCATATTCTTTTGTTATACGTTTTATTGACTTCTTATTGTTGTTTTTGTTTAGGGTCCACAATATTCTTGTTAAATTGTCGCACTTTATAACGTTCATGTTTTCAAAGTTTGTTTTAGTGAGCTTCCAAAGTGCTCCAGATATTTAAATTTCAGGTGAAAGATCTTACGCTTTTACCTTCGCTTGCCGGCTGTTTAGAACAATACATCAAATTTGTAAGATCCCATTTAATCCAGGTTCTTGAGGTGAAGGTACACGATGAGATTGTCACAGCATTAGATGTAATAGATAACAAGATAATATCTTCCTCGCCAGACTCTACCATCAAGATAACGTCTCTTATAACTGAGGGGATGGTATCTGAAGGAACACCTTCTAAAGAAGAAAGCACCGTCAGTGGAGATGAAAACGCCCTGGAGTCAATTGTCAACTCCTTAAATCCAGCAAGAACGGATCAGAAATATTCCGCGGAGGTAACCCACACTGTTCCATTGGAATGCAAGGGTTCCAGTCACATCAGTATTCGAGGTGATGGTAAACTGTACGCTGTTTCGGGGTGGGATGGTGGTTTGAGACTTTATAGTTGCAAGAAGAACAAACTGTTGGGTCTTGTGGAGGCTCATAATCCAGAAACAATAACTGATATGATGACTTATGATAACAAGATCGTGTGTAGTGGCAGGGACTGTAAAATTAGTTTCTGGACTTTTTATTGACTTTCTTGGACTTTCGAATTGACATTTGAAGAAATTTTGAATTAATTCTGAAATTAAATTATTTTGTGTCCTATTTATAATTGCTTTTATTGATGAATACACATAATATGTATTTGGAAAAATGTGCTATTTTGAAAAATCATTTCCTGTTTCGAATTTAGGTAACTAAAAACCTACTGTACATATTACATTAACTTTCTGAATTAACTTTCAGAATTAATTCAAAATTTCTTCAAATGTCAATTATTTTGTGTCTTATTTATAATTGCTTTTATTAATGAATACACATATGTATTTGGAAAAATGTGCTATTTTGAAAAATCATTTCCTGTTTCGAATTTAGGTAACTAAAAACCTACTGTACATATTACATTAATCTGAAATAATTTCTCTCCCATTAGCATAATATAACAATTACTACTCTACGTATTTCTTCGCTCACAAATATGACAACTGACCCCTACAATACAGGTATAACAATGTAGATACCACACACCCTGTGAGTTACCTAACTCACTAAGATAAGATGGCCTCACTGTTTCGTAGAAAGAAACAGCCTCAGACGGAGGAGGAACGATTGTTTGCGGAGTACAGGAAACTTGAGAAGAGAACCCAGTCTCTAAGCAATGGTATCAAGTCTTGGAAGACTAGCCAGCTCAACTTGTGCAAGGTACGCGTTAAGTAATGCAAGGTACACTCAACTTGTGCAAGGTACGCGTTAAGACTAGCCAGCTCAACTTGTGCAAGGTACGTGTTAAGACTAGCCAGCTCAACTTGTGCAAGGTACGCGTTAAGACTAGCCAGCTCAACTTGTGCAAGGTACGCGTTAAGACTAGCCAGCTCAACTTGTGCAAGGTACGCATTAAGACTAGCCAGCTCAACTTGTGCAAGGTACGTGTTAAGACTAGCCAGCTCAACTTGTGCAAGGTACGCGTTAAGACTAGCCAGCTCAACTTGTGCAAGGTACGCGTTAAGACTAGCCAGCTCAACTTGTGCAAGGTACGCGTTAAGACTAGCCAGCTCAACTTGTGCAAGGTACGCGTTAAGACTAGCCAGCTCAACTTGTGCAAGGTACGCGTTAAGACTAGCCAGCTCAACTTGTGCAAGGTACGCATTAAGACTAGCCAGCTCAACTTGTGCAAGGTACGCGTTAAGACTAGCCAGCTCAACTTGTGCAAGGTGCGCATTAAGACTAGCCAGCTCAACTTGTGCAAGGTACGCGTTAAGATTAGCCAGCTCAACTTGTGCAAGGTACGCGTTAAGACTAGCCAGCTCAACTTGTGCAAGGTACGCGTTAAGACTAGCCAGTTCAACTTGTGCAAGGTACGCGTTAAGACTAGCCAGCTCAACTTGTGCAAGGTACGCGTTAAGACTAGCCAGCTCAACTTGTGCAAGGTACGCGTTAAGACTAGCCAGTTCAACTTGTGCAAGGTACGCGTTAAGACTAGCCAGCTCAACTTGTGCAAGGTACGCGTTAAGTAATGGTGGGCGATATTTTGGGGTGAAACCGTAATTTTAATCATGGGTAGAGTTTATTAATTTACATGTTCGTTCAATTTAGCAATTACCTCATTGTTCGTCCAGGGCCAGAACAAGATGTCGAGTTGTTTGAAGCAAGTATCTAAGATAGGGCTCGATCCCTCTGCTCTGACAAGATGTGTCGATCTTATTACCACCCAACGACACAAGATGGTTCGTTATCTACACATTTCTATATCATTTCATTCTTGTTTTGGAATCTCAACTTCCCCCCTTTTTTGCTATCTTTAGTGATAGCATCTATGCCATAAACTAATCTTCATGTGCTCTACATTTACATAATTCAGTCTTAGTAATCGTACAATGAATAATGGCTAATACTATACATTCTTTGATTCATCCCGCCCTAATTCTTAAAGTTCCGTACTCCCAGCTGGACGATGTTCGATTAACTACTCAGGCTTCAATGCAGAGACTTCATTCACTCTTCAACAACATGAACGGTGCAACTAAGAAACGTGCCCAGGCCAAAAGCGAGGCTGATAATGTAAGTTGTATTCTTATTTTATATTCAGTTATCTTAGACTTACTTCAGACTTATTCACAATTAGATATCAACGCAGTAATAATATATCATGTTTACTAAAATCTTTTTGATCTAAATTGTCTGTGTGTAACCGTTCAAATGTCGCCTACTTAACCCCACAAACTTTCAGCTGAAGAAGAAAGTAGATAAGTACTACAACCAGTACCCGATACCAATAGAGAAGTATAAGAATGCAGTTAAAATACACAAGGAGGCTACAGAGAGGCATTCCAAAGCTCACGATAACTTACTTAATGTGTGTACATGAGTTGATTCTTTCTTTATAATATATGTAATTCAGATATACTCTGCAGTTTTTAGATTTAAGTTGGCAACGACGACTGAATCATGAACGGTCATGAAATAAAAGATTTACTATATTCATATTATTAAATGTTATTGTTATAAATTTGTACTAACGCTTTCACTAGGATCTCCGCTGCATCAGCAAAGGGAAGTACGATTTCTTTGAGCCATGCCTGGAGTCCCTACTGCTAGCCCAACTAACCTACTACAAGCGAGTATGGAAGACTCTGGAACCTGCAATACACGAGGTCGAGTCCACAGAGACACTCTCCACTGCGGCTAATATGGAGAGACTTAGATCTCTGTCTATCGTTACTGGCCCCCAGAACAATCTCAAGGCTAGGATGATGTCTAGAAAGTCTAGCAAGGCTCCCGCTCCTCCTAGTGCCATGAGCTAAACTTTACAAGCAAGGCTCCCGCTCCTCCTAGTGCCATGAGCTAAACTTTACAAGCAAGGCTCCCGCTCCTCCTAGTGCCATGAGCTAAACTTTAAAGCTTAATTCTGATGAATCTGATAATATAACTATTCAGTAACCCGCAATAACGTGATCGTTTGACTTCAATTGTATTTTGTAGACGGTTTAGTGTTTCGATATCATAATTTCTATACGTTTATATTCGCATAAGTTGTTCGTTACTGAATTCTGATATATCAGCTAATGTATAAACAGTCCAAGCTTCATATAAAATCCTTTTTATGATCGGCTCTACTTTAAAGTTTATTATTTTTCGGTATTCGCCGATTCGATTTAGAACATTTGTGAATTTCTACATATAATTTGATAAAAACTTATTCCCGATAAATAAACTTACCAGTTTGTTGATGAGCCATTTGATTGAGCTACCGGTGTTTTGAAAATATATGCTTTACTCATTTATCCGTTTCCAGATAAGTGTGTACGATGATTTCCCCTTTTCAAAGTTTCGATACGATCCTCAGATCAATTGTTACCGTTTTATACCGATTTTAAAGTGCGTGTATTTCGTTAGGTAGCTAATAAATCAGGGGTATGTGACGTGTATCATACAAGTTTGTTTTTGTAATATTAATAGTAAACGTTTAACTGTGTTTAGAATTAAAATGATAATAATTGTAAAAACACACTAACTAATATTACTTTATTGTATGCTATCTAAATGTTATTGAATGTTACAGTTGTAAGTGTTTATATGAAGTGTTCACTTGTAATTTATGATACCACTTATTCAGGAAACAAAATAATTTTATACCTTCATTGAAAGGTATAATCATTCAATTGTGAACAATTGTTATAAGATCTTTTCAGTTAGAAACATGTTTCTATTCACACAATTAAAACCCATCACCAGGTTATGTCTGCTGTATGATATTGAGTCGAACCCTCACTCTCAGCACAACTCTCCTCAACTCTCTACAACTCTCCTCCACTCGGAACACAACTATCCTCTTCAGAACCATGACCTCAATGGTGGAACAAGCTAAAGACGCAGCAGCAGAGCGCGCTGTTAAAGAGCACGTGTATGACGGATGTAGACTAGGAGTGGGTAGTGGCAGTACGGTGGTGTACGCTGTTAAACATCTGTCTGCCTTGGTTAACAAATCCGGGTTCAAGGTCACCTGTGTGCCGACTAGTTTCCAGGTATGGATATTGAATACTTTAGTGTTGAGGCTTTGAATATTTTACTAACTAATCGTCAGATCAAATGAAGTCTGAACTGCAATGAAAATTAACCTTAGTCCCTACAAATTCTAATTTGATATGGAATCTTAACACAATAATTGTCCATCTCAGGCAAGACAGTTGATAATAGAGAACGGACTGGACCTCTCAGACCTGTCCCAGACCCCAGAGCTTGACATAGTGATAGACGGAGCAGATGAGTGTGATGCATCCCTCACCCTCATAAAGGGAGGGGGCGGCTGTCAGCTTCAGGAGAAGATTGTAGCTGCGTGTGGCAAGAAAATGGTGGTGATCGCTGACTACCGCAAGAAATCTAAAGAATTGGGAGACCAGTGGAAGAAAGGGATACCAATTGAAGTAGTTCCCATGGCATACGTTCCAGTAATGAACAAACTGAGGAGTTTTGGTTTGGACCCCGTTCTGAGAATGGCACAGAGCAAAGCAGGTCCTGTTGTAACAGATAACAGTAACTTTGTGGTGGACGCTAAGTTCACTGGGCCTCACAATTGGGATGTTTTAGAGACCAAGTTGTCAAGGACCCCAGGGATTGTGGAGACTGGTTTATTTGTTGGGTATGCTAGTGTGGCTTACTTTGGGATGGAGGATGGGTCTGTTTCTGTGCTTCATAAACCTGCTCTTTAGCTCATTTCTTAAAGGTTTAATAGTTTTATATTTTTAGTTGACCATCATTATATTTTTGTTGATTCTATTTAAGATTATTTTATAGATTTAATTTTATAAAGAGTATTAGTTACGTATGACTGCTTCACGGTTTACTTTATGTCCCTTGTATTTGTGTATAAATTTTAAACGGTAAAAAATCTAAGTACATATTTTCTTGTTCAAAAAAGGTTTTTCATTTCTGTTAAACTGCTGCCTCTTGGTACCTGCATAATTCCGCTAGTGATTCGGTAAAATTGAATGATCAGACATTGTCCACATAGATGGTTAATAGAACGAATTACAAAAATGGCTGAGACAAATCCCTCAACTAATGAGAGTTCTGGATGTAATCCTGGATTTGGGGGAGTTATAAGAGAGGAGAGAGATGTTGAAACTTTACTACTTGATGAGGGTGAATCTGTTAATCAGGTATGGTAAAAGTTCGTGGCTTAAAGTTTGAAATTACAACTAGTAGTGGTTCGAGTAATATCTTGCAACTTCATACCAGTAAAAAACATTTAGGGATCAATGCTCAATTCATGCTTGTATCCAAGCGACGAAGTGTGTGTATTTAATAGAGATGATGGTAATTTTTAGGCAGGATCGACACAAGCATTACCCTCCCCAAGTGGCAAATCTAACGAGAGTTCTGGCTTGAAATATGCATTTGATGGTATGAGGCTGGGATATGAAGGATAATAATTTCCCATATCTTATATGAAACGGTGTTATTCAATGATTTCGAATTCAAATTGTACATTCTATGTTGCTGTCCTCAAGTTACGGATGAAATAGTTGGTTGTCGTACATGATTATACAATCGCGTGAAAAGCTAATAAATGAAACAGGAATTCATTGATTGAAAATGATTGTTTTAATGTTAATTTTTTCCAGATGTCGTCGGAAGCGATAGTGACAGTGCCACAACATCCCAGCTCCCTGATTTTAGTTATGAGGATTTTGCGAGTGGTTCTGCCGGTTTGGAGCAACAGCCCCTTGTAAATATGAGTGACAGAAGATGGAAAAAACGTTTCCTCTGTAAGTTTTCAATACTGGAAAAACTCTTTTCGCAAATTGTTCGCAGACAGCTTCCTGTAGTATCAAGATTAAAGCACTGTAATGCATCGAAATAGGTTTTATTTCCCCATTACGTTGAAATCCTTCACTTTGAAGTTTGTTTTTTACTTTCCCAATTCCCAACTATTCAGTAGATAACTAGTATCATATCTTGACCTGGATCATTTTCAGGCACACCTCACGAAAAGATAATGCAGGCTGGATATGACCTACTTAGAAACGAGATAGGACTAACATTTAAACACGGAGAAGTTATATTTGAAACCTCTAGAGATGGATTTGGGATAAAGCGAGCGTACACACTTCCTCCAGCCCCTTATAACCCGAGCTTCATTGACAAGTTCTCCAGAGATGATGACGATCTCAGTAAAAAGGAGAAGACGGAAAAACAGCGAATTGATGAATTTGAAGCTGAAGTTGAGCTATTCAGGCATCTTGAGACGTTGGAAGATGTTTTTGTTTTGAACGGGTTTAAATACACTCATGAACAGTTTGACCTATTTGTTTCTAGTCATAGCATTGATGGGTGTAAGAAAAAACCTCAGGAAGAAGAGGGTGAATGTGACTTTATCGTAATCGGTGGACAATATATTGCCGTCTTCGAGGTCAAGTCACCAGATATGAATAGTAGAAATCCTGAGAAAATGTTTTATGATCGTTACAAGGAATCTCTTGTTCAAAGAAATCGCACAGTCAGACTTATTAAGGGTGTTTTTGACTACCTTGGATTGGAAAACCCTCCCACGGTATTCTCATACAGTGTTTTTAACAGACTTTCTTGGAAAAATGTAGCTCAATTCAAAAAGTATCGACAAATAGATGATCATGAAGCTCAATGTAACTTGCTATTCAAAGAAGATTTCGAGCATTTTGATGATTTTTGGACAAGAATGTTATTCAGTCGCAAAGTTGCCACAATTAGTGAAAGAGGGAAAGATATGATTGAAAAGTTTAAGGACATACAGAAAATTATTCCTATATTGATTGGTCTTTGGTGTACAAACAATAAGAACGTTGGTGGACAAAGCCTAGCCTCTTGCATTCTGGAAATCGACCACAAGTTAAAGACTGCGACCATCACTAGACAACCAAAAGGCCCATTCAACAGAGAAATCAAGGGAAGCTCCCCATTATTTAAGAAATATCTTGGAATTGAATGTCTGACACAAGAACAATCAGACATCTTTAAATGCAAGCAGAATTACTTATGTATAACTGGCGCTCCTGGATCCGGCAAGTCAGTGCTGCTACAAGGAAAGATGATTGAGCTTGCAAAGCTGGTGGCTGGTGGTGGGAAGTCGGTGGTGGTTATTATCTTTGGACAGAGTGCTCTAAACCAATACGAGAATGTTTGCAAAAATGCAGGGATAAGATATAAAAGCATACACTTAACTCGCAAATAAAATGTTTCTGAGCGTTTTATTTTTAGATCACAACAGAAACGACTTGAAGAAGTTGTCGAACATAATTGGGAAATAACGCTTGGGTGGCTTATAAAATGTTTCATCGAAAACGCCCGTGACAAAGTCTATGAAGTTACCTTACTATATTCTACAACCGAAAAGTGCATTCAAAAATTAACACAATACTGTGATTTGCTGCAAATGTGCCTTTGTCATCATCTATTGGTTGATGATGCTCAGTTATTTTTCTGTTACACTATCAAGGAACAAACGAACGAATGTGTTGAAGAATTTCTGGCTATCCTTAAGAGAAGAAATAGGCCTGATCATAAAATTGTCAACAAACTTATAACATGGCTAAGTTTCGAAAATTTGTGCAGGTTTAGTGAAATCTGATCATATTTTAAGAAACTCTTGTGGGCATAATATACATGGCTTTAAGCCAACGGTTTATGTCCTAAAAAGTGATGTCCATGTTTATTTGCTGCAACAACGTCACCCAGAGAAAAAGCTTGTTACTTTGTCTGATGATTTAATTCAGTTTACATTCGGTACGTATTGCTTTGAGTTTCATGTAGAGAAAAGTAGTTCTGATGAGAGACTTATGATGGATGATACGGCTCACCGAGAGGGTCATGTTAGTAATGTTCCCTCTGCTGAATGGCCTCTCTGCATAACGCTTCTTTCTATCGAATGTAAATCATTTGAAGACTTTCTCTCAGAATTTTACCTCCTCGTTAGTAGAGCCAGAGTATATTGTGATATATTTGTTGGACCAATGATCCAAGAGGCACCTATCTTTAGTAAAGTTGACAATTTTCTTCGAGAACTTTTTCAGACTGGCTTGGTTCACCACTCTGATGTTGACAACTCTTGCTCAGACAATTATTTGCACGCTGTTATAACACGTTACAGGTGATAGATCTGTTTGCTTGCTGAGACCTTCTAGTTGAAACCGAGACCTTTGCTAAGATAAGCGGAATTCGTTGTACTGTACTTTTAGTCTCTCCTTAGAGCCTTAGAGCAAATTTATGTTTTTGAACAAACCTCCACTCTTAAAAATGTAAAACTCCTGAGGCTCCAGGTGGTGCTAACCGTGCCAATTAGTGACTGATTTATTTTAATTTACTGCATTGTAAATAAGTAAATATGTATTATTTATTATTTTTGTAGTATCTATTATTTATGTAATATTTATTATTTGCATTTTTAAATTATGTGCATAAATAAATTATTTCAAGTTTAAAACTGTAATTTATTTGAATTATTATTTTAGATTTTAAAATCTCTCCAGCATTAAAACTTTTTTAATAAATTCACAATTATTATGCAATCATAAACCTACCCTTGAATGTGTTTCTTAAAAGCTAAATATTTTATTATTTTTAGTTGACTATTATATTTTTGTTGATTCTATTTAAGATTATTTTATAAAGAGTATTTATAAAGAGTATTTATAAAGAGTATTTATAAAGAGTATTTATAAAGAGTATTTATAAAGAGTATTTATAAAGAGTATTTATAAAAAGTATTTATAAAGAGTATTTATAAAGAGTATTTATAAAGAGTATTTATAACCTGATTATTTATTTTATAAAAAGTATATAATAAGCTCTAATTATTACTTTATTATTTTTTAGTTCAAAAATTATCATTTTCTAGTTCAATAATTATAATTTTCTAGTTCAAAAAATATTTTCATTTCTAACTAGTAATAAAACTGTTAGTTCGCAAATTATTGGTTAAAATTGAATGATCAGACATTGTCCATATAGATGGTCAATAGAACGAATTACAAAAATGGCTGAGACAAATCCCTCAACTAATGAGAGTTCTGAATGTAATCCTGGATTTGGGGGAGTTATCAGAGAGGAGAGAGATGTTGAAACTTTACTACTTGATGAGGGTGAATCTGTTATTCAGGTATGGTAAAAGTTCGTGGCTAAAAGTTTCAAATTACAACTAGTAGTGGTTCGAGTAATATCTTGCAACTTCATACCAGTAAAAAACATTCAGGAATAAATTATCAATTCATGCTTGTATCCAAGCGACGAAGTGTGTGTATTTAATAGAGATGATGGTAATTTTTAGGCAGGATCGACCCAAGCATCACCCTCCCCAAGTGGCAAATCTAACGAGAGTTCTGGCTTGAAATATGCATTTGATGGTATGAGGCTGGGATATGAAGGATAATAATTTCCCATATCTTATGAAACGGTGTTATTCAATGATTTCGAATTCAAATTGTACATTATATGTTGCTGTCTTCAAGTTACGGATGAAATAGTTGGTTGTCGTACATGATTATACAATCGCGTGAAAAGCTAATAAATGAAACAGAAATTCATTGATTGAAAATTTTGCGTAACTTTTCTTTATAAATTTTAGCTACCACGCGGACAGTGAAACAATTTTATCGTATTCCAATTTCTGATCGACTTTCATGAGATTCTCTAATCTGAATGACCTTTTTATCAATTTTTGAATTTCTTTGACTGAGTATTATGATTGATTTTATCTGACTAATTTATTTCTTTTTTGTAGGCTCTAGCGATGTATTAAACGAAGTTTCCAAGCCAAATTTGTGTGTTTCCCTTCGTGTCCAAATCAATCATTGATTGAAAATGATTGTTTAAATGTTAATTTTTTCCAGATGTCGTCGAAAGCGATAGTGACAGTGCCACTACATCCCAGCTCCCTGATTTTAGTTATGAGGATTTTGCGAGTGGTTCTGCCGGTTTGGAGCAGCAGCCCCCTGCAGATATGAGTGACGGAAGATGGAGAAAACGTTTCCTCTGTAAGCTTTCAATACTGTAAAAACTCTTTTCGCAAATTGTTCGCAGACAGCTTCCTGTAGTATCAAGATTAAAGCACTGTAATGCATCGAAATAGGTTTTATTTCCCCATTACGTTGAAATCCTTCACTTTGAAGTTTGTGTTTTACTTTCCCAATTCCCAACTATTCAGTAGATAACTAGTATCATATCTTGACCTGGATCATTTTCAGACACACCTCATGAAAAGATAATGCAGGCTGGATATGACCTACTTAGAAACGAGATAGGACTAACATTTAAACACGGAGAAGTTATATTTGAAACCTCTAGAGATGGATTTGGGATAAAGCGAGCGTACACACTTCCTCCAGCCCCTTATAACCCGAGCTTCATTGACAAGTTCTCCAGAGATGATGACGATCTCAGTAAAAAGGAGAAGACGGAAAAACAGCGAATCGATGAATTTGAAGCTGAAGTTGAGTTATTCAGGCATCTTGAGACGTTGGAAGATGTTTTTGTTTTGAACGGGTTTAAATACACTCATGAACAGTTTGACCTATTTGTTTCTAGTCATAGCAGTGATGGGTGTAAGAAAAAACCTCAGGAAGAAGAGGGTGAATGCGACTTTATCGTAATCGGTGGACAATATATTGCCGTCTTCGAGGTCAAGTCACCAGATATAAATAGTAGAAATCCCGAGAAAATGTTTTATGATCGTTACAAGGAATCTCTTGTTCAAAGAAATCGCACAGTCAGACTTATTAAGGGTGTTTTCGACTATCTTGGATTGGAAAACCCTCCCACGGTATTCTCATTAAGTGTTTTTAACAGACTTTCTTGGAAAAATGTAACTCAATTCAAAAAGTTTCGACAAATAGATGATCATGAAACTCAATGTAATTTACTATTCAAAGAAGATTTCGAGCATTTTGATGATTTTTGGACAAGAATGTTATTTAGTCGCAAAGTTGCCGCAATTAGTGAACGAGGGAAAGATATGATTGAAAAGTTTAAGAACATACAGAAAATTATTCCTATATTGATTGGTCTTTGGTGTACAAACAATAAGAACGTTGGTGGAGAAAGCTTAGCCTCTTGCATTCTGGAAATCGACCACAAGTTAAAGACTGCGGCCATCACTAGACAACCAAAAGGCCCATTCAACAGAGAAATCAAGGGAAGCTCCCCATTATTTAAGAAATATCTTGGAATTGAATGTCTGACACAAGAACAATCAGACATCTTTAAATGCAAGCAGAATTACTTATGTATAACAGGCGCTCCTGGATCCGGCAAGTCAGTGCTGCTACAAGGAAAGATGATCGAGCTTGCAAAGCTGGTGGCTGGTGGTGGGAAGCCGGTGGTGGTTATTATCTTTGGACAGAGTGCTCTAAACCAATACGAGATGGTGTGCAAAAATGCAGGGATAAGATATAAAAGCATTCACTTAACTCGTAAGGAAGAGGTTCCTGAGGTGAATAGTTTTTCACCTGACCCTGCTGTTGTCAAACGTAATTGGAAACTTACGTTTGCAAGGATTAGAAATTGTCTCTTCGAAAACGCTCGTGACGGAGAATATGAAGTTACCTTACTATATTCTACAACCGAAAAGTGCTTTCAAGAAATAAAACTATACAGTGATTTGCTGAAAGTGCGAGTGTGTAAATATCTCTATCATCTGTTGGTTGATGATGCTCAGTTATGTTTCTGTTACACTGTCAAGGAACAGACGAAAGAATGTATCGAAGAATTTCTGGCTATCCTGAAGAGAAGAAATAGGACTGATGAAGTTGTCGACAAACTTATAACATGGTTAAGTTTCGACATAACTCAGTACTTTAACAACACAATCATACCATTTGATGTTCTCAGGCATATGGGCCCCACTCATCCTCCTCCAGCTATGCCAGAGAGATTTGAACCTCATCGCAGCACAATCTTTCATCTTCTGATGAATCACTTTAAAGGTTCTTTGGTTCACTTGTCAAAAAATCTTAGAAACACTGTAGAAATTTTTCAACTTTTGTATTTTTTAAGACAAAAAATTTGTGCAGGTTTGTTGAAATCTGATTATGTTTTAGGAAACTCGTGTGGGCATAATATACATGGCATTAAACCAACGATTTATGTCCTAAAAGGTGGTGTTCGTGAGCTCAAGATTTGTTGTTAGCATATCACCCAAAGAAAAAGCTTGCTACTTTTTCTGATGATTTAATTCAGTTTACATTCGGTACGTATTGCGAAGAGTTTGATATTCATACTAGAAATATATCATGTATTATGGATGATAAGCGGGCTCACCGAGAGGGTCATGTTAGTAATGTTCCCTCTGCTGAATGGCCTCTCTGCATAACGCATCTTTCTATCGAATATAAATCATTTGAAGACTTTCTCTCAGAATTTTACCTCCTCGTTAGTAGAGCCAGAGTATATTGTGATATATTTGTTGGACCAATGGTCCAAGAGGCACCTATCTTTAGTAAAGTTGACAATTTTCTGCGAGAACTTTTTAAGACTGGCTTGGTTCACTACTGTAATGTTGACGACTTTTCCACAAAGGAAGCTGTGGCTTTTTGGAAGAGATCTGTTTGCTTGCTTAGACCTTCTAGTTAAAACCAAGACCTTTGCTAAGATAAGCGAAATTCATTTTACTGTGCTTTTAGTTACCTTTGATATCAGGTAACTGACACCTTAGCTGTCCTTAAAGTATTACTTCAACATTGTTAAGTTTTACTTCAGCTGTAATTACCTGTAACCTTTATTAATTATTCGAGTGGTAAAACGCATGATATATGATGACTGATGTTATAACCAATTTGTGTTATTCAAGTGCCCAGAGCCTTGTTACAGCTTTAACTTTTCACATATGTACCGCAAAATGGTCTCAACCAAAATATGTCTCTCTCTGGATTGGAGCAAATCTTCAATTCTATGGAAACTTTCAAACAAATCCCACTCTTAAAAATGTAAAATTCCTGAGGCTGCAGGTACGGTACGAGGTCCTGTTAACTTGACATTTAGTGACTGATTTATTTTAATTTACTGCATTGTCAATATTATGTTTTATTTATTCTTTTTGTAACATTTGTTATGCAAGCTTAGAAGTCTAATTCACATTTAAACTTTTAAACCTGTAAATTATTTTCATTACTGTTTTAGATTTTAAAAACTCTCCATACCAGCATTAAAACATCTTTTAATAAATTCACAATTATTATGAATTTATGCAATCAGTTTTAAATTTTAAAACCTAGGCTCCATAAACCTACCCTTGAGTGTGTTTCTTAAAGGTTAACTATTTTTATATTTTTAGTGTGCTATTATATTGTTATTGAATGTTGATTCTATCTAATATTATCTTATTTTTTTTTAATTAAATACTTTTCAAATTTTACAGAGTACAGCAATAGATGAATATAAAATAGAATCGTTCAAAATATCGCCCCCATCTGTAAAATATGATGGGCACCCAAACACGGTAAACACATAGTGAACTATGTCCGCAGTAACTTGGACCCATTACATCGAATTAATCTAAATCCAAAAATTTATGAAAAACTATTTAATAACAAACAAATCCATGGTGAATAACTGTGGATATAGAGTCAAAATTTGTATTTCAATACGTCAAATTCCAGATACATTAGATACAGGTCTGAAATGGTCATTAATGTGTGAGAAGGTGTGCGGGTGAAGTGTGATATGATGTTGAAAGTATAGGAAGGTAGATAAAAAAATTAATAAAACAAAAATAATAATAATATGGGGAGCAAAGAGACTAGGCTAGACTGTTGTTTCACTATCCAATAAACATTTCCATAGATGCTTAGTGACCTCAGCTTTGAAAAGACTAGTAGACACAATCTGTCTTACCTGTAAAGGGAGTCCATTCCACAGTATATGGGTTCTGTAGAAAAATGATTTTGCCAGTGGGCTATTTGAGGTACATGTGGTGTGTGAATTCTGACTTAACTTAGGTAAAATTGATGACACAATAGACAGACTGTCGAGGTGGCAACGTCTTAGTCGAGAAGTGCCCTGATATAAAGAGAGATAGTGAGGCAGTGATACAGGAATTAAATTGTTAAGAACTTTGTGGAAAAAAATAAGATCATTCAAGTCAAACTTTTGAGACAAAGGGAGAATGTCGACAAGCTTGCACTTTTTGACATATTGCTCAGGTGGATAACTGCGGCCCTCTTCAGACAGAATCCATTTAATAGCTCTCTTTTGGAGACTTTCTAATTTATCACTAAGTGATTTATTACAAGGGCGCCAGATTATGGAACAATTTTCGAATTGGCTACGAACCAGGGAGAGGTAAAGCGCCCGGCGACGTTTCTGATCAATGACAATATGGCCATCTCTTCTGACCATACCAAGTTGTTGGCAGGCCTTAGTATAAATTCTGTCGCACTGACTATTCCAACTTAGCTTAGGAGTAACATCGACTCCAAGATCTTTTTCTAACTCTACATACACAAGAGGAGAGCCATCAAGATTGTATGCGAATGGAGGAGATAAAGATGGTTTTCCTGAAACAATAAGCACTTTACATTTTGCTGGATGGAATCGCATTTTGTTTCTTAGTGCCCAGTCAGAGAGATAGTCTATATCCATTTGTAAATTAGTATTATCAGAAGATGAATGTATTTTACGCCAGATTTTTGTATCATCGGCATACAAAACAATATCAGTATTATCCGAAAGGCCAAGAGGAATATCATTGATAAACAATACAAAAAGTAAGGGACCAAATAATATAGATATTATTTTATACAGAGTATTTAAGCCCATTTTTATGTTATCATTTTCTAGTTCAAAAACTATTTTCATTTCTAACTAGCAATAAAACTGTTGGTACCTACATATTTTCGCAAATTATTGGTTAAAATTGAATGATCAGACATTGTTCAAATATATGGCGAATAGAACGAAAAATTAAAATGGCTGAAAGAACGGTCTCAAATCATGGCTGCAGGCTGTCTTATATAATATTATCATGATTGATTTAAAGAATATCAAAAAACCGAAATTTAAAACAAGTTACAAACTACCAGTAATGTATGCAACATGATCAAGAGTAAAGTCCATCTCAGCTAAAGATGCGATTCAAAGCGAAGCTGTTCGATGTTCAATCTATAACTCAGCTACAGAACATTATCAGCGCAGTGTCTAAGTTCTGTAAGACATGTTGTTTGAAGCTGACTGAGGATAAGATGTATTTTATTCTGAATGACAGGCTTGTTTGCGGTGGAACTACTATTTGGTGTGAGGTGGGTGTTCTTGATAATTCTGATTTAAAGAATATAATGTTCTATAAGTTCTTATTTTCTTGCTGCACCTTAAAAAAGTTTAAAAGTTCCTTTAATTCAGTCGACTTTTTGTGCAGACGGTAGTGATTCTAGAGAATATTTTAGTTATATTTTCTTATTTTTGGCAAGTTTCGGATACAACTTGTTGTTTTGCTCAATAATGTTGTGTATATAATAATTTAACGAAACCAAATCCCCACTCTAATTTTAGGTAACACAGAGTAGCTTCTTCGACGAGTACCGTATAGAGGGTAAAGATGATAAGGGTGCCATCCTGATGAGTGTCAGCCCCGAGAACCTCTCCAAGTCTCTGTGTAACACTATGAACGCTTCCTCTGTTAAAATCAAGTTAGCTAAGAAACAGTCTGCTTGTCTGAGTGTTGAAATAGCGCTTCCTAGCCCTGGTAACTCTTTTGTTTCAATACTTTCTAGTTAATCATTTTTAGTACAATTAATAAAACTATAAAAGGAACAGAGTTTGTCGGTGAAAGAGATTGTTAATTCCAACAAAAGAATATGAGTAGAAAGCAGATGATATCATAGCATACCTCTAAATCTCTAATGAGCCATCTGGGCAGGTGGTTCAGGAATACAGAGGTTAGTAACACACGACGTGCCAGTACACTTGATACCTCTAACACACTGGGCCGAGTACGAGGAACCTGGTATGCCCGAGTTTGACATATCTTTCTACCTTCCTCCTCTAAAAAGACTCAGAAATGTAAGTGCAAGGCTAGTGGACCTCTCTTTCTGTTTTTGGTGGGTAGAAACTCCGGCTTTCTCTGCTCATTTCCTTTCAGTATCACCTCAAGTTAAGATTTTCTTCTCTGACGTTTCTCACATGTTTAGGTACTGGAACGGATCAAGAATCTGAGTAATCACGTGACAGTACGGGGAGCATGGACCGGAGAGTTAACACTTTCTGTAAAGACAGAACTCGTCACCACCAAAACCTACTTCACTGATCTGGATATTCCCCAACTTGACTCTGAGGTTTTTATCTGCACTGTTTTCTCTCCCCTTAAAGCTGCCTATCTCGTGACCGATTCTAATTACCGACTTCAGTCGACTGGTGATCTTACCATAGTTTAAATTTCTAAGATCGCAGCTCGTGATTCATTCATTATATTATATGGGCAATTTCATGAAACATGAACAAGGAGGGGAAAATATAAATTTCAGTTATGAAACTAGCTTTGATTGGAGTCTGAAAGAGAAGATCATAAACTGTAAGACACAAAAAACCGCTTATAAATATCTCACTTCGTTTCTGTGTTATCGCGTTTTCAAAATACCCATAAATTGTCATGTTTTACAGGCCAAAACTACTCTATAATAAAAGCTGTTTACTAAAAAGAGATTGTTGTAATATTCATTAATTCTTGATCCGTAAAGGTGCATACCACTTCACTGAAGCTGTATGCAATATTTGGGACTCAAAATTGAAGCAGATTCGGAGCAATGCTATTCTACTTTCTCCTGTTTTTAGTGTAAATTACTATACATAAAAAACAAAAAAGTTTTCTGCTGGCCACATTTCTTGTTATTTCTTGCTGAAATCTTGCTAAAACAAGCTAACTCTGATGTCAAGACATAATGTACTTGTTTATTTAGATCCATAGATATCAGATCATGTCAATACCAGCGTCAAGTAAGTTACATGTCAAGTAATTTACGTGTCAAGTAATTTACACATATGCTTTTTATTCAGTAATAGTAGTAAAACACAACAAGTAACGATTGTCAAACAGAATAAAAGTTATTTAAAAGTGATAATAGATTGGTTCTGGTCAGAATTTCATTAAAGAAATCTATAAAAATGGTTAAAAATGGTTAAAAATTAACTTTTCGAAAATAATACTTTACTTTACAGAAAATCCAGTGGCCTGCTTGAACACAAATTTTTGAGCTGGGAAACATTCGTACATTTACGCCCACCTACCTACTCTGTATAACTGGGCTAACTGTGGACCCAATCAGTGGATCAATCAACCAATTAAGGGGGCCGGGGGGTCTTCATCAAAATTCCCTCGAAATTGACTTTTTAGTTGTTTCTGATAGAAGGGAGTGATATCTATCAGATGCTTTTGGTCCCATGGAAAAATATTATTCCTAGCCGAAATTATTGTCGGTCAAAGGTCAGCACTTATGTGTAATTGTATTGCGCAAGCGATTTTCAATCACGTGTCCTGAAAATCGAGTCTAAAAATCTATCTTCTCCTACATTTTTTGAGCAATCACCTTGAAACTTTCAGGATATGTTCTAGAGATAATTTAAAAGAGATGAGCCAGACAGAATTTTGAGATAGGCCTTTAAACATATTTTATTCGATTTTGGAAATCTTGGACCTCGTTTTTTGACGATTTTTTGAGGTCCAAGATTTTCAAAAATTGAAAATCGCTCGCGCAATACAATTACACATAAGCGCTGACATTTGACCGATCATAATTTCGTCTAGGAACAATATTTTTCCATGGGACCAAACGCATCTGATAGATATCACTCCCCTCTATTAGAAACAACTATAAAGTCAATTTCGAGAAAATTTTGATGAAGGCCCCCCCGGCCCCCTTAATTGGCTTATGATAAACTGATATATCATTATTAATCATATATTACATAGTTCATACACTTAGCAAACGAATTAAAGACAAAGGGGCAGCTTTAAACAGTTAAAATCAAAGGATTGTGTAACAGTGTAAACTACTTGACACCAAAGAGTAACTTACTTTACAAGGAACAAAGGCTTCTACAGAACACAGCTATTAACCATTTACCAAAACAAACCCTTTCCAGTACAGGCAAGACATTTGCCAGTGTGCATGAAAAATATTTAAATGTTTACTCTCACACCTGGGCACGAAATGAGATTTCAATACACGTTGGTCAGGAATGTCAATTTGTGCCCTGTAATTTACTTTACATTTTCAAACGTGCCTCACTCAAAAGCCATAGCAGTTGGAGTAAAAATCTTAATATAGCTGTGTGTGGAGTACATAGGAGATGTTTCATGCAATTTATCATGATTCTGTTATGTTTGTGTAATGCTTGAGAGTCAGAATAAGGCCAAATTTTTGTGCTAAGTGTAATTTACTTTACGTGAAATCGCCCATATACTAATACGTAACCCCTGTCCCAACGCAGGTGGACACGTCACGTGCAAGCGCGGAAGTAACAGTGGACATAAAGAAGCTCCTCCTGTTCGTTCAAAGTCAGGGAATGGGAGCGAGCAAAGCTATCTGTAACATCGTACACAACCGAGCTCTCCAGCTCTTCTTACTACAGGACGACGTTCAGTTACAATATTACCTCCCTAGCATCGACACTAGCTGATGCATTGTGTATCGGAATTCAAGTGATGATTACCTAATGCCATGATGCGTATTTTACAGAACTGCCACAATGTGCGGATAGTAAATTAATAAACGGACAAAGTTTGGTGAAAGCTTTGTTTTTGGAGCGTAACTGTTTGTTTGTACACATTTTAACATGACATTTTATTTAATTCTAATTTATTGCATATTTTCTATTTCAAACTTGTTCAAGAAAACAGCTAGTTTTATTCTTCTTTTTTTCAAGTAAACTTTCGTGATTCGTTTATAGTCTCTACCCAATTCGCCATTTTGTGATTTTTTCTTTTCTTCCTGCTTATTATTCGCATCGTTTGTTGGTGGCAGTCCTTAGTAATAAAGGAGTCCTTTTTCTTATTCAACGAAAATTGCGTTAAGAAGCAATAAAATATATTCGCTAAGAAGCTCAGATTCTGTGCAATAAATAGCTAGTCCTAACTTTGATAAACTTTCTTGAATCTACAGGTATGATAAGGATGAAATCAACTGGAAATGAAGCAGAGAATAACAGCACGATGGAACAACTGCTTCAAAACAGTGACATGGTTGAAATCAGAGTCGATAAGGTAATTGCTGTTAGCTAATATTATCATCGTTACCTTTCGTGGACCAGTGCAGCGAGAAATGTCATGACGTCACATTTTCTAAATTGTGTTGCCACTTTCTTATATAATTAACATCCTAACTGAATACCGAATGTTGCCCTGCTCTAAGAACCACCTCTTTTAGGTGACAAGTGGAGGATTCTTCTATGTTCGAATTTTATCACCTGCGGAGCGAGCACACCAGACTAACTTCAAGGAATTACACCTGACACCACAACAAGAGGATGAACACTGTCGGGCTCTTGATGAGTACGCTGCTTTCAACTTCATCTCTCTTCCTGCGGTTAGTACTTCTTGTAACACCTCTGGTTCTCCTCCGATCATTTCTTGTATTAAGTCACTGTGCCACGCTTTTATACACCTACGATACGATAAATTATCCAATTTCAAAGATACCATTTTCGTAATTCTAAATATGTTTTGTGACTTTGAAAATTTGCCAGGCTGATCCCGATAAGCTGCTAAAGCAGCTTGTCTTCTTCAAGAGTAGAGATCAGAAATACTATCGAGGTATCGTAGAGAAAAGAAAAGACATTGCAGAGAAAAGAAAAGATAGCAACATTCAACTTTTTCATATCAGAAATGTAAAAATCAACCCATTTCTCGAAACGATATCGAAATTTTCTTATTACCTTTGAGCTTTGACATTTCCAAAAATGTTGTGTAAATAATTATTTATTTACATCTTTGATCTTAGCCAATTTATGGTTTATCCACAGTCCACACCCGTCCTATGTCCATAACGTTCAACTAATGCATCTCTCAATTCAAAACAGATAGATACAAGGTCAATGATTATCAACATTCCTTTATCTGATATCCGGCTGCTCCCGGAGAAGTTTGGGATAAAACGCTGGCCTCCAAAAATACTACAGTTCCAGTTAACGCAGGTAATCCTTTTTTAGGGACACTTTTATCTGTTATTATCTGATGTTTCGGATCCCATGATCATAAACATTGTTTATTTGAAACCTTGCATTTATTTATTTTAAAGTTCAGTATTCGGAGACAGTATATATCCAGGTGAAGCCAGTAACATTAAAGATGAAAGACGGGATGATAGCAAAAGAAAAGGAGGACACTGAAACATGGGACACTGCTGCAATCAACTTTATCAAGCAGTCCATCAAATTAGCGATAGTGGTCTGCAAGATCTGCAGTATGAATCCTGTTACAGGGGTGTATGACGTCATGATGTACAAGCAGAAAACCGTCAGTGAAAAGGTAACTCCCAAATTCACCAATTTTTAGGCATCTTAAGAAAGTAAGAATTGGTTGGACCCTTTCCGTCTCCGTTCCATTGCCAAAAATATCAGATTTTTAGTCTCAATCACAGCAACAACGAGGACTTATCTTCTAGGCTGTTTGTATAAATGAGGAAGTGATAGTGAAAGGCTTTGCCCGGAAGTCCTTACCAGGAGAAGAGGCGTCATCAGCCAGACCAACCCAAGGTCCTGACTTCTCACCGACTACAGGAAGCATTTCAACAGCCAACATATCAGCAGACTCACGGAGAAACAGGAGTCCGGCAGGAAACAATACAGATGCTAGTGTTGGGGGAGGCTCTGACAGAGCTAGAGGACGAGATATTGTTGGGAGAGATTCTCCTAGATCGGGAGCCCTGCCTCAATTCAACCTAAATGCTCAGTGAGTACTTTGTTATGAAATGTTTTGATATCAAGACTTTGTACACTAATGTCTAATCTTTAAACATATAATTTCATTGAGTTCGATATAAGAAAAAATCTCGGATTGCGTTTCTGTGGCAGCTAAATGTTACAATTTTCTAATCTTTCCCATATTCAGCAAGCGTTCGCCTCAAGCCTGTCCACTGATATTAGGTTGTGAAGACTTGCAACCAGTTAACAGTATAGAGAGTTGCAACTTCGAGAAGAAAATCAAAGAACAGTACATCAGAGGCCGGGGAAAGTCCCATACGGATCTTAGCTTGATTCAGAGATACGGCTGGCCTTTCTTTGAAAAAGGTAAAATTATTTGTTAAAACAACGAACTATCATTAAATATAAATATCACCATTTAAGTTTAAAACGATTTCTATCAATTTTGCTGTCATTATTTTTGAGTCGTAAAGTCGTAAAGAATTCTTATTTCAAGACGAACCTCTTATCTCAGTGATAACAATTCTCAGATAATTGATGGCAAGGAATAAAGTTATGTCAATTTAAGTGCAACAATAAGAGCCAGGGAGTCTGCACTACCTGTTGTAACAGTGTCCCATCTCACAGTTTCAGTTCGCAGTCTCTTCAACACCAGATCTAAAAGTAACTTGTGGTCTAGCAGCCCTGTTGCCAATGAGAACACTATGTGTCTTGTCACGTGACCCCAACAAGCCTTTAAAATACCTCCGGAGGTTCTCTCCTCTCAAAATAAGGACGGCCGGGTTCAGGGCAGCATTCACGAACATGGGCACGTACCCAAATATGTAGAAGAGAAGGTACTGGTCTCTAGCGTCCAGTTTTTCTATTGGACTGTTGATCCTGTCAGCCCAGTAGACAGGCTGAAGAAGAGCGAAACTAGAGCAGACGAAGAAGAGGAGAGTTATCATGATAATGGTTATCTCAACCTGCCTGTTCTTCCTAGCCCCACTCTTCTCTGTTGCGCTCTGACCATCAGTCCTCACAAGGTAGAACACTTGAAAACCTGTCAGCACCACAGCTACCACTGCTGGCAGTGTTATTGGGATAATGGTCAGGAACAGTGCCCAGATGAACATGTCCCTGCTTTGCAGTGGCTTGCCTGATGATTCGTGTTGGATGCTCTTCAAGAGACCAGGTTCGTAGAAGGTGTTTTTGAAGAAGTTAACAGAGCTGAGAGGGTTGTGACCCTCTTCCTTGTAGGTTGAGAAGAGAACCAGTTCAACCAGGAACACTGATACCCAGATACCGGTATAAAACAAGATACACACCATCACTACTTTCTTCTTAATCCGGGTAAAGGGGGACATGATGTTCATAGTCCTTATCACAGAGAACAGCAGACTCACAAACGCTGATAACCTGAAGAAGATAATGGTACAGAAGTAAGAGAGGACAGCTACCCAGAAAAGGGGTGCTGACTCCTCAGCCTGGACGATAAGGAAGATGAGGAAAGTAAAGAAATGGAGAAGTGTGGTGATACCGGTACACAGGTCACTGACTCCCAGGATAAAGTAGATAAAGGGTACTGTCTTGTTGAGCTTCCTCCAGTAGAACGTTATCACCACTAAGTTCAGAGAAACTGCAGTGAAAGCTAGTAGTAGGTTGGTGAGCATGATGCAGGAGGTTGCTCCTGTCCCCAGGTAATAGTAGGTGGTTGGATCTTTAGGATCCGTTACAGGGCCCGGAGAGGGGTAGGGGGTCGTGGTGTCCTCAAGTAACATTCCTGAATTTTTATGAAGTATAGTGTTTATATATAACATGTGAGGGTTGAAACTGTGCAACAATGCGAGCTATATAAAACCGATACTACCACTGCACAAAAGTAAAAGTCCTAGCACTGGCCTCTGGTCCAATAGATACGCGATGATTGAAAACCATGACAATTAAATAAATTGAGTCAACCATATCACCGTTCTAATTGAATTAGATAATGACCTCAGTGGAAATGGTGCGATGTGAGCCAAAGTAACCACATCACAATCTTGCGACTATCATTACACTATGAGCTCGCTTCAACACGTCTTAATAATCACTGCTCTAGAAGTTGATATTGAGGGAGAAACTATAAAGTTTTTGAAAGCAGTTTGGATTTATGTAGAGGTTTGGGTTTGGGGTACGTGTTTTTTGTTGTCCAGCAGAGCCATCTACAGATTTTTGTATGTGACTTGACATCTAGCATCTAGAGTAATAAACCATCATCCCAAATATGCGAATAATCCATACAACATGATATCTTTACCGTCTCTTCTTCCCTATTCTATTGAGCACACATGTCTGTTACGAAGTGCCTAACTTTTAGGTTGATCACAATAATATGGTTCTCAAATATCCCAGGAACTGTATTTGGTGGGATTGCGTAACTTTGCAATGAAGCCTATGTAGTAGTGTAGTGGTGTAGTAGTGTAGTAGTGTAGTAGTGTAGTAGTGTAGTAGTGTAGTAGTGTAGTAGTGTAGTAGTGTAGTAGTGTAGTAGTGTAGTAGTGTAGTAGTGTAGTAGTGTAGTAGTGTAGTAGTGTAGTAGTGTAGTAGTGTAGTAGTGTAGTAGTGTAGTAGTGTAGTAGTGTAGTAGTGGCAGCTGGACTAAATGTTTGGTATTTTGTTGCAATATTCGCGGTTTTTTTAACGCCAAATGCGACGCAAAGGTACGGTTACTGCTATTAATTATAATAGATGCGGCAAATTATGATCCGAAATACTAATGTAAGTGATTACGGTGGGATCAATAACTTTTGGTCAAGTTATTTTTTACTCAAATATAAGGCAGTAGGTTAAGATCGCCGTCAGAGTAATGCAGGTGTTATCCTAGCCAAAACTACATGTCATAGTTACGAAACTACGTTAACAGATGAGAGCAAGGCTGCTCTTACAACTCGTCATAAAATAATATTTGTGATGCGGAAAACTGCTGATACCCACATTTCACCCTGGCTCCATAGTATGAAGAATTTGTTTCACTTCTAGAGGAAAAGTTCGAATAGCTAAAATGCGATTCCCCACGCACTTAAATGTTACATAATATGGAGTCATGAGAACTGAACGAAACAAATGAGCATTATTCTGGAACGAAACTCTCACGTATTGATAATAACGAATGATAAAGATAACGGAAGTCTTAGTCACAGATGGGCACATCTGATCAACAAAATCTGATTTTGTTTCAAATAAATCAGAACAACCATGGCACCATGGATAGGAGCATTATGAAAAGTACGCGCTACATGGCCACCATGAAAAGGAGACATGACGTGCTGTGAGACGCAGTAAAAACTGGTTAGGATTGAGTAATGTCGTTAGTAAGGAACAAGTTACCAGTTGTCAGGTCCCCTGATCCCTGGACGGTAGTATGGCAAAATGAAACATGAGCATCCTCCGGTAATGGTCAATCTCTTTATGGGGCTCTGCGTGCCATGACTGCACTTGTTTGGTAGATAAAATAAGTTATGCTTCATTGAAGCGAAACTTTGTATGGCTAGCGAAAAGATGATAACATTTTCGTGAAGACTATGCTCATTATAAGGTAATGCATGGTTGAAGTTTGAGCCATTTTTGAGTTACAACGGTCGACTGAATTTCCCCAAAAGAATTGAGATGACAATAAAGTATCGAGTGTCGGTGATGGACATTAACGTGAAATGGTCGTTGGTCGAATAACCACAAGATAGTCGGGGAGACTGTTCCAGTCTCAGACTCACAGATTGTAGCTTTCTGTGAACCGTGTTTACATGAGGGTTAATTATATTTGGTTGTAATATTGTGATTAGGGGGGACGGATATTAGAGACCTTCCCTATCTTCCTTATTATGTGTTTTAATGTCGGCGTTCGAGAGTTCGAGATATTGATATAATATCATGAATCATGATATGATTTTACTCGTAAACTATGAATTAATGTTAATTTGAATATCAATCATTATATAATATGGGCTTTAATAGATAGTATCACATTTAGTGATGTGTGAAATGACTGGATGGGAGGTAAAACGGTAAAACGGTAAAACGGTAAAACGGTAAAACGTTACAACACTGCGACCATGCTGAACTCACAGGATCACAGGATGATTGTACTATTATCTTATTACAATATGATATAATCAGACTCCTTCCTAATTCTGAGCTAATAATCGTTTAGATAATCAGTTGAAATAAGAGTTATTGATACTAGAAGATGGGTAAGCTAGCTATAACAAGGTATGTAATAATGTGGTGGGCCCTTTATTTCTCTAAGATTACGGTTGCTAGGACAGATAATAGAAAATGGGCCGAGAAAAGCCAACTTGGATAAGAATATATAGCAATAATTAAAGGCTTTAACTTCAATTATTACATGTGCAATCACTTTCTTAATTGAGATAAGACTTAATCGGGTCTTTGCATCCTGATTCCTGACGCAGCCGAATGATCTGAAAACAGTTATAGAGGGTTAAATGAGGAGTCACGTTTAGTCAGGTCCACATCATTGCAACCGTCGCTGGCTCCAGTAATCTGCCGGCTAATTAGTTGCCACGTGGCTGCTTGATTTACTGAATCGAGAAGAATGAAAAGTATAAGGTATAAGTTGACAATATGTTTGTGGTATTACTCTACATCTCAGAGCTCCGGCAGCTGATATCAATTACAACCGGTAACGAGGTCTGATCGTCATCTTCTTACAGCGTTCGATGTCTGTGTGAAGGTAAAATAGTGACTTCCTCTGGATCGGGCAGAGGTCGAGTGTTATCGGGATTACTTCTGTAGTAGTTGTACAGCAATACTACAGTCCCATTACTTTAGTATTGCTGTACAACTACTACAAATTACAACCGGTGTTGATAATGGACCACAAGTCATATTCCTGAAATAGCACCATTAATTGGACATGTAATATTACAGGTAGAGACGGGGTGTTGGTGTTCCCTCCAGACAACACACTGCGAACTGAACTCACTTTTCTGCTTCCCCTGCTTAGCAACATCGCTAAGGGAACATATGGTACATTCCCACGATCTTACTCCGTGAGTTATAAGCTACTTTTCTTGTTTCATAAGCATCTTATTCATTTATTTGTCTAAAATTGTGTTTCATTGGAGTTTTTACCAATTTAAATTGTGCATTTCTAACCAAATCCGCAGTAACAGTTTAACGTTTATTCCTGTTATTCCCCCAGCCCAAGATATTGATCATCGTACCATCCTGTGAGGACGCTGATCTGCTTATGAATTACTGTAGAGAGTCCCTGGACGAGTCTATGAAATTTTCTCTAAGGTAAGTTCATAACATCTGAGTAGTTATTTTCATATCTGAGGAATAAATGGCATTTTTATGAATTTCAGCACATCACTTCTTAGCCATTCATTTGATAGTAGACCTCGTTGAAATACAGCGAAATGATCACAGGTATTTATGGTCTGTCGTGGAATTCTCCGCATATAGCATCTTGTTCTGTTCATTATACGGATTCCGGGAATCATTCTCTTTAAGCACTCTCTTTAAGCATCAAATTCTGCATTGCGATATCGTTAATTTAAAAATGAGTAGTTATAGGACTGTCTCCTTTTTTCAGTGTCCATAAAGCGTATACCTTGTCCAAATGCTGTCCTCATGCAGAGTTGTGGAACACTCAGACCATCTTGATTGTAACTCCTGACAGCCTGGTTAAAACACACACCGAACACATTCCTTCTGACGGCAAGTAAGTAACACACACCGAACACATTCCTTCTGACGGCAAGTAAGTAACCCACACCGAACACATTCCTTCTGACGGCAAGTAAGTAACCCACACCGAACACATTCCTTCTGACGGCAAGTAAGTAACCCACACCGAACACATTCCTTCTGACGGCAAGTAAGTAACCCACACCGAACACATTCCTTCTGACGGCAAGTAAGTAACCCACACCGAACACATTCCTTCTGACGGCAAGTAAGTAACCCACACCGAACACATTCCTTCTGACGGCAAGTAAGTAACCCACACCGAACACATTCCTTCTGACGGCAAGTAAGTAACCCACACCGAACACATTCCTTCTGACGGCAAGTAAGTAACCCACACCGAACACATTCCTTCTGACGGCAAGTAAGTACCCCACACCGAACACATTCCTTCTGACGGCAAGTAAGTAACCCACACCGAACACATTCCTTCTGACGGCAAGTAAGTAACCCACACCGAACACATTCCTTCTGACGGCAAGTAAGTAATAAAACCCACACCGAACACATTCCTTCTGACGGCAAGTAAGTAACCCACACCGAACACATTCCTTCTGACGGCAAGTAAGTAACCCACACCGAACACATTCCTTCTGACGGCAAGTAAGTAACCCACACCGAACACATTCCTTCTGACGGCAAGTAAGTAATAAAACCCACACCGAACACATTCCTTCTGACGGCAAGTAAGTGACTTACTGGACAGTATTTTTATAGTTGGAAGGTTACAAGGATATAGATTTGGTGTATTTCTTGTGAAAATTGAATTACATGTAACTAAAAACCGGTATTTTCTCAGGAGTATTTACTACAACTGCACCTGTCACGTGGTGTTACATAAGTCACATGATCTATTTACTCGACATAGAGAGAGCATGCAACAGATATTAGCAGGGTTGAGGGAGGAGAGGAGTGAACAGGTACAGTTATTATTGTTCTAAATACTTGCTGTTATGGAACATTCTACCTACTGTCTCTTCAGCTTAATACGATTACTCATAAAAATTTCTCCTCGTTTTCACTTGCTTCATTTGAGGACACTATGCCGATTCTTTACGCTTCTAAAAATTGTACTGTTTAAATCTATTGAATATCTCCAACATAACCACTACAGGAATACGCACACGCGTGTACTGTTTAAATCTATGGAATCTCCAACTTAACCACTACAGGAATACGCACACGCGTGTCAGATCACACTTTTTTCGGACGTGTGGTTACCAGTGTTCCACGCTGTGATCAGACAGTTCATGACGGATCCTATCATCATGTTGCTGAACAGAACAGAGGCTGCCCTCTTTGGGGGCGTCACTTCCGTACGTACATTATATTATATCATATTCCATTTTGTATTATTCTCAATATAATATGTTGAGAATAATACAATACTTAGTTTTATTTCGTTTCATACATAATATTATTATGTATGAATCGAAATAAAACTTGCAGTTTTTAATTAAATTTGTGGAATTTTGTATTGTCAAATGTTTATTCTAAAGCCCTATGTTATGATTTGTGTTTCTTGATGCTTTTAATTAACTTTCAGTACGTTGAAGAATTCTCCAGTGCAGCTTCCAAAAGAGATTCTTTTATATCTACGACAAGAAAGTTATGTGATAAGAAGAAGAAAACTGCTATCCTTGTAAAATCTCGCTCTGAAGACTTGGTGCAGGTGTATTTTCAAATATATTTTAATCCTTCAAAGTTGGGACTTTTTTACAGTCCATTATAATTTTCTACTGCTAAGTACTAATACTTCAGTTCACGTCTATTTTATCTGCAAGGTACTAAAAAGTAAAGCTGTGCCATGCACCGAATTAGATACAAATGGTTCACAGCTCCAAAACTGGTCTCCTGGTAGCGCTATGGGTATGTTTTTAGATGTTCTTAACTTAAATTCTACTGCAACTCCAAAACCTGAATTAACTAGGTCGTGACAGAGAGGGAGAATCAACACATGGGAGTATTCCACCCTTTTATGATTCATTGCCTTTCAATGCTGATTTGTAATAGATTTTGAGAGGAAACAAAAGTGTTTCTACTACGATAATTTGACTACTTTTCACTTTCGCCCCTATTTATGGCAAACGCCGTGCTGTCCACAAATATATAATTAACGAAGGAACACGCGAAAACAAAATTATTATTTGATAGCGCGCACGCGCATTTTTCAACACGTGCTTGTAGATCACAGTGAACGGGGGAACTACAACTCGTTCTATCATGACAGTCAAACCGAAACGTTAAGTAGATTAGTGATTACACTCAACTTTTACCCTAATGTAGAGGTTTGATCTAAATTAGACCCCACATGATGTACATCATTTATACCGTATTTTATCCCAGTTATTAACGACGTGATGGCTGCGAGCTACTGTGTACAAGACTGTGATGTGATTCTGCACTATGATATGCCTGGCAGCTTGACTGCCTTCAACAACCGGCTGTCCTTCTTAGAGTCCCATCTGAAGGGGCTTCTTACAGTGAGTCACTGAATGATATGGCCAGTTTGGAATAATTGTAACTTTTAGATAGTGTTAATAGCATATCGCTGAAATCTCTCACTAACATACCCATTACACAGGCTCAGGATTGTCTGTCCATCTTCTTCCTAACGGAGGATGAGGATCCACAAAGTGTAAACAATCTGGTCAAGTATCTGAGTAGACACAGTGTTACCGTACCGAAGAGTCTTCAAGAAAAAGCTGACAGGGGCGAGGTGAGATCAATTTTCAGATTATTGTTGAGAGCTGCTAACAAATATTCGGCATAATATCAAATTAGAATCCATTGTAGATAAGCCACAAACTAGTTGCGATCATTTGCAGAACATAAGACAGAAAGAGAAGTCAGGAAAAGATCTGTGCCCCTATCTGCGGCAGTACGGTTCCTGCACTGCACGTGCTTGTTCGATGAGACACGTGGTCCTCGTCACAGACGCTCCCGGATCCAGTCTCAAAGTTATGAACCTCCCGCTCAAAGGCAAAATCAGGGTGAGATTCCAAACGGGTTACATTTTAAGCTGGCGTGTAAGAGATAATTTGCGAATTTGAACGACATATTGTTTAATTTCTAACTAAAAAAAGTAACTGATCAGGTGAAAGTAAGCTCGGTAGCAGATGGGAACAGGCTCTACGGTAGAATAATGTCAGTTGATCCTGATCCAGGTAGTTGTTCTAATGCTGAGGAGGAGTTCCAGAGATACAGTGATAAAGTCCAGGGCTGGTTCAATGACAAACCTTCCCTTATCGGTACGTTTTCGTTAGTAACACTACAAATTTGCATTTGTAAGAACCTTTTCTAAAATCGTCATTGTGTAATCATAAAATAGGTTAAAGACACTATCCCATTATGAGCAATTTGCGCATTGAAACGCTGCTAGTTATATCGTTTGTTAAGATATCGCTCAGCTCTTATGGTTGTTACAAAACCATTAAATTTGCTAGATAACATTTGTGAAATTACCGAAGAATTACCCTCAATCTTTTTACAGACGAGGACCAACTACGAGAAAATCTTAAGCGAGGAAAAGAGGTTATAGTGGGAGTGAAAGACAAGAAGGACGGGATATTTTACAGGCAAGCACAACAATTCACTCTAACAACTAATTTACTGTTAAGACATTTCCAATCCGAGAAGACTCCTCGACGCAGTAAAACTTATTTCATTAAAAAAACTAAAGATTGATGAGTATAGTCAAATTGTACACGTTATTTACCCACACTTTCGCTACCACAGAGCACGTGTCAAGTCGATCCGTTACAATGCGGACCGAGAAGGAAAGCTAGACGGTATAATTGGTCAGTGCCTGGACACCGGCTCAGAAGGACTCTACCCGCTGGAAGCTGTGTACCGTTTCCCTGCTCGGCTAGCTGAACGTCCTGCCTTTACCACTGAGCTTATCGTGTGCGGGATAAAACCAACCGAGAATGATCTACATTTCTCCAGTTATTGTAAGAGAGAGTTGGTTGGTAGGGTGGTGGGGGAAGTGCTGGAGGGTAACATCGAGCTAGCTCTCGGCAACACTCTCTGGGTCAGGTTTGTCAATGCTACTCGGTAGGATAGTCAGAATAGGAAACTTTTTTCCAGCAAAATCTCACTCGAAAAGTTAAGATATATTTCCGGTGATCATGATCTAATCATGAAATGTTAATTTTAACTTCAAATCTCGACTGCACTTTGATACTCTGAAACTTTGTCCCATTTTCTTACCTAAAACTATCCCCTTCTCAGAACACTTGAGAAAAGGCAGCTGTTGAAGAACTTGAAACTTATGTCATCCGAGCTTAGTGTTAAAAAGGTCATCTCTGACCACATGTTTGGTGTGTCCAATGATGAGGTTTGTACTTTGATATTTGTTTGTAAACAAAAATTTTCTGCCCCCTTGTTTATAGAAATCCTTCCGCTCGACAGTGCAGTGTGCACTGTGGAGAGCGATAATATGTCTCGGTCTACACTTAACTTACACTTAACTGTACAGTCGGACGTTAAAATTGATAACTGATGATTTACACGAAACCAACAACTGAACCACTCTCAACTCCCAGCACATAAAACTGCTACGAGCAGCTGTAAGAGAAGCACTTCCAGACGAGGTACCAGATGAGATCAGTGACGTCACGATATCACGTGTCACTGTAGATAAGAGTTCACAGCACGTGGTGTGTGTCTCTCATATAGAGTCTCCTCACAACCTTAACGTTAATATCGTCGAAAACATGGCCAGGTTGGATTATTTATTCTTCATTTCTTGGTTTGTTGGAGAAACTAATTTAGTTCCTTTGGTTTAACTTAGTATATTATTTACAATACCAGTGATATCGTTAATGCTTCTGTTTATTTTCTACAATTTGATATCCCTTTCCTTAGTTTGGCAGACATGGAGGACCGGATTAATAACAACAAACTCTTAGACAGTATACTACCCAGCTGGTTACCAAAACACACTTATTGTATGGCGAGATACAGCAAGGATAACCGGTAAGAACTGGAGGAACGTTACTAGAATTTCAGCTTTTCACTTCAATTGTAATTGTCTGATTCACAAGTAACAAGAACATTCTTAAGTATCATTAATACTCATTACTCATTCCAGCTGGTACAGAGCAGAGGTATTGAAAACGTGGCACGACAAGTACCACGTGTATTTTGTAGACTACGGTAACGAAGATAAAGCTGTTCCTTCTAACTTCGTCAAGACTATACCGTCTCATCTTTTAGAGGTAATCTATCCTGTTAACTGTGATTCTCTGTACCGTCTCATCTTTTAGAGGTAATCTATCCTGTTAACTGTGATTCTCTAAACCGTCTCATCTTTTAGAGGTAATCTATCCTGTTAACTGTGATTCTCTAAACCGTCTCATCTTTTAGAGGTAATCTATCCTGTTAACTGTGATTCTCTATACCGTCTCATCTTTTAGAGGTAATCTATCCTGTTAACTGTGATTCTCTGTGATAATCCAATCTTTTAGAGGTAATCTATCCTGTTAACTGTGATCCTCTGTACCGTCTCATCTTTTAGAGGTAATATATCCTGTTAACTGTGATTCTCTATACCGTCTCATCTTTTAGAGGTAATATATCCTGTTAACTGTGATCCTCTGTACCGTCTCATCTTTTAGAGGTAATCTATCCTGTTAACTGTGATCCTCTATACCGTCTCATCTTTTAGAGGTAATCTATCCTGTTAACTGTGATTCTCTATACCGTCTCATCTTTTAGAGGTAATCTATCCTGTTAACTCTGATTCTCTGTACCGTCTCATCTTTTAGAGGTAATCTATCCTGTTAACTGTGATCCTCTGTACCGTCTCATCTTTTAGAGGTAATCTATCCTGTTAACTGTGATTCTCTATACCGTCTCATCTTTTAGAGGTAATATATCCTGTTAACTGTGATCCTCTGTACCGTCTCATCTTTTAGAGGTAATCTATCCTGTTAACTGTGATTCTCTATACCGTCTCATCTTTTAGAGGTAATATATCCTGTTAACTGTGATCCTCTATACCGTCTCATCTTTTAGAGGTAATCTATCCTGTTAACTGTGATCCTCTGTACCGTCTCATCTTTTAGAGGTAATATATCCTGTTAACTGTGATCCTCTGTACCGTCTCATCTTTTAGAGGTAATCTATCCTGTTAACTGTGATTCTCTATACCGTCTCATCTTTTAGAGGTAATCTGTCCTGTTAACTGTGATTCTCTATACCGTCTCATCTTTTAGAGGTAATCTATCCTGTTAACTGTGATTCTCTGTACCGTCTCATCTTTTAGAGGTAATCTATCCTGTTAACTGTGATTCTCTATACCGTCTCATCTTTTAGAGGTAATCTATCCTGTTAACTGTGATTCTCTGTACCGTCTCATCTTTTAGAGGTAATCTATCCTGTTAACTGTGATTCTCTATACCGTCTCATCTTTTAGAGGTAATCTATCCTGTTAACTGTGATTCTCTATACCGTCTCATCTTTTAGAGGTAATCTATCCTGTTAACTGTGATCCTCTATACCGTCTCATCTTTTAGAGGTAATCTATCCTGTTAACTGTGATTCTCTGTACCGTCTCATCTTTTAGAGGTAATCTATCCTGTTAACTGTGATTCTCTGTACCGTCTCATCTTTTAGAGGTAATCTATCCTGTTAACTGTGATTCTCTATACCGTCTCATCTTTTAGAGGTAATCTATCCTGTTAACTGTGATTCTCTAAACCGTCTCATCTTTTAGAGGTAATCTATCCTGTTAACTGTGATTCTCTATACCGTCTCATCTTTTAGAGGTAATCTATCCTGTTAACTGTGATCCTCTATACCGTCTCATCTTTTAGAGGTAATCTATCCTGTTAACTGTGATTCTCTGTACCGTCTCATCTTTTAGAGGTAATCTATCCTGTTAACTGTGATTCTCTATACCGTCTCATCTTTTAGAGGTAATCTATCCTGTTAACTGTGATTCTCTGTACCGTCTCATCTTTTAGAGGTAATCTATCCTGTTAACTCTGATTCTCTGTGATAATCCGCATAACTAGTATTTTAGAGGTAATCTGTCCTGTTAACTGTGATTCTCTGTGATAATATAATATATATAATCCAAATAACTAGGAAGCTCGTGTTAATCTTGGTGGCATATTGAATTTGAAAGTTGATCAGGTAGATTATAATATTATGAAAATAATTATAAAAAACTAAGCATAGAATAGTGTAAACGGAGCTACTAAACCAGTCTGGTTTAAGGTTTATAATATTATCCGGGAATTATTTCCCCGAAAAGTCGTGGACACTGGTAACCGATAATTTTCCGCAAGGGTTGCCATAGTATTATGAGGACAGACTGCGAGTCACCTCAGATGTGCCCCCGCGTTCCCTCCGCTAAAGCATCGGGAATTATCGCGGGTAGCACTCAACAGCCAAGATATTATTGTATTGTAATGTGTTACACTCTGTGATATAAAGTCTTGTAGAGTACAATACGCATTATACCTACAATTTACCCAAGGAATGATTACCTTCAGTTGCCGTTCCAAGCAGTGCGGTGTAAACTAGCAGATATCAGCCCCATAACAGAGTACTGGAATCCAGCAGACCAGCAGGTTATGTCTGAGGTTACAGAGGGGGAGGACTTCTATCTGGAGCTCATGGAGGGACCAGGTAACTTGGGGACATATTCTCAACAAAGCCGTCAAACTGCTAGTCTTGGGATCACATTTACCAACACATAATGATGTTTAGTTATTAAGATAATAAGCTAGAGAGCATTTTGGATATCTACATAAACCACATTCCACCATACCTCCCTCATTTGATATCTACATACAGCGGGCACTAAACCACATTCCACCATTTCTCCCTCATTTGATATCACGATAATATATCCCTCAGATGATGATAATCTGTACACAGTAAAGTTGAGTTACACAGACGATGGAGCTAGTCTTGTGGACATTCTCTGTAGAGAGCCAGCTGGTATGAACTCCTCTCATATCAAGAACAGTGTTTTTGGGGACCTCATGGAAACGGTGAGTTATTTACTGATCAGTAGATGATGTTTATCTTTTATTTGTACTCCGAGGAGTCCGCATATTATGTTAAAGTGCTTCTCGTAGTCAAAATAAGCTTCAGCATGGTTGCGCAACATAGCATTATAGTACAGTTAAATGTACCGTTTTATATTGTCGAAAGTAATATTATAACACTATCGTATTCAGCGGTTATTTAAGCCAGATTTTATGGCTATTCTTTTATTTTCAGTTGTACAAGAGCAAGGAGGATTACCTCTCGTTGTGTTCAGCTGATAAACTCGAGTCTCAGATAACATCACCTGACTCAAGGATCACGCCATCTGATCTGGTGACTCTATGTAGACTCACTAAAATTAGAAATCAGGACCAGGACATCCTGGATCATCTCATAAGATCTCTCACTCATGTAATCTCAAAATCAGGTTCGTGTTTATTATACTGCTCCGTAATCTAATTTCGTTTTATTCCGGATTATTGAATGCTTGGCTTCGAGCTCTCCTTTTGTAGCGATGTTGGTAAATATTGATACAAAAAGGAGTACTAGATGTGTATAGTGTATACTAACCAAGCATTAATGAAGGTTTACTCCCCATTTCAGATGGCTGGAGTAACGAAGTGGTACAAGAAGTGTTTCTAGGACCTCTAATAGACAAGCTAGCATCTCCCTCAGCCTTACACGCTGCTGTGGCTAACCTTATATCAGCCATCGGCACAGATACAGGTGAGCACACCCTTCTAATCGTTATCACTGATAATTTCTTTATCAATAATATCACGATGTACTGAAACTGTAGTCAGATTTAAAGTACATCTCATTATTTATCTCACCATTTACTGCACTGTTAACTAAGTTAATCTAGCGTCCTGTTAGTAGTTAAAAGCTAATCTAGCGTCCTAAACCTCCTACTTATCTCAGAGGTGTTTAATCACTGTATCTTGGAGACCAAGTGTATAGTGTCCCTCTGTGAGCTGTGTGTCTACAAAGCGGACCAGACCCCTAAGTTACTGGCAGTGTTACATGCCATTGAAACGTTAGCTACTGCTATCACGGTGGGAGAGGGAGGAGCTACTGCTATAACGGTGGGAGAGGGAGGAGGGGACGCGTTAAAGGGATCTGACTACATTCGCAAGGAGATTGTTGCTACCGGTTGGTTAATGGTTATTCCATTTTCAACTTTCAAACTTTTCAGATAAGATTTTTTGGAGATTTAAAAAGCTTATTTACGTTATATACGTACCAGGTTGAAATGGGAAAGTCGGATATTTTAATAGTTTAACTGTGTTATTCCTGCAGGACATGTTCGAACATTATGCAAGTTCGTCCGAGAATCTTCGGATGAGTGTCTGGAGAAAGTACTGATCGTATTAGCAAGGATATTTGAAGTCGAGAAAACTTCCAGTATGTTTTATAGTTATAATACCTTTTAACCTAAAATCCACTAGGTTCAGAAACACACACTACATCATCATGAACTGCGTAGACTCCGCCTCGTTCTCCTTTTACCTTCCCATTTTTATATTCTGTGATTACAATCGCTTATCGCTACCCCAAATATACTAATTTGAATAATTTCAGGCAGTCAGCGTATATACAGAGGCTTCAAAGAGGAAGGGGGTATTATAGATGTTTGTAAAGCTACTAGAAGGACAAACTCTACTGCTATCATTGATATCGTCAACTCACTCGATCTGGATAGACCAGAGGTTAGCAATAGTTGTTATAATACAATTATATACAATTATGTGATATATCTTGATAGTTATAAATGGTTGGTATAATATTCAAATATTGGTTGTAACTTGCTTTTCAGACATTAACTATTCTGAAGAAAGAAGGTCTGGCTGAATGGTTTAAAGCTCTGAGAGAAAAGAGAAGAGATTTTGGGACACGTATTGCGTGTGATCAGTTCTACAAACGTATTTCATCTCACAAGGTAGACATTTTCTACAATCTACAATTTATTTCGTCTCTCGATGTTCAATAGATCAAATAGTAGTTCAAACAGTAAACAGTAAACAGTAAACAGTAAACAGTAAACAGTAAACAGTAAACAGTAAACAGTAAACAGTAAACAGTAAACAGTAAAAAGTAAACAGTAGGGGGGGGGTCAACCTCATTTTACCTCATGAGGCCAGCCAAAAAAGGCAAAATTGGGATGAGGTAAAATGAGGTAAAATGAGGTAAATAAATCTAGTTTTCTAAGCCTTTTTTTAGAGACAAAAAAGGTTTATTCGAAGTCATTATACTATAATTCGAGGCTGTGCATGGTCTCCCATGATATTTAATGGTTTATTAGGGGTGATGTGGTCCCTGGGAAGGGGCATTCCCAGTTTAACCTACTTACTCTCAAAACTTGGGGTAAATAAAACTTCGCATTATAATTATTATTTATGAAAAGAAAATTGAACATTTCAATTTCCATGATCCATTAGGAAATTGTTAATAGCACTTGCTAAGTTTTGTAAAGGAATTAGCAATAACTTTAGTGTCACTTTGGCAGTTGCCAATTTATGGGGATATTTCCGCATTGCATGACATGGACCATTTAAATAATATCTTAGTTTGATATTGCGATTATCGAGTCACTCTGAAACAAATTGTGTCTAACTAGACCAAATGTAAACAACAGTTGTGCATGGAACTGGATTGGATATCTACATGAATTTAGTCGAAATTGCATAGTGAAAGGTCATTTCATAATAAATTACTCATATAAACTCATACTTCATACTATTCTAAGTTCTTATGTACATGTTCAATGTTTCGCTGTAGAATAAAGGGCGGTTCAGAAAACCACCTTTCGTTGAAATAATTAGATATCACCTCTAATTAGTTGCTCTATAGGGTCGGGAACAACCAAAAAAATTTTTGTGTCTCTAAGGTTTCGTATAATACTGACTTGGGCCACGCCCATATTTTTCACCAATTTTTAACAGGTAAAATTCTCTAAATCGTCAATTTAGTCACGAAGGAGTTTGGAAGGAGTTCTAAATGTGTGCTCTTCTAATAGAAACAGTAGGAAATGGTTAACTTTAGTCGAGGTTTCAGGTCTCTACAATGTCGGGAAGTTCCTGCAGGAATTTGCGCATTGCGCTGAAGCGCAAGATTCACAGCACCAAAAGCGAAGGTCGTAGAGACATGAGACCTTGACTAAAGTTAACCATTTCATACCATTGCTATAAGAGTATGCCACTTTCAGAGTCCTGAACACACTCCTACAGCTCTTAATCGTCAATTATATGAATTTTACCTGTTAAAATATATCATCTTTAACTGATATCAATTTAGTTTAACACTGTTAATTTTTTTAAAAAACATAATACTTCACACCAAACTAACGCACAATATGATAGTATAAAAAAGGAAGGTTTTCCTTGGATTCCAAATTCAACTTTGATTATATCCTGGCACTGATTATCATTTGGGCAATTCCACCGTGACGGACACCACGATTATGCCATTTTTTAAAGTTCAAACGAATGTTGTGCTCAGGATGTTGCTTCTTTATCAGCTTAAACTATTTATTAGTCCACATTTAACCTTTCTATAGGTTGTGTGAAAATTTCAGACCCCTACCATTATTACTTTCTGAGATAGCACCCCTGTGACGGACGCGACTTAAATATGACACTTTTTTGGGTGTCTACTCAGAAGGTACCCAAATCTATCTCAAAACGTTATCTATTATCTCTAATTTGGACATGCAGTGATAGAAAAAGGTTGAGGGATTTCTGAGATACCATTTTTTTGGAGATTGCTCAGTTTTTGTTTGCGTGGCGCCATTTTCAAATTGTGACGGACGTGACTGTGACGGACACACGTTTTTTTTCAATTTCTCCAAATCTTCTATTTGACACTATTATCTTGTTCAGTGACCTTCATTCTATATTTATGCCAATTTTTAGGCCGCTAGTACTTCCACGAGGTCTGCAAAAGCCAAAATCGTCCATTTTGGGCATACACGAGGGTATCAATCTAGGGGCAGCAATTATTTCTCTACTTGAACAAATTTATAACTCTGGTAAAACATTCATCTCTGTTCAACACATCACACTGTTGAGACCATCTCCCAAAAGTTTCATTACTTTAGTGTTTAAAATGTGGAAGATATTGAATTTTTACTTCAAAAATATGCGAAAATAGGGTAAAGTCCATTTTTTGTGCCTTTTACCCCTGAAAAAGGATAGGGCAAATAAAATGGCAAAACTCAGTAAATTTAATTATTGAATTGCATATGATGTTATTTGATAGTCTAGTCAACATAGTCAAACCTTATTTGACTTCAATTTGTCTTGGTTTTAGTCAAAATAATGGAAATATGGATAAAAATGGCTAAAAGTGAGCCGTACGCCCATATATGGGCATATACAAAATTATACATAACTCAGTCATTTTCTGTCCAATTTTCGATTTGACAACATCGTTTTGTTAAGAACGGTCTCAGCTTTAACAAAAATGCATTTAAAGTCTGTTAAAAGATTTTTTGGAGCATTTTCAAAAAAATGTGACGGACGCGACAAGTTGGGACCCCCCTTCCAAAAATTTTTTCTTAAAAGATACAAGCCTGATAATTTCTACGGTACTCCCTTACCTTCAGAAGAGATAGGTTACAGCGGTTTTTCAATATAAATAGCACTATGTGGCTCTGAAAAAACTTTTTTGCTTAATTTTGTGACGGACGCGACACCATCTTTGTGGAAATTTTTTAGAAAAATTATTCGAGTAACGGTTTTGAAACTTTGCATGGCTCTCATTCTTATGCCTATGCTTAAGTGTATGGAATTTCATAGAGAAATATTCCTGCATACCCAAACTATGGCCCTTTGAAAATTTGAATGATTTTTTTTCATTTCCGAGTAATGTTCCTTTGAATGAGAAAAATCAAAAGTTAATGCAATTACTCCAGTAGCAGGGAATAGTTGAGTGTGCACTTCGATGTATACGATTTCTGACAACACAGGGTTGTTTGATAGATCATTCTTAACCAAAATCGTTTAGGTACGCAATTTGTGTCGCTAGACATAACCCTACAGGGCAAATTTTCTAAATTACCCTCAGTCGCGTATACGGGATTTTTGTATTTCAGCTCCTGAAGGTCATAGAGACTTCAATTTTAGCTTAAAATTACCGCAATGGCCATATTTATATACAAGTTCTGAAGCAACATAAGGTCTCCAGTGCTTTGTTTTATAGATATTGACAAAAAACTGTTTTTTGGCTCAGCGAACCAAAAATGGGACTGAATTTTGGTAACTTGAACTAGGAAGATCGTAGAGACTTGAATTTAAGCTTAAAATGAGCGCAAACATCACATTTATATACAACTTATAAAGCAATATAAGCCATTTAATGCTTATTTGTTAAGATATTGACAAAAATCGGTCATTTTGGCTACACGCGTGAGGAAAAATACCAAATTGGGCAACAACTTTGGTCTTTTTTTGACCAGTTTTGTGCTCAAGTTATTAAAATGTGCTTTGATGTTGTAGATCGGGTGTTTTCTTCCAATATGGGTTTCGGTATAAATCCGGAAGCACCCGGTTCATGGGTGATAGGGGTTAAAAACCCTAAAATGTCAGGCGATGGGCGAGACAATTGTCTGAATTTGGTTATAAAAACACTTGCACTCTTTGCTAGGGTTTGCTTTTTTCTGCTTTTTTCTAACTACTAATCATCCGCATCTAGATCATTCTCTTTTAGATACATGATTTCTATAAGGTACATCCGGCATGATGTAAATTCTATATCAAAGCATTTTAATGTGGTCTTAACAAGTTGCAAGATATTCAAGTTCACTAATAAAACAAAGATTGTAGGTTATAATCCTTCTTTTAGTTTTACATTTTGAATAATTTTGGCTACACAGGAAAGATACCAAATTGGTTTAGCAAACTAAGATGGTAGGTTATTTATCATTCTTTACATGATTATTGACACAACTTCATTATAGTTAAACCTGTATTATTTTAAATATTTAATATTTATCCACACTCTCCATAAGAATATTATTGGGAGTCATTTTTGTGGTTAAAATTCGATTAAATCAGTATTTCCAAGCAAAAAACTGTCCCAAATTTCTCCTCCGAATATGGTCCGCTAGTTCGAAATTTAAGCACTTATGAACGCTATTGTTAGACATAACATTAGTGTAATACCACTGAGACCAGATGTAGTGATCTATTCAGATAAAGCAAAGAAGGTGCATCTGAATGAGGAGAACTTTGCTGATCAGGGGGGAAGCCAAGGCGAATTTTGGCGAATTATGTATCAATTAATTATGGCGATTTCCAAAATCCATTAAGGCATTCGCCAAAATTCGTCAAAATTCGCCTTGACCTCCCCCCTGATCAAGAGAAAAGAATATGAAGAGATATCAGCAGCTGACAGAATTGAAGAGATTGCAAGCTCCAGACAGTAGCAGTTCGAGTTCGAGTTCGAGGCATTTACAACTGCAGCCTCCAAACCTTTATGAACCACTGCACCTTGAACGTAAACACTAAAGAGAAAAAGGCCTGCATGAAGATCGCTGAAATTAGCATGAGGGCATCATACACCATCTATCTGTCCAGAAACACCATTATATGGACAGATGATTGGGAGTTAGTCCAGAGGCTAGTAATTGCATACTGCATAGTAGGAGCGTATACGGTATAATGTTTGTAGAATGTAATTATTTTTACAAACTACCGTTCAAAACTTATAGATCAAGTGATTGCCTACTCACAATTATATTACAACGTCGTGGGGTCAGTTGATAAAAATTGTTGCTAAAAATCAGGAGCAAGCGTCTTGAAACAGGATACCATGAATCTGAATAAGTTTTAAGTAGTTTCATTCTACGTTTAATATTATCATTGGGTCGTTTACGTTAAAGTTATATTCGGCCATTTTATAGCCTCCCCCTCAAAAAGCCCACAATTACTCAATATTACGTCATGTAAAAGAAGGATAACCTACAATCTTTGTTTTATATTAGTGAATTTGAATATCTTGCAACTTGTTAAGACCACATTAAAATGCTTTGATATAGACTTTACATCATGCCGGATGTACCTTTAAGAACTTATAGAAATCATGTATCTAAAAGAGAATGATGTAAAGGGGGATGCATTAGTAGTTAGAAAACTGATCGCTGTAGCGGAAAAAAGCAAACCCTAGCAAAGAGTGCAAGTGTTTTTATAACCAAATTCAGACAATTGTCTCGCCCATTGCCTGACGTTTTAGGGTTTTTAACCCTTATCACCCATGAACCGGGTGCTTCCAGATTTATACCGAAACCCATATTGGAAGAAAACACCCGATATACAAAATCAAAGCACATTTTAATAACTTTCGAGCACAAAACTGGTCAAAAAAAGACCAAAGTTGTTGCCCAATTTGGTATTTTTCCTCACGCGTGTAGCCAAAATGACCGATTTTTGTCAATATCTTGACAAATAAGCATTTAAGGGCTTATATTGCTTTATAAGTTGTATATAGATGTGATGTTTGCGCTCATTTTAAGCTAAAATTCAAGTCTTTACGATTTTCCTAGTTCAAGTTATCAAAATTCAGTCCCATTTTTGGTTCGCTGAGCCAAAAAACAGTTTTTTGTCAATATCTATAAAACAAAGCACTGGAGACCTTATGTTGCTTCATAACTTGTATATAAATATGGCCATTGCGGTAATTTTAAGCTAAAATTGAAGTCTCTATGACCTTCAGGAGCTGAAATACAAAAATCCCGTATACGCGACTGAGGGTAATTTAGAAAATTTGCCCTGTAGGGTTATGTCTAGCGACACAAATTGCGTACCTAAACGATTTTGGTTAAGAATGATCTATCAAACAACCCTGTGTTGTCAGAAATCGTATACATCGAAGTGCACACTCAACTATTCCCTGCTACTAGAGTAAATATGAAACAAAAAACTTTTGTTGACCTGTAAGGTTAAGAGTCTAATGAACATATTTTAACCAAAATTAGGTGCCTATCTTAACATTTTTCATTTTCACCAAGTGGAACCTTACCGTGGAATTGCCCATTTCTCGATTGTTCTCCATTTTCCAATGCAGTCAGCAAGTTCCAATTAAGGTAGACTAGGTTTTCGAATCTTCATATTATGTTCAGAAGCAGGCCAGAAGGGGTTGTTACCAGAGGAATATCTTCTTGGAACAAGGGAATTAATGAGGTCTTCATTTATAACTCGTCAGTGACAGTCCGGACAGGATGAGCATTGACGAGATCCACTGATTACTTCATAGCTCGTCATTGATAGGATCAGTATTAAATGAGGTCGAATGATTACTTCATAGCTCGTCACTAACTGTATCAGCATAACATGACTAACAACTAACGAGGTCCAGTGATCTCTTGCTGATACGTCAAGACAAGACCAGTAAATAGCTAAAAATATCGAAAAAAATGAGCTTAGAAATTACAGAGTACAAATGCCTTCTTCACAACTAACTCTTCGGCCTCATCTTTTTAAATCACTCATTCCCTCTGAAACAAGATAATGCTTAGGACTAGGAGGAACTTAGTTAAATTCTTTTATGATTCAGTAAGAGGAAAATTCCTTAGTAAGCTAACATTCTTTTGTAGGATGTTACCACTTATCATATCTGTTATCCATCATAATCCCACAACTAGACCCTCTTATTCTTGAGTCTTGACAATGACAGTAGCAATGTACACTATTTTGATGCTCGGTCCAGGTCTCCAAGAAAACCTTCCTTTTTATATTCTCATATTGTGTGTTAATTTGGTGTGAAGTATTATTTTCTTTTTTAAAACTAACAGTGTTAAACTAAAATGATATCAGTAAAAGATGATATATTTTAGCAGGTAAAATTCATATAATTGACGATTAAGAGATATGGGAGTGTGTTCAGGACTCTGAAAGCGGCATACTCTTATAGTAATGGTATGAAATGGTTAACTTTAGTCAAGGTCTCATGTCTCTACGACCTTCGCTTTTGGCGCTGTGAATCTTGCGCTTCAGCGCAATGCGCAAATTCCTGCAGGAACTTCCCGACATTGTAAAGACCTGAGACCTCGACTAAAGTTAACCATTTCTTACTGTTTATATTAGAGGAACACACATTTAGAACTCCTTCCATACTCCTTCGTGACTAAATTGACGATTTAGAGAATTTTACCTGTTAAAATTTTTGCCGAGATTTACCTCATTTTACCTCATGAGGCCAGCCAAAAAAGGCAAAATTGGGATGAGGTAAAAAGAGGTAAAATGAGGTTGACCCCCCCCCCCCACAGTAAAAAGGTTTATGTGTTGATTTGAGTAGCACGAGGAGTAACAGAACTGATTCTATATTATGTTGTTCGACATTTCACTAACCTACTAAACACACTGATGCTACGTGGGTTTCACTGTTTCACAAATCTTCAGATAGAAGAGGAAGATGATCTGGCACTGAACGATCCCCCGCCCCCAGTCATGACCCGGGCTCCTATTACAACACCTATTGATCAGCCAACAGAGGTAAACGCCAGAGTGTTGTCCTAGTTATGTTCCAGATATTGAGCGACATTCAGATTAATGCACTGCTAAATTAATAAATCTCTATCCTCTTGTATTGCTGGTTTCGTCGTCTTCAAATTTCGATAAAATATCTTCTACCTAGGTTAAAGGAGGTATTGGACTGGACAGCATCACAAAACAACCTTTAGTTTTATGGCACCAGAGAAAGAGGAAAGTTGGCATCAGTATTCAGATTAAGGATGTGGGGAAGTACAAGATGTTGCTTATTGGGGATAAAACACTAGAGTTCTCTACTTGGAACTCAGGATTTCTCTTCAAGTTCAAGTAAGCTCGCTGAATTTTGACTTTTAACTAGTAACTAGTTTTTGATGTGCCATTGCATTCTTCAAGTGCCCTCCATCATATCAGTTTCTCGATAGAATCTGAATGTAAGTTTGACAATTCTTCCAAAAAATGCCTTCAGACCTTTAATCTTTCCTTTAACCTCCTTCTCTCTAGATACGATCTGTTCGCTGAAGTGAAGGATATGAAGGTTTCTGCAAACAATTCAGAAGTGCGAGCCACACTCACGAAGATGGAGCCTGTAAAATGGAAAGGGTTACTGCAGAACGGTGCTAAGAAGGGAACTATTAAATTAGATTTCAGTAGAGCTGTAGACTCAGACGATGAAACTGATAGCGAGGAAGAGGAGACAGTGATGCCTCCTCCACTACCAATAGCAGAGAACGTGAGACCAGAATATGAGCATTTTTAGTTGTCATAACTTTTACTCTTCACCGGTTAAACAGTTTACAAATTCCTTGTATGAGATCGAAACACAGAGGTAAATCCACCAATATTGAAATTTTCTCTAGAGTTCCCCATTTGATGTATTTGCTGTTCAGGTTGAGATCTGTATTGGAGAGGAGCCGAGTTCTGAGGAGTATCTTACCGAAGAAGAAGAGATCGGAGACGACTATACGAAGTCTTTCTTCAACGAGATCAACTATGATGCTAACTCTGATGACATGGATGGCTTGGAGTAGTGAAATAGTTGGGATAATTGTAGCAATATTGTTACGAGTTTTACATGTTTTTAATCAATTTTTATAGGTTTTATTTGAAGGTATTTTTATTTGCTGATTATTTTAATGGTCATAGTATTTTATTGTAATTGATTTTCGAACATTTTATTCTTGTTGATATTCCTGAGACAATTTTTATTTATGTTGGATGAGTTTCAAAGATTCCTAGACATTTTGTTAACTTAAATTATAGTTGACCAATCTAGTTTATTCCTAGATAGGTTCTAAAAATAACCGCATTTTAGTTAGAATCGCGACCGCTGAGATAATCCTCTTAATTCAGGACTCACCAGAACTTGAAGTTTGGGTTTATTTCTGTTTTAACTTTTAAAAGACCTGATATTCCTGAAATTAATCTAGATCCATTTTTGGATTTTTCTCTTGTAGAATGCTTTTTTATCATTCTCAAATATTTTTTGATTTAATGTTATGATAATATCGTAGTAAATTTTTCAATAATTGTGTTACAAATTCGATCAGTTTCACAATACAATTTAACTAGTTCAATAGAGTCGTCGTCTTCCATTACGAAGTTCTCCTAATTGCGTGTATTTATAATTGAAGATGTCTTTCGCTGAAAGTTATGATATTACTATGTGTTCAATATTTCCATTCCCCAATGACTCGTCACTAACAAAGATCTCCGGTCAGGATGTTACGAACACTGCTAGCTGAGATCCTATCCCCTCATCTCACCACCTCCCGCTCCCTCTCATTAGGTATCAAGAAGGATATATTCGGATACCCTATAAGAGCACGTGACCCTGAAACAGAGGAGCCTCCCAATACTCGTAGAAGGGCCGTTAGAGATGCTCCTGCCCCTCCCCCGGTCCCACAACCGCACTCTTACACAGGACATACTTCAGAGTCCGTGTCACTTTACAAAGAGTTCCTAGAAGACGACCGTCGGAATATCAGGAGACTGTTTCTGGAGGGTAATAAGAAGTTTGAGGGAGAGGTGCAGCAGGTTGAGTTTCAGGAGGGATGCAGAGAACGGGCCTGATCGCCAGAAAACACGGGGAGACAAGGTCCTTCCTCAGACTGGGGACATTGTTGTTTCAACTTATCTGGAGATTCAGGACAACTACGTGATGAGTTGTCAACCGGTGTTTAACCATAATAGGATGAGCGGCTGTCCATAAAACTGGCTGCTTTTGAACAGGATAATATTGAAGAAGTACCCCTGGCTCAACAAAAGGATTTCTTCAGTATTGGCATGACTCCAAAACAAGCAACCCACAGTTTCCTTATCACTGCTGAACAAGCTCTACCAGTGAACTACAAGATAGACGTATCTCATTTCTTCGTGGGTCAGTATCTTGATATCAGTGGGTTGACGATAAACAGAGGGTTCCAGGGAGTTATCCGGCGGTGGGGGTACAAGGGGCAACCCAAATTCAGCGGTGGAAAAACTCATCGTCGTCCCGGTTCCATCTCAACCCAGGGTCTTGCTCGTGTTTTAAAGGGCAAGAAAATGCCCGGAATCATGGGAAATAAACCCCACACTACCCGAAATGCCCAAATATTATTCGCTAACTACGAGAAGAGGTATATAATTGTAGAGGGGCATGTCCAGGGTGTAAACGGGTGTTTCCTCTACTTATCAGACTCGGAACACAAGGATCCTATCCAGGGCCCACTGTTACATTATCCCACTTTTCTAGGCGACAGAACAGATCTTGGTTCTGAGATCTATGATAATAGTGTGATCGATCCTTCTGAGAGATTTGAGGACGTTTATGAGAAAAGGCGAGATAGGCAGAAATTCTGAAAATGACCAGTTTTATCAATTTCCATTTAAGTTATATTGAGAGTTTTTGAGGATTCGATCACGTGCTTGAACTGTATATAATAGTTGCAAAATTCAAGCTATCGGTTTGAGTTTAAGATATTTAGAGCTGTGAAGTAGCAAACTTCATATTATAAGAGTTATGGTGACTCTAACGTATTGTCTTAAATTATTATTTTGTATTTTGATACCTCTTAAACATTGTTAAAGCATTGACCCTTATGTCAAACGATTGGCGCCATAACAGACTTTTCATTATTTTGTTTCCTTGATACTTACAATCACAAATAACCACTGTTCACAAATTAGAACGTGGAGTCGACAAATTATCAACAAATATCTCGCTCAATAATGCTCAGTATTTCGCTAACCCTAGTATAACCATTATATTAACCCTAGTATAACCACCGTACCGATCTCACTAGAAGGTAATATAAACAAGATGAGCGATGATATACTGAAATCCTTGGCTGCTGCTGGGGGACATGCTCATATCAGTGTATTGGTCACCATGACAAACCTTCCTCTAGAAACTCTCAAGAATTACCTGGAGATGTTGAAGAAGGATAATAAGGTCCACTTTTTCGTACAATTTCCTGTTAAGGAAATTAGAAATAAATGTTTACATTAGCACCTAAAAACGCTGCTTCCTTAATTTTGAACCATTAAAAGCTGGATAACTTTCATTTTACTTCTTTCCTTTCTTATTGTTAATCCCATTGCAATACAGGTGGTATACCACAATTCGGCGTGGCATCTAAAGATATTCAGTAATAAGCCCAACATGAAGCGGCAACACATCAGTGAAAAGGTAATTGGAATGTGAAAAGGTAATTGGAATGTTACACCAGAAAACACCAGCATACTCTCAAAAGCTGTGCGGATCATACTTTACATCTTTAGATCAAAACATTAGTTTTGGAACCTCTCTCAGATCAAATACCCCAATAGTAACATAATGTATATAATAATGTTTCTTCATAATGCATATTATTATCCAGTTAATATCTATCATGTAACAAGATATTATCAATGAAGCTAACAATAATTCTGGTAGGTTTTAGAGTGCCTAGCTGACAAAAGAACACTGTTAGATCTACAGTGCATGTTACCTGAAGTCAAGCAAATCCAGCTGCAGGAGACTCTAGAGTTTCTTGAGAAGGGTGGTAAGATTAAATCGGTAAGTACAAAAAGCAAATGCCCAAAAATGGGGCCTCCTGTCAGTGTTTCCATCTCATTGAAACATTGAAATATGTCGAACTTTATGGTCAGTCCGCGGTATATTTTTCCATAGTTTTGCGGCCATTTTTGTCACATAATGTAACTGAAATATTGTTCTTCTCGGTAAATAACACGAGTACTAATTTCAGATGGTGTGCTACAAAGCAGTCCAGCCAAACTGGAACAAGCCAACAAATCCCGTCCAACCGTTTGTCGACAAGCCCCCTCAGCAAAACCAAAAACCCAATCTCAAACCAGCGAATGTGGAGCCTCAGTTTGCTTGTCAGGATATCAGATACAAGGACCAGGATACCAATAAACAGAACTCTGATCAACCTCCTAATAATAGAAACAATCATAATAATAGAGAAGATTTGCGAAATCACTTGGATTCAAGGCAGAATTATTACAGAGACCAGCCCAAATCTGGGCAGCAAGGACCTCCTACTCGGCAGTCTCAACCCAATGATGGTACAAGATATCCTGCTCCTCCCAACCAAGGGTTTACTAACCCCAACTACCCTCCCTTCTCCCACGATGGTGCTCATGCAATTCGTATGCCTTGTAATGACAACTTGCCCCCACGCCCACCCCCTCAAAATTACCCTCAGCCGTACGAAGATAGCCCAAGAGACCAACATCCACCTCGCCAACATTTCAACAACGCACCGAGGGGCCAACATCCACCTCGCCAACCTTTTAACAACGCACCGAGAGACCAACATCCACCTCGCCAGCCTTTTAACAACGCACCGAGAGACCAACATCCACCTCGCCAACATTTCAACAACGGCCAAAAAGGCCAACATCCACCTCGCCAGCCTTTTAACAACGCACCGAGAGACCAACATCCACCTCGCCAGCCTTTTAACAACGCACCGAGAGACCAACATCCACCTCGCCAGCCTTTTAACAACGCACCGAGAGGCCAACATCAATCTCGCCAGCCTTTTAACAACGCACCGAGAGGCCAACATCCACCTGTTCACGAGTACAGACCTCCTGTTGCTCGCCCTCCGATACGTCTCACTGGTATTGACCCTTACACTAACAAAGCGTACGGCTGTTCTGACACAGGTTATACAGGACCGTTAGTTCCGAGGAATCAGCCTGCTGGAGGTCCTCCTGCAAGACACCAGGCTCCTCAGATCAGGGGACACGACTTAACCATCAGACAACCGGCTCCTATAAATAATAGCGGAACTAGTGCCATCAACCGGCCTGACTCTTACAAGAGGAAGCAGTCAGCAGGCAGAGGTAAAAGCTCTGGCAGGGGTAGAAGTAAGGACATTGATTACACTTACAGTAAGGAGCGGAAGAATCGGTCGTGTACCCAAAAGGACCCGGGAGAAGATGAAGTCAAGGCAGCCATGGTAAAGGATAGTGAGGATGGTGTTCAGAGTCTCGGCAGTTGGAATGAACCGGACGCGACTCTCGGGAATACTTATAAAGGGAGTCAGAAAGAAGGTGAGAAAACGAAAAAGGTTCTGAAGAAACCAAGTGTCAGTAATTCTCACGTCTTGATTGATAGTGATGACTGTTCTGATGACAGCTCTGATGACGATGATGATTTGTCCTTACTGGATCTCCCTTCTTTGCCCTCTATTCCTTCAATGCTGGATGATATCGTTATAGACGAGCAGGCTGGAAATTACGTCCCACTTGGAGGCTCTTCTCAATCATCCGATCAAAATGCACTGAGTGTAACATCATCAGCTCCACCTCCTTCCAGCTTAGATAATGCAACTGCCAATTTATGGAATTCTCCATCAGAACAGGCCTTTTCCTCATCGGGAGGTCAGGAACCGATAATGTCTGAAGAAGCCACTTCCTTGCATTCAGCCCAGCAACCTCTAAGTCAAAGTGAAGCTCCACTCTTGACTCCAGTCCAGCAAATTGTCATCGAGCCCTCACTCTCTTCTACATCTCAACCCTGTCCCTCGCTCTTAAACTGCACTACCTCTTCAGAAGACCAGTTTCACACTCCACAATTGCACACGATAGCTGCTTCATCCGCAGTTCCAGAAATGCACAACTCTCCAGACTACGAAATAGAACTGCAGAATATCTCGTCCAAGCTCAGCAGCTACAACTTTGGAATCCAGTCTGACGACAGTGAGGACGATGAAGATGACCCTAACGCTCAGGTAAGCTCTAAGGCACCCACTCACCTCAAACTTACACAATCCCAAGCTGCTGTAAATAAAATGAAGATAGGCCATATCCTAAAACCAGTTTCTACGCTATGTGACAACGAGGGTCTGTCTCACCCAGTGTTAGTTGTCCAGCATCGTCCTGACGACTTTATATCACCCTGGTGCTGTGTGGTAACTGTTGAGGAGAGTTTCAGTGGTGTCGGAGAGGGAGTTACTCAGACTGAAGCCGCGCAGCTGGCTGCAGGGAGTATCAGATCCGCGCTGGGGTCTAAAGCCTCCTGCAGAAAGTTCAAACAACAGACTAATTTCTACGCCAAAATGCTGCATTTCATGTGCAAACTGAGAGGGTTCTTCCCGCCAATTTACCACCTTGTCATCAAAACCAACAGAGTACAACTCACTGCAACACTCCACGGGAACCTGTTACACAAGAGTAGGGGCTCTCAAAGTGTGGACCAGGCTCTAGTGTCCTGCTTTGAAGCGTGCTGTGAGAAACTTTGTGTCCCAGTTCCGGGGCTATCTGGGTGGAGGCAAGAGGAACTGGATTACAAGCAGAGTTTGTTGGGACAGTGTCCTGGGGCTGTGTTCTCTAGTAGAAAGGTTGAGGAGAATTGGTGGGGAGAAGTTACTGTTGATGGTACGTTTGTGCGGATTTAATCTGCCAATCAACTGTTAACCAATCGTGTCATATCACAATCCATCTGTGTGCTAGATATTAGTGACTGATTTTTATTTTCTTTGCCTTGTCAGTTCAGCACTTCTCTATTTTGATTTTTCGAACACAAAATTTTACAAATATTGCAATCCTATCATCCTAAACCTATGTTTGTATAACCTGTGCTCGTGTTATCACCTACTTTATTAACTGAACACATTTCAGGGGTAATCTACCAGGCTCCGCGAGGATTTGAAAAGAAATGGCTTTCCGAACAAGGAGCCGCTTGTCAGGCCTGTTTTACTCTAAAATTACCTGTTTTCAACTGGAACTTACCCTATGTGTACATCGGAAAAAACACAACTTTCCCAAAGGACTTGAGAAACAGAAGTTGAAGGTGGTGCTGTATTTTTTTCACTGGTTGTATTTTTGTAGAACTGTAAGCTGGAATATAACAGTTTTAATGTTGAACATTTTCTACTTGGTAAATAGGTAATTATGCATATGTTTAATTTTTATTGCCCAATTTTTATTCATTTTATTATCTTATGTTGGCTTGAGGTGGTTTAAGTTTCTTAAAACAGTGAAGGTGATTGGGGTTTCTTTCAACTTAAAATATTCTAATTTATTAATCTTTTTTTTCCACAATTTCAGAGATTCTAACTTCTGATTTACATGCTCGATGATAGCTGTTCATGACTTTGTTATTTTATATTTTGTCTCTACTATAGATAGTTAAGTTAACTCAGTTTTAGACAGTGATACTTTCAAATTTGAGTAAGTTTAGAAATTATGTATGAAGCTGAAGGGGTAAACAATTGAATCGACTACGATATTCTAATTTTTTGACATACAAAATTTATTTTACATTTTTTATTTGTAAGCTTGTGTTGTGAACTAGTTAATGTAGTTTTACAGAAGATTTAATGCAGCATCTTGCCTTTTGTCGGGAATAATGTAGACGTGGTAAAAATAATTCGTAGACAAATTATGACCCTTGACATATTCGAAAATATCGAACAGAAAGTTTGAAAAAAAACATTTTGGGAAAAATTATTTTCTGTTATATTGTGTATTGCCATCGCGCCTATATTTTTTCCGATATTAGGTATGTTAATGTTAAATGTTTAAATGAAGGGGTATGATACTGGATATTTTACCTGTTATGGAAATGAAATTTGAATTGTTACAATCAATTGTTGTATGAAGACTTTTTATTTCAAAGACTAGCTGATCAGTGCATCTCTCTTCTTTGATCCGAAAACGTGGCAAGCTTCCGGAAACTATTAAACTAGAATGAAACTGCCGAAAAGCAGTTTCAGTTGCACCTCAGTGATCCTGAATAGTATTAAAAACTGTAAGATGCTTAGAAGGGCAGCTCTGGTTTGCTAAGAAGCAGTGGCACACTCACAGTATCTTTTCTTAATTTGAAATTGGTTGTTGACAAATTGCATAGCCCAGTTAAAGTATCAAGATTTGAATTGTATTATTCTCCTCCTGAACAAAAATAAGACATGGAATAGTGCATCATTTATGTTTGAAAAAATTTAAAGATATGGTTATGAATTATCAAAGACATCTGCCGAATATCTATTCTTCTTTTTCTTCTCCACTGCTGCCTGAAGCGGTGATGAAGTAAGGATTGCTGGCAATCATGCAAACATTCTGGACACTTCGGGTAATCTTGAAGTAACCACGATCTCCCCATCCAGTACCCCAACTGTTCCTGATGTCCCAGTAGTTGCTGGCGTATCCTACCAGTGTGATGGCGTGGTTGGGCCACTGTCTGCAGTTAGTGTTGGTCCATATTCCGCTGTAATATCCCCTAATCTTGATGTTCCTGAAGTCCATGGCAACTCCGAGAGGACCGCTGTTGAGTCGAGCAGCCATGTCCGCATCACCCCGGGCCTTGTAGACTCCAGTGATGGAGAAGGGTAGACTGTTTTTATAGCTGGTCCGTCTGCAGGAGCCCTTGCGTGTTTGGTACCTGTAGTCGTTGCTTGCTGCAAGATGTCTGTTGTTCTTGATGTATCCCAAAGCTTCGTAGTACCAGCCACCACCACAGTCGTTGCTCCTTCCCGAACAATCGAGAACTTGCTGTTCAGATAGGTGGTATTTGCGTCCAGTTTTGATTTGAGACCATCCCTCGAGCATGCCAATGGTGGTGAAAGCCCAGCAACTGCCACAACTTCCCTGGTGTTTAGCATTGTTGTATCTGCCCCTGTGGTTAGCAGAGGATCCCCATGCAGTCAGGCCAGCTGGCTCCTCAGGTGCTGGTGCCTCTAGTTCCTCCTCCACGGCGCCATGGGTTTTGTTGGCGAATCCGTAGTATTGCTGGGATTCAGCTTCTGTCAGATCAGCAAAGAAGGTAACTCCATAGTCAACTCCGTCGGGTTCATCGTTGGCTTCAGCCATCTTGCCAACAAACTTCCTGAAGTTCTTGAGCCTCAGTCTAGCCTCTCCAGCGTTAGCGTAGTGTCGGTCTTCAGAGTGCTGGAAGTTTTTGAACAGAGCCTGAAGGACTTTAGGGTCTTTGGCAGCCAGATTCACCATCTTCTCTTCGGCCATAATGCAGGCCAGCACAGCGAACAGGATCATTACAGTCTTCATTGTTGTTTGGTCGGATTAAACTTTGCAGTTTGGTGTCGACTAGATGGTGAACTGTGTATTTATACCTCTTAAGTGGTAAATGTCTCACCACTAATTGAATTATTAGTGTCTACTAAAGGTGTCGGGCCGTTTTTTCAGTCTTGTTAGATTTAGAGCGTCTCTGAAAGGATTTATGGGCACACCTGACACCTGCTGCTGCAGAGGCCTTGTCCTTTATTGTTTTTCACTTATATACACATATATATATATACATAACTTTTTAAAATCATGATCAATGTCACCACAAAGTTCTAAACGTGTGAAAACGGATTATAAATTGAAGAATATTTTTTCAATCCCGTCACATTTCTCAAGTCTGAAGTCACAGCTGGGCTCGTTAGGCAGGTTTAAACGGTGTACACGTTCAACGTTGCTTAGAATAAAATTGATTAAATTAGTGGAAGTTCTTGACAATAACATGAAAGAAGTATCAAACGTTTTCGAATCTTTTTTCGAGAAAGCGGAGTACCGAATCAATATGAAATCTCCGAATCGATTCAGTTGACAAAATATAATTTAACAAAATACCGAACTTCGATCATGATCAATCCGAATATTTACCGAAACTTCAGCAAAAAACCCCAATTTACCGAATTGTTAATGTTATGGATAGCTTCGGGGTTTAGTTAATCTAGACACTTATTTTACTTCGGTGTATTCCAACAGCCACAATGTTACACGAGTGCAACCAGCCAATTACAGGAAGCCGAAGGATCTTTTTGGCCAGTGACAGTTAAGGTAGTGTGTACCATACTTTCTTCGTCCGAGACTTTGCTGCAATGTGCAGCTCCTCATTTAACCCTCACACCCGATTTCTCGAGTATTCGGCTGAGTAGACCGGGGGGCTGCATAGACCACTCATGATCCTTAGCTGAACGTCGACGACGCTCACCCCACGACCAGGCAGTCAGTGGGTTTCGAACTCGCAACCTAACGATTGTAAGACAGGCGTTCTAACCAACTGCGCTACCTGGCCGAGTTAGAGTTATTAGGATTATATAAGTTTATGTAAAACTGTTTTGTTCATAAAAACTAAAGTTGCAGTTCACGTGATAATTTTTGGACGCGAACGAATTAGTAATAGTATAAAGGGCCCGCGCTATATAATTATAATTATATATGTCATATAATCCACCGAAAGCACATCCAATTTGATAGTGAATGATACGTATGAAATATATGTCTATAACTTGCTTGATTCTGCACTCAGCACTGAGTTGACGTGTTCATGTTGAAAGCAAAATTGAACGAGGCGAGGAATCGTTTAAGATCACTTTCGAGGTTGATTCACGATTTCGATCCTTCGCATCTCGCCGATCTGCATTATTGGATGCGCGCGCGACCCAGTAGTGCATCGCGCTACAACTTTCGAGGCACATCAACAAAAGCTACTTACACTATTATATTGTTGTGATTTTCACGGGGAAATTAGACAATAGCGTTTTTAAGCATGTTATCAGTTATTCGATATAATACCGGATCGATACTCTTTCAAAATATCCTTAAAGTGATTTGTATAATAGTAGTACTAGTAATAGTACATATATTGATTCTGAATACAAGCATTTGTATTACCTGGGGACCTCATGGGCTATTATGTTCATTAACATATAGAGATAGAGATTCGGCGGAATGACAGGCTGAGCGCGGCCCAGTAAGCATTTGCATTGCAAAAGATTTGATCTCGATTCATGAAGTTTTAAAAAAGTTACTAGCTGCAATGCCAAATGCGCGCTAATGCAATTTTAATAATCCATTTGCATTAACAATGCCCAGGAAACCTTACTGGCCAGGGCATAACTTCAAAAGTAAAAGAGCTGGAGACTTCCGGTTTTTTTGCGAAATGTTTTTGCGAAATGTTCGCCGCGCGTGCTAAATCACTCTACAGTCGATTTTCGAAATTGTTCTAAAAGGGCCCCCGAAAGTTGAAACTAACAACTAACTTCAATCCATGTATTTTTGGACGCTGATACCGAATCACCCCCATGACATAGGGTTTAAAAATGCTCCCCTGACGAGATATTGGCGAAAAACTGTCTCGATCACGTGATATGATCGTATAAGCAATAAGGAAGTTAGTCTAATTTCTCGTTAGGGTTTTGGTTACAGTTACAGTTTGGAGGACTTCGCCGCTTCGACGCGCCGCTTCGACGCGCCGCTTCGACGCGCCGCGCGAACTAGCATTCTTGCTTCCGTCGTCGATCGTTGCTCTGCGAAGCAGAGCAACGATCTCGACGGATTGACATCGACCATCGTCAATCAAAGTTACAGCATATGCTTTTGTTAAGGATTGGGTTAGGGTTAGGGTTGGGATCAGATTAATTCGAAGTAACCAATTAGGGCTATTAAATGCCGAACACTTAACGAACACTAGTGACGTTAAGTGAGACCGTGAGCACCACTTCTTGCCAATTTGCTTTTGAACTACGGCCCAATCATGAAGTTAAACAATTCAAGTTGTGTTTTAACGGCAAAATACAGCGAATTCTAGCCCTTAAAAGTTGTAGGTTTGGAAGATCAATACGGCTGCTTTAATTCTTAAAAGTCTTAAGTTAGAACGGCCAAAACACCCTATTCGGCGTCAGCCAGCTACACCCAGGAACCCTGACCGGATGGGGCTTAACTTTGAAAGTAAAAGAGTTGGAGACTTCCGGTTTTTTGTAACATGTTCCTCTTTTAAAAGTAACGTTACCTCTCCAGGAGGAAAATTCAAGACAACGTAATTGTTGAGTTATATCAAAATCTCCAGAAAAGTCCCCTTTCGGGCCGATCAAAAGTTTGCAACTTTAACTTTGCGGATTCCTGTGCTCTGGTTGGCTGAATTGTGTCACGTGGTAGCTGCCTGAACATTGGAATACGCCACGCGTGCAAATCATGCTTTTTGTCGCGCGCGAGGTCAAGCCGTCTGTTTAAATTAAACCAACTCTAGTACCACCACCAGCCGGTAACTTTTCATGGGAATATAGAGGGTTAGGGTTTCGAAAAGTCGTTCAGAACCAGCTAGAGAACGGGTTGAAAAAGTCACGTGACAGCCGAGTGTAGAGTGATTTATCATCATCCGGGTCACGACTTGACCATTGTTAATGGTCTGGCCCGGCGCGCGCTACTTCGTAGCACTTCCATCGGGCCATTTCGAGAAGAAAGCGGCGCGCGCTACTTCGAAGAAATTTAGACGAGTAACATCTAATCCGTCAAGGTCACGACTCACGACGTGATACAGGGTTGTGGTTATAGATAGCTTCAGGATTATGGTTAGGGCTTATGTAAAACTTTTTTTGGTTTTGTTCGGCAACAAAACCATAAAAACCAAAGTCACATGATAATTTTTGGGCAAGCGAATTAGTAATAGCCTATAAACCTACAATGTTTCGATCACGTGATCAACTTCTTGATAGGGTCAGGGTTTTAACAGACACTAGAGTAATTGTACTAGTAGTATAGGGTTCGGGTCAGAGTTTTAAATTGCCCGTCAGAACTATCTAGAGAACGTGTTAAACTTAGTCACGTAAGGCCAAGGGAGCGTTCACATATGACATCGCAGCAAGATTTTTGCCAATTTAACCCCTCCCCCCCCCCAGTGATGTCTTAACCCCCTTACTGAAAGTGAATACAGAATACATACCGGATACCGAAATGCTGACGGGGGTGTAAGCAGGGAAATTTAGTGTAACTGATTATAAACAGTTGGCCAACAGAGTTCAGTTCACCGAAGTACTAATATTAAAGAAACTAGCGAAGTCTTATTGTTAATAAAATTGATCTGAATTCTGAAACAACAATTTTTGCCAAAATTCACGTATTTTTGCTGACGTCAGCAAGGCTCAGACCCCCTCCCCCGTCAGCATTTCCAAACCCCACCCCTCCCCCTCGGCTGCTGATGTCATATGTGAACGCTCCCTTACTCCCTAATATATCCCTAATAGTCCAGTGAAGAGTGTATCATAACCCCAATAGTTTGACAGGTTCACGGCAAATTTCCAAACTTTTTAAAGTTTTAAAGCACTATTTGAATATAAAGTACCCAGGAGTCATCTCCAACAAAAACTTGTATAAACGCTGCAATGCTGAACCATTGTCAGAAAAAGTGGCCCGTAGTCGGTGGAGAATGTTAGGACATGTTTTGCGGGGTCCTTTTGAAGGACCAGCGTTTTCTTCCCTCATTTTTGCCATCAATACACTGGACTCACCAGGGAGAAGAGGAAGACCCCAAAGCAATCTATTCTCGCTGATTGTGCATGATTTATGTAAAAGAAATATTTATTTGAATAATATCTTTGACCTGCATTATCTCCGTAATTTAGCGTATGACAAGAGATATTGGCGGGAATTGCAATGAAGTTTTTGATTTTTAGTTTTCATTTTAGGGAAAGATTAGACTTGGGCGTTGTTTTTTTAACTATCCCTTGTTTAGAACTTTGATTTAATTTTAAAGTGGCAATACTGACGACTAATAGGGCCGGAAATGGAAATAAGTTGCAGATTCAGCATGCTAAAGCAGATTGCAGGTTGACAATTCTCAAACGACTTTTTCAAACAGATTAAACCAGAACCTGAATATCGAACAGAGATTGGTAATTACTGATCAAATCAAACCGCACTCTTTACAAAAAGTACCTCTAAATCCGAGAAAATCGACGATCTGAGCCTGTAAAAATAAACTCTAGAAATATTTTATTAGCAACTGCTCTTTAGCTCCTAAGGCTAATCCTATTTTAGAAAAACAAAATTTTTCAAAACAATTTGAATGTATCTATTTTAAAACTTTAAGCTTCTCGTTTAATAAGATTATGATGTGGTAAACATGCCTTGTCTGAAATTTCCTTCAAATCTAGAGTGTCCTAAAATACATTAACAAAAGGGGTCACTAGTCTCTCAGATAAAAACTCCTCGAAAAATGGAGGTTTAATTCGGGAGTTGATTATAAGCAGTAGATGGTGTTCCACGTTGTTTGGTAGCGCAGAGAACAGGCCTTATCACGATACATCAACTAGTGGAGGTCCCGGAGGTTTTATCCGAATGAAAAGGTAAAACCAGGGTCAGCCCCTCGTGCTCCGTGGGGGAAACCACCATTAAAGAACTGTTGATGAGGGCCACCACCCCCTGCACCCCCGAAGAAGGTCTGGAATATCTGCGTAGGGTCCACGTCTGCAAAGAGAGTATTGAGCTTCGATTAAGGTAATGTATGAAAAAAGACTAAATTATTACGCATTGACAATTAAATTGAGAAAGCAAATCCTTAACGAGAAAAGTATGTGTGCTTACCGTGGATCAGTGGATGTTTTAGGTTTATACTGAGAAAGGAAATCCTTGATGAGGAAATCCTTGATGAAAACAGTATGAATGCTTACCGTGGTGCATGCCACCCATAGGGTCATCAAGATCTTCTCCATTATCGTACCTTAGTTTCTTTTTAGGATCTGATAACACTGCATATGCTTCTCCCACCTAGAGATAAAGAACACAGCTAGGAGTTGAGGACTTATGTCAGCTTACAACTAATTCTCAAGCTTTCTTTCATAGATAAGATTAAAAAAGCCAGAAATAAAAAATATCTGCATCTTAATAGTTCACAATTCAATGTTTATATCCGATAATGTTATCGATTGTTAAATTAGCCCATAAGATATATCAGAAAAATATATTAACATAAAATAATCAAAACAGAACCATTTACCTCTTTAAACTGCTTCTCAGCTGTAGCTTTCTCTTCCTCTGTACCATGACTGTGTCTATCTGGATGGTGTTTCAATGCTGCTTTTTTGTAAGCTTTCTTTATTTCGTCCATATTGGCTGATTTACTACAGGCCAGTATCTTGTAATAATCTTTCCTTTTAGACATCTTCAGTTTAATATTAGCGTCCCTGAGCCTCTGTTTAGACTCTCTACTGTGCTCCATTTTATGCATTTTCTCTGCATCCCTGACGGCATCTTCGTGTTGCTCAAGTTCTTGATAACACACTATCCGCCGAGCATACGCCTTAACGTACCCGTCGTCTAGTTTAATAGCAGCAGTACAAGCCTGGTGGTTTATTAAACATTACGTTTGCATTGGTACAATGTTTCTCGTATTAAGGGACACAATTATTTCTGAAGATTTAAACATTTTTATTCCTCGCTGCTTTTGATAGTCCTAAGATCGTCAGTGGAAAGGAAGGACCAACAGAAATAATCCTATCGTCTATATGCTCTAAATTAAACTCACCTTGACTGCCTCTTCATAGTTACGCAGTTTAATATAAACAGCTGCAATGTTGGCGTGTAATTTGGCGTTGGTAAGTTTATTGTTAGGGCATATCAACAAGGCTGCTCTGTATAACTTGAGCGCCTCCTCGTTTTTACCGCTAGTGAAGGCCGCGTTACCCTTTTGTTTGGTGCTCTCCAGCTCCTTTACTTCCTGACAAACAATGTTGTGTTACAAGAGCCGCGCAATTAGACTGTAGTTGAACAAACAGACCAGACTTCCGGGCTCCATACTTCGCAAGCTTTACCCGCTAAACACCTAAATACAAATATGGCGGATAATCAATTCGTTTGACACCGAACTTACTTTGACGGCAAGACGAGCTTTACCATGATCTGGGTCTACTCGTAAAACTTGCAGGAAATGCTGTCTGGCTTTGTCGAGATGATCCTAGGAGATGGTTTGTGTAAATGGGTGTTATTCCTAATAATAATATAACTAAGTCGATGGTAAACAAAACAAAAAAGTTGTTATAGCAGACAATTTTATCATCACAGACGTAGGCTGTTATAGCGACGTAGAGTGAATTCTATGATAATTGCAGCGCGATCGCTCGTGAGGCTTATGTGATGATGGCATACTTTCACTAGATACGAGGTGAAGACTGTGCGCGCCATGGCGTTGTTAGCAGCTTAAATGCGCGTCTTTTCATCTACTGTTTACTCTGCTGACTCGCCATGTGACCATTAGATGACATCACATTCGATATATCAGATGACCTCTCATAATAATTTAAGTGACGATAATGTGAACATCAACAATTTCGGGTTGAAGTCATCTTAAGCAACCGTGAAACATCAGTAATCCTTCATTAATTCATGAGGGAGTCAATTTAGGGTTTGGCTTTAGTTGAAGAATGAAATGCAAAGCCATCATGTCATTAGCAAGTCTATCTAGACTATAGTTAAAGTTAAGGAATGAAACGCAAACATATCTGCGATTCTTTAAGGAGTTTTCACGAGCACAAACCTGATAAAACAGACACAGTCCTTTAACATACAGTGCTCCAGCGTTCAGACTGTTTGCTCGCAACATTTCACTGAAAATATAATATACGTAAAGTTAACGACAAATTAAATCGCGTGAACAAGAGCATGTTAGATTGCCACTGAATATTGCATAAATTTCACAATAATTCGACAAAAGATGCGATTGAATAATAGCAAATCAATCAACTGTTATCATACTTTGACGCTTCTTGAGCTTCATTGTAGCGACCGAGTAACGCTAGACACTCCGCTCGTTTGGTCTTGTAGTTGACACAAGCGGGTGCCATTTCTAGCGCTCTATCCATCACGTAAACAACCTGGTGGAATATTAACGTAAAAAGGGGCTTAATTTATAAATTAACAAAACACTAAAACAATATTGTGATTCTCATGATGGTTTTAAGAATGCGAGCAATCTCTCATTATTCTAAAAATAGAACGTGTAAAGGTAAAATGGAAGGCAAAGTGAGTTATGGTAAGAAAACTAGTTCGATCAAGTGGCATATACATGTCTATATGAATATGATATAAGGAAGTAGTTCAGATATCAGGTGTTAGTTATCGAAGGCGTGTTTGGGTAAGGGTCTATGTTGAAGTTAGTTAACGAGCTAAACTTGGTTATTCAACATTTCCATTTAATAGAACAAGTCCTCATAAGCCGACTTACCCTCCTAAAGTCACTTTTGTTCATATCCTTGTCAGCATTTGCTTCCAGATCTCTTAGTCGGTTGATGTTAGTATTCTCGCTGGCATAAGATGTGCTGTTATTGGGGTCACGTGATTTGAGGTCTTGTAGAGCACGAGAAGCGGCTGTCAAGTTACCAAGTGCGATGTAGCACTTGATCATCCGTAATCCGCCCTGAAAGATAGAAAGAGAGGGTCAGGTGTGCTTGTTGTTTAGTGTGAGGTGACAGCTCGTGAGAAAAGGAGCAGACAGTCCGGCATCTCCAGACTGTCCACAAACTACAGTGGAAAACATCGGACTAGATTCTGTTGTGAATATCTGTCTAAAAACCACCCATCTGATCCTAAAATACCACCCAGTCGGACTCTAACTTTTAAATATCTTGATAATCGCTAGAAAACCCGCGAAAATACCAAGAGTTTCTTAAAATGATGCAAAGTGGTGAAATGTTGCATTGAGTAACCCTGGCCCTGCCACCCTACTATCCCTACTGCAGTAAATTAATCTCCTTTATAAAATAACTGCTCACCTTGAAAAAGTTAGGATCCATCTCGACTGACTTCACAGAATCTTCCAGTGCATTAGTGTAGTTGGATATCATCATGTAGGCAGCAGCTCTGTTACCGTAATAAGCGGCCTTATCTGGCAGTAGGTTTATAGCATTGGTATAAAACTTAATCGCTTTGAAGTAATCTTTCTGTTTGTAGAAATTATTTCCTGTGTTCTTTGCATCTTCAGCTTCTTTCTCACTGAAGGTATAGACTGATGTTAGCCCGATAGTGAAACAGAAACAGTAGTTTTAAGATTGTACTATTATATCGGTTATTAGGAGTCTAGGATCATTGTTAGTACAACATATTATAGGATATTATGCAACAAACAACATCAAATACCACATACAACAAATATCATAGGATTACATCAAACAACAGTAATTGTTGTGTATAACTTATAGTGTAACGACACTAATAACGACATACTTATAATGACATACATTAAGTGTGGTGACAGAGTGAGTAAACGCATATCATTATCTTTTTAGTATTGTGTGTCCGATATCTATAATTAGATATCATCTACTTCGACTATTATCCCAAAATTAACTCATGTACAAAATATGAGCTATTAGTATTAGCTAATATCATGAATCCGATTGTGGAATGTTATGATAAATGTTATATTTCTAATTATTGTTTCAATTTAATTGTTCTCCAAGTTAAATATCGCCTTTTAAATTATACGGTATTAAACAACTATTAAATTCTTATACTCAAATTCTCAACATTATATGCAAATTTTTCATTATATATATATTATATAACAATATTATCGTTACATATTCAAAAAAGCATAATTAACTACCTAACAGTTTGAAGTAACTTTGGGTCGATGTCAGCAGTATGATATGTTTTGTGTACCCCAGGAGCAACCTGGACCCTTACTACACCCATTCTTGGAACTATAACCGATATTATGTCATACACTTCAGAGAATACAGCACTATATCACTAGAACTCTATTACTTGCATAAATGTGACAAATGTTAAACTGTAGGCACTGTTCATCATCACACCAAGTCATGTGAAATGGCAATATTCCTCGAGTCGCTGACGGTATTAAACTGACAAAGTTGATTAAAAATGCGTTCAATGTTCATACATATTATACAGCTGCAATATATCGATCATTAAATGGTGCAAAACCACAAGTTTCAATCAAAGCAACAATCGATTTTAAGATTTACACTAAACGATGATATTGGGGAACAATAGTTCGAGATTTAAAATCATCACAAATTTGAGACAAAGGATCACGATTGAAAGAATGAATATGATTATTTCTGTGCTCAGCATGTTGTCCAGCTAAAAGTCAGTGAGGAGAACTGAATGCTTGTCATGTCAATAGAGCGCAGCAGCTTTCTGACACCATCCCGACACGTCACGTTTAATATAATATGTTTAACGGGCCAATAAAAACCAATACAACGGGTCATGTTTTCGCATGATTTAATGGAGACCACGAGCTATTGTCAGGAGAGACGTGTGCAGTGATAAGTAAATATTGTGCACTGGGAGGGACCAGTGATTACATCAGAAGTGAGGGGGCGCACTTGCCAGATAACAGGGGGGCGCACTTGCCAGATAACAGGGGGGCGCACTTGCCAGATAACAGGGGGGCGCACTTGCCAGATAACAGGGGGGCGCACTTGCCAGATAACATCAGAAGTGAGGGGGGCGCACTTGCCAGATAAGGGGGGCGCACTTGCCAGATAACAGGGGGGCGCACTTGCCAGATAACACCAGAAGTGAGGGGGCGCACTTGCCAGATAACATCAGAAGTGAGGGGGCGCACTTGCCAGATAACAGGGGGGCGCACTTGCCAGATAACAGGGGGGCGCACTTGCCAGAAGTGAGGGGGCGCACTTGCCAGATAACAGGGGGGCGCACTTGCCAGAAGTGAGGGGGCGCACTTGCCAGATAACAGGGGGGCGCACTTGCCAGATAAGGAGGGCGCACTTGCCAGATAACATCAGAAGTGAGGGGGCGCACTTGCCAGATAAGGGGGGCGCACTTGCCAGATAACAAGGGGGCGCACTTGCCAGATAACAAGGGGGCGCACTTGCCAGATAACAGGGGGGCGCACTTGCCAGATAACAGGAACTTCAGATCTTCTGTTCTGTGCTTGGTTGGAGCGCTTTAAAATGTTAAAACGTCATGCTCTCTCTCTCTCAAATGCTACCCGCAACGATCAATGGGAACATTATTCCAAATTTGGCAGCTTGCATGTGAATATTTTGGTGACTTTAAACGTCAACTTATTAACTTGGGGAATCGGAAATATGGAGAGCTCTAATATTTATTAACATTTTTATTTCAGCAGATCATTTTCAAGATCATGATTTTAACTGCAACCAGATCTAATCGTAAAGGTTACAAGTCTAGTTCAACAGAGATTTCCAAAGAACTATCTAATCAAATACATGGTGCAAAGAGAATTGTGCATTAGGTAAAGCCACCAAAACAACATTAGAAACCACTTAAGATAAACTTAATCGCAGACAAAAATATGTGGTTTTAAACATTAAACAAGATACGCTGAGAATGTTAAACAACTTTAATTAAGGGGCGGTGTTTACTCAAAGCTTGTTTTAGTGGTCATGTGAGAGGAAGAATGGATCAAAAATTTAAACTTGGAGAGTCAAGCTTATTATCAATCAATAGCTTTTTAGAACTTAACGAATCCATTGTATCAATTATTAATTAGTGATTAACCAATCAACAACGACTTGGGGAGATCCAACACAAATTATAGTAAAATTAATGTTTTATACATAAAGTGCGTGATAACGATTTTAAGAGGGGTGGTACGATGATGGTTAGGGGTCGTTCACATATATTACGTAATATTGCTGTCAGGGGGGGGGGGGGGGAGGGGGGTTGGGTCTTGATAACAGTTGATTACGGAGGGGGTAGGGGGTAAAAATTGCTTAAGTATTGGTTACGTAATATGTGAACGACCCCTTAGTTGCACTACACTATAAAGTTCAGTATGTTATTCAACATAGTGCAAGTTCAAACTCTTACAGACAACACACACAAACAAACCTATAGAGAGAAACCTACAAGTCTCGAGCCAGAGGTTTTTGAACTCCGACAAACACATAAACAAACAAAGACAAGCTATCTACAATCTACATGTTACGTGTAACAAACGAACAAACGGACAAACAAACGAACACACAAACCACCCACATGTCACATTGTTACGTGGAACAAACAAACGAACACACAAACCACCCACATGTCACATTGTTACGTGGAACAAACAAACGAACACACAAACCACCCACATGTCACATTGTCACGTGGAACAAACAAACGAACACACAAACCACCCACATGTCACATTGTTACGTGGAACAAACGAACGAACACACAAACCACCCACATGTCACATTGTTACGTGGAACAAACGAACGAACACACAAACCACCCACATGTCACATTGTCACGTGGAACAAACAAACGAACACACAAACCACCCACATGTCACATTGTCACGTGGAACAAACGAACGAACACACAAACCACACACATGTCACATTGTTACGTGGAACAAACGAACGAACACACAAACCACCCACATGTCACATTGTTACGTGGAACAAACAAACGAACACACAAACCACCCACATGTCACATTGTCACGTGGAACAAACGAACGAACACACAAACCACCCACATGTCACATTGTCACGTGGAACAAACAAACGAACACACAAACCACCCACATGTCACATTGTCACGTGGAACAAACGAACGAACACACAAACCACACACATGTCACATTGTTACGTGGAACAAACGAACGAACACACAAACCACCCACATGTCACATTGTTACGTGGAACAAACGAACGAACACACAAACCACCCACATGTCACATTGTTACGTGGAACAAACGAACGAACACACAAACCACCCACATGTCACATTGTCACGTGGAACAAACAAACGAACACACAAACCACCCACATGTCACATTGTCACGTGGAACAAACGAACGAACACACAAACCACACACATGTCACATTGTTACGTGGAACAAACGAACGAACACACAAACCACCCACATGTCACATTGTCACGTGGAACAAACAAAGTACAAACAAACCACCCACATGTCACATTGTTACGTGGAACAAACAAACGAACACACAAACCACCCACATGTCACATTGTCACGTGGAACAAACGAACGAACACACAAACCACCCACATGTCACATTGTCACGTGGAACAAACAAAGTACAAACAAACCACCCACATGTCACATTGTTACGTGGAACAAACAAACGAACACACAAACCACCCACATGTCACGTGGTGGGATCTCCTCAGTGTCCATGAAGTCCTCCTCCTCCAGGTCGCTCATGTTGCTCTGGGATCCGTTCTCTGACATGCCAAACAACTACAGCTATGGGAGAAGTCGGGTTAGGAATTATGGGAGGGTGGGTGGATAAACTCAGTTAACTTTTGACTTTATCCCAGATAATTAGATTTATCAGATAATCAGATTTCAGGAATGTTGTATTGTTGAAATAGTCAGATACTAACAGCTAACTGTATTCCGGTAAATCACGTTCTGTTATCCCCTGAAGTTTCCTAAACATGTTTGGGTCCAACTTGCGCCCTTTTTAATTTATCATTTATGGGATTATCGGAATAAATATTTTCGGAGTGAAACATCATTGTTCAGTTGCATATTTACAATAATTACTGACGTCTTAATTTCTTATAATCACGTAACATAAGCTTCTTTACCTGTTCTGGACAGAGCTTCGTTGTAGAAACGTGACAATAAAAAATTCTGAAATTAAAACTGCTACAAAGTTGCATTGGTAGCTGTATTTCCATCCACATTGAACTGCTAGGTCCTTATTCCACTAAACATAAGTTCATATTTTCAAACCAACACGGTACAACTTACCCATGCTAATTATATTTACTTTATATTACTTTCCCTAAGCTAGACATACAAAATATGAGCGCCATAAGAAAACAACAATGAAGTGGGGGAGCACCGACATCTAGACGGTTACTAATGAGCATTGTTGTTACTGAACAGGTGTCTAGACTTAACTCTTTTCACATATTCTTCTGCAACTTGGATAACTTTTTAATGGTTATAATAGTTGTTAATTAATGTGAGAACAAAGAATTTGATAGAACTTGTGACGGGTAAATAGTTAATTTAATAGTTATGCATTGCTGAGGGTTGCAAATGAACATGTAAAAACATTGTTCACCTCAATGGAAGAAGTTTGCGGTCAACAACATGAAATATGCCACTTAGGTAGCCTCTAAACTGTTTAGCACATGGTAGTAAAGGAAAAAAGGACAATATAAAATGCACCTGTTATGAAGTGTTATGTCTGATAGGATAATGGGAAAGTGTGACATTTCTTGTGCTTTATTTCTTTATAGGGCTACTAATTCTAGCTGAAGGTCAGTTTTTTCCGGAGCAGAGATTATTTTTATCTTAGCTCAATCATTGTTGGGGGAGGGGGTTTTATCGCTGTTATGGCTAGCAATAGAATTATCTATGCTTCTCATCCAGATTGACTGATAAAAACAAATTTTAAAACTTCTTTATACTGCGCAGGGAAAAATATATGTCGTTTGAATATTTTATCTAAACGTCACTCTGATTCTTTTCGAAGGTAGATGCTTCCCGTAATCCCGTATGTGACAAAATTATCGTAATTATAGACGGTTAAATGCTTACTTCAAGATTGACGGTATTTTGGGGTTGGTCGACATGTGCAAACTCGGTGTTAGGAATTGTTTAAAGGTTCAGAATGCTACACGTGCATCAAACACTTTACTTTTATATACGAATAGCATGCGACTCAGCAATAAGACAAACAGGTTTATTCTACAATCCATAATATATTTTATACCAAAATAATACTTAAATTGATAAAATACTACTACTTTTCTAATGAAACGTCCTCCATAAAAAATGAGTTTAAATAGCCACTTTGCAATTCTGCAGCTGAATCAAAAATCTGCATATTATAAAGTGCAGCAAATTAGTCAGGTTACACAGGTAGCAATTACTACGATGCTGTGCTTTTTTCTTAAATTATTTAAAAAACAGCAATTCAAAATTTAACATTAATTAGCAAACTAAAAATTTGTGAAATTATCAAGCTGAGTATAAAATTACTTTAATCATTCTTTGATAGAAAAATATTCTTCAACTAAAATCCTGGAATCGAAATAATTGATTCAATATTAGGTCAAGTTTTATTTGATTTACATCATAAATACACATTACAAACCTCAAATGTATTATTTACATTTTACCGTCCACAACGGTCAATATACACCATATTTTGTAATTTTCTGTTTTTCAATGATTGCATGGTCAATCTTCTACGACAAACTGGGCAGTTTTCTTTTCAACCAATTGTATAGATATGCATACATTGCGCCTTGCATATGAAAATATGCGGACGTACGTTTCTACCAACGGTCACTAACACTATTTAAAAAGGTTTATTGTTAATAAACTGCAGGAACGAATACTCACATGATCTTTCTAACATACTACTGAGTATGCTCTCAATAGCAAGCTCCTAAAATCGCGGTCTAAAAAGTTGATCTAAAGGCAAGGGTATGGTTGTAATAATGGTAGTAATGATGGTGGTAATTGTGGTCCATGATATACTGTTTGTACTCAGTCCCTCTGAGAGAATAGAACCAAAACTAAAGGAAATGTTCTGAATTCTGAAGTTAGGGATGTTATCTTGGTGTAACGGGGGATGCGTTTGGTAGTAATATCGAACCAGCTTCTAAGTTAGTCAAATTGCTGGTAGGCATTGTTCTTTTTCAAACCTGCAAAACAAACTGAATCAGCGAAACCAGCGTGAAATGTTCAACATGTTGAGAGCAATGGAAATGTAGTTTGTCCTAAAAAGATTCAACTTTATCATTATATAACAAATGCATAAGTACTATTCATTTCTATTTCATTTGCTTATGAGGTATAGTATGAGGTATAGTATGAGGTATAGTATGAGGTATAGTACCGTATTTCATCCTAATCGCATCGTGCTTCTCTTGTCGGTCAGCTCGGCTGAAAATATTTTATAACTTAGAATTTAACTTTGAACTAATTTTATACGTCAATCGAAAATGGACCACATTTGCAAAGTAATGGAGGACAGCAAAATCATAACTTTATAATATTATAGTCACAGAGCCTTGAAGATATAATACAATGGACTGTGTCCCATTAAACATAAACAACCAAACTAACCCGGCCTCATGTTTGTCAGAAATAGCGTCTCTCTGAGCTTGATACTCGTCTTCTTGTTTCCTCATCTTCTTAGCGCGTGCTTTGCGCCCGCGACAGCAGCAGCACCAAATCGTGCACCCAGTCACAAAGAGAATAACAAGTCCTGCAGCTATACCCACACCCACAATAACCATCTTGTGGTTAACTGCGGAATTTTGGGAATTATTTTCAAGGCTTTGGAATCACTGCTTTCATTAACTTTGTAAAGGTGTAATTAGTATTATCGATTATATGATCCTTGTGGCTTTGTGGTTAGGGTTGAGGTGATGGAGAAGGGGAATTGGATATTTTGGGGGACCTTTTATCATAATCCCACATCACATGGTGTGTCTTAAAGAGCTGCTGAATCTTAACTTATTCGTTATCAAATGTTATTTGTGCGATAGTAAAGCATTCAGAACTCTTAGATTAATAAAAGCGAACATCAGGAACGTTTCTGGCTGGTTTTAAACGTTTCCGTTATATTTGTATACTTTTATTAAGTGTTGCTATTTTTACAAAGCTTATTCATAGTGATATTTTTATTCAAATGTTCCTTTACGCTTTTACGATGACAGCACTTATTTAGATCGATATAAGCCATATTGTGTTTCCTCGTAATACTACTGATAGAAGGCCATCTATTATGAAGCGTCTCTTACACAGATACTGATTTTTATTATTTTATGACAGGTTCAGTATATTATAATCATACATTTAAGATGAAATAACAAGGCGCTTCAAAGAAATTGTGACAAGACGCAACTAATAATATTGATAAACATTATAAATGAATAAAGAATTGCTACGCTAACGTGTAAAGAACGGTTGGATCAGCCGCCAGTAGATTACACTTCAGATCAAGATGTATATTGAAGTTAATCATTCAGTAAGATTTAACTCACCCACGCAGTTGCTGGCGTAAAAGTTCTTGCCACAATTCGGAAGATTTGTGATGTCGGTAACTGGGTTGTAAGGGAGACACGTGCCCGTTTCTTTACACCAGGCACACTAAATTAAGGGGATATTTACTTGAAAATTTGGTGTTGTGGAGAAGATTGAACATTAAAAAAATTGATCTCAAGGCACCTGAAATTTCTCATTTGAAGTTGAACAAGTCGGCTTCAAGTTTATTTTTAATTATGGTATATCTTACTCTAGTACTGAAAACCTCTGTTATTCTTGCATTTTTAGTTATGTAATTCAATGAACATTAACCAAAAGTTGCTCGAATCTTCTTACGTCATTCTAGACTTACTTTCCCAGATCGAGTACCGTTGATGCAAGTTTTGCAAGATGATGTTGAATCTCCTAAACTGCAATCTACGTCTTCAGTCAGCACCTGCGTTATCAGCAGAGCTACCACAACACACAAGCTCTCCCGTAAAACCATTCTATAAATAAGGGCGTGGTTAAATTCCTTAGATTTCACGAATCTGTTAATTCTGAAAATATCGTAAAATAAGATTCTGGCGTGAAACAATAACGTTTGGTATTTCAAAGGTTCTATATTCTTAAGGTGACAAATCACGAACTGCTGCTACGGTAAAGAAACACTCCACGGCCTGGGTTCCATAACAATATGATGATATTATAATATATTCAAATAGCATTTATAATACATATATAAATAGCATTTATAATATATAAACAGCATTTATAATATATATACAGCATTTATAATATATAAATAGTATTTTAAATAATATATAAATAGCATTTATAATATATATAGATATATATTATATAAATTTATCCAAAGTTTTGTTAAATAATGTTAACTTTTATTATATACATTATATTGTGCATTGAATGCACTGCAGTCTGAATATCCAATGGCAACATTTCAAAGTCATACTATAAATGTTAAATAATACTGGTTTGATTAACAAGCAAACTATCGTAGCATGATGCGGCTCTTGCTGCTACCTTTTGTGTTCCTAGTACTGGTCTGTTCTGGTTGCGAAGTAGGGTAAGTTAATGGCATTTCAAATAATAATTGTATTAAATATTATTCTTTCTTGATACATTGAGGTAAAGGTACTGTGGAAAATAAATTAGTTTCTTGCATAACTGCTTGAATAGCATAAGCATAGTTTGAGATTTTCATAACTAATCTGAATCTGAAATTAAATGGAATTAAAGACACGTGAAAAGAAAGTATAATTAGTGAATAACAATCTTTTTATCTATCAGGTATCGTGCAGTCAACATTTGGCCAACTGGCTGGCAAGGAGAACTGACAATTCCCTTTACTAAAACCACTGCTAACTGGAAGCTTCACGTAGTCTTTACCAACCCAATTCTTGATGGTAACTTCTTTCAAGGCACTGCAACGTTAAATGAGGATAGTACAGAGGTGACAGTGACGGCTTACGATTGGTCCTCAGTACACCAGGCTGGAGCTACATTTGTTGCTGGTTTTACAATCACCCATGCTAACGAAAATGTAAGTGAATTGGAAACAGGTAAAACTATTTTTCTAAACACAGCACTGAGAATTGAAAATTTTAATCGGTTTTGTGGTAATTACGTTGTGTTTAGTTCGAGCTACATTTTAATCGGCTGTATCTTCGGTTGTGATGGATATTTTTTAATGCGATAAAAACTGATTACCAAAGAATACTATTACCTTCCTCCCTGTGACCACGGGCTTTCTAATTATTTATGATAGCAGAATTTGGCCACCATGGTGCTGGAGGATTTAAAATCTACCTCCAAAACCCTTAGACCCCCTTTCAAATCTCAGGAAGTTGAGATAGCTAAAATGACTCTCGAAGTATGCTATGCAGATGGGGGTTGTAGTGAATGTGGGATTGAAGTTGAACCAAAACAATGCTCTGGAGCTTATCTCCATACTAAAAAAAGTAAGAAATAAAGTTGAATTCTCAACCTTTTGTTTTGTGATGGTTTCTGTACACTTGCACTTTATAATTCATTTAAGCAAATTCAGCATAATAATTTTGTTGGATAGTTTAAAATATATATATTTATATAATGAACAAATTAATCCACAGTATCAAAATTTCTGATTGTTTTGATGATTTTTATTTATCCATAATTATATTAACGATAGCAATTAGCAATTACCATTAAGAATCATATTTAGTTATACTAGAAATAAATACTACCATAACCAAACTTTCCATATTATGTAAGTTGCTGAAAACCTATATAATTCAGATTCAAAGTTCATAAAAGGAAAGATACAAGTGATGCCTGCTGAAGACTACGCAAAATTTCCAGACATGATATTGGCATTCAGTGAACCAATAAAGAAAATTACTGTTCCTAATAAACTTTATCAAGTTTATTGCTGGGATGAGAATATGCAATGCACAATAGCTGCAAAGAATCCAAAAGCTTTGAAGAGAAACGTTCTGTTAACTATACCTATAACAATCTTTATCAACAAGAAATCTCAGCCACTCTTGGTTGGCATGAAGTGGAATGGTCTTGATGTCTGTGAAACAAAACCTGAGCCACATCCAGAACCTGAACCAACGTCACAACCAGAACCAGAGCCTACAATGGAACCTCAACCAACACCAGAGCCAAAACCAGAGCCCAATCCAGACTGCGATCAGGGAAAGTAAGTCAATGATTAATGTGTTGTTATAGCTGCTGAAATAATATATTTTCAACTGCAGTCATACCTGGCTTACTGAGCTGAGGCTGTTAGGGAATGATTAGCCCCGAAAAAGGATCCTCAATCCTCTATTATATAAGGCCAGGGCACAGTAGGTCAGGACTCAGGGTTTGCTTTGATTGTATTCATTTTGATTTGAAATACCACGCTTGGAATAACGAAGTTCACTAGCAGTTAGCACCATGGTGATGATCCATGAAAACTATCTACCGATTCTATCACAGGTATTCAGAAGCCCTTCACTTGTCGCTTCTGTTCTATGAGGCACAAAGATCAGGACAACTGCCAGCAGATCAACGAGTTACATGGAGGAAAGACAGTGCTCTCAACGATAAAATTCCAGGGGGTTACTACGATGCTGGAGACTATGTAAAGTTTGGATTTCCCATGGCAGCATCAGCAACAGTAAGTTCTGCTTCAAGAACAACAATCGTGTATTTAGTTACCGTGATCCTGTATGATGACTTAAAACTAGATCACAAACAATGAATCATGATTAAAAATGTATACCTGTATCTCTATTTCAGCTATACATTTAAAAGTTTAAAATAGGACAGATTTTTTAAAACAAGGTAACTTTTGCCCTGAGTTATAACCTGTTACTTGTCAGATGGCAGGGTGGGGAGGAGTTGATTACAAAAAGGGTTTTGTAAAAGCTTGTGAATGGGAAAATTACAAAGCTATGATAAAGTGGGCAACTGATTACTTTATTGCTGCACACACTGAAACCAATGAGTTAGTGGGACAAATTGGAAACGGTGATGCAGATCATGCTTTTTGGGGTCGACCTGAGGAAATGACTATGCAAAGGCCAGCATATAAGGTACAATACTGAAATAAATAATATTTTAAAGATCTTACAAGGCTGATAGAAAGATCTGCAGCTACAAATAGCTCTTTCATCTTTAAGTTTTTAAACAATTCTAAAAGCATAACCAAGATTTCCACAGATCACAGCCCAAAAACCAGGATCTGAATTAGCAGCAGAAACAGCAGCAGCTTTGGCAGCAGCGTCCCTGATATTCAAAGATGATGATCCATCATATGCATCTGAATGCTTAAAGCATGCTAAAGAGCTTTATGATTTTGCAGACAAGTATAGGGGCTCTTACACACAGGCCATACCTGATGCAGCTAAATTCTATAACTCATGGAGTGGATACAATGATGAACTCGCATGGGGAGCAGTGTGGTTGTACCGTGCAACAAAAAATAAAATGTATTTGGCAAAGGCTGAGCAGCTCTCTAACAGTTTGGGTTCACCTGAAGAACTCTCCTGGGATAACAAGGGATCTGGAGTACAAATACTACTGGCAGCTGAGACTGGGAAACAAGTATACAAAAATAGAGCTAACCAGTTCTGTACTAGGGTCCTAACTCAAAAGCCAAAAACTCAGGATGGTGAGTGTATGAGATAATTCTATTTTTTAATATCCTTACAGAGACTATTTTCTCAAGGTCAATGTTAATACATTATTGCCCACTTTAAGGTGACGGTTAATGATTAATTATTACAAGTAAATGCCAAGGTCATTACATTGACAATTACCAGGACTTGTGTTCATTCAACAGTGGGGAGCTCTCAGACATGCTAGCAATGTTGCTTTTGCCTGCCTGTACGCAAATGATAAAGGACTTCTCACAAATGATGTCTCTGTTCAGGCCAAAAGACAGATCGATTACGCTTTAGGTAGATACAATTTATGTGGAGTTAAAAATTCATGTCATACTCATTCAGAAATATAAGGAATATAATGTATTTATTTATTGCTTCTTAGAAAAGGTCAAATAATTTATACATTCAATCAAATCAAGTGATGCAATTGGCAGAGCACAATACACAAGTAAGTAGTCCATTGCTACCAATATTATCCGAGGCATATAGATTAGGAAAAATGTCTATTACCAGGTGACAACAGCAAGAAATTTAGCTTCTTGATCGGTTTTGGGAACAACTATCCACAGAAGCCTCACCATCGCTCGTCTAGCTGTCCTTCAACTGGAAGTTGTAGCTGGAATGACTACAATAGTGCTAACCCAAATCCTCAGGTAAGTTGGTTTCTAATTATACTCCCCTATTTAGGTCTTGATTTTATCCGGTTGCAACATTCTGAATTAAATTTTAATTTACACGAATTCGGGCTCTTTTGGAAATCTAATGATCTTTTGAGTCTGCTGTACAATACCATAATCAATAAACAAGAATCCCAATTTTTGATTGAATAGAACAATGATTGAGGTTTCTCGTCACACTTTCGAATTTCAAGACGAGTTTATATAGAACGCTATTGCACAATTTGTGAAACTATACCAACAAGACGTGTGGACAACCGAAATAATGTTTTGCAGGTGCTAAAAGGGGCTTTAGTAGGAGGGCCCAAGTCAGTTAATGACAACAGCTATGTGGACAGCCGACAGGACTACATCACAAACGAAGTTACTACAGATTATAATGCTGGTTTTCAATCAGCACTAGCTTTCTTGGTGGATAATCAATAGTTTTGGGGTTATGAAAATACATTGAGTCAAAATGTGAATTTCAAATAATTATAATTTTGCATAGATTTGAAAAATTAGATTGATGATTATGTTATTATTAAATTTGTTTTCCTTGAAATCTGTGTATTCATGCAAATGCTTTATATGTATAATGAAGACAACTTAATATATAATAATTGATATACTAGTGCAACTGAGATCTGACAATACTACACCTGCACCTCAGTTAAGTAAGTGTAGTAAGTAAGTAATGTATAACTAGACTTAAACAAAAGTCTAATAAAATATAAAATATAAATATTCTACTGCTTGAAAGCTTAATATGTAATAATAAACTAAGAAATAGTGGTTAACAAATTGTGGGTGCGATTAGATTCCTATCGTTCTGTTTTCATTTGTGAATGCTGACTTCGATTTTAATGCATAATGGTAAAAATTTAAAGTTAAGGTGCAAACATTTTTACTTCAAATTTTTATATTACCTTCACGATTATTTTAAAACCAAAACTAACTCGAATTCTAAAGCATTAACAGCTCAAATATCGTTTTACAAGCCTGTCACGTGCGCGCGTACGAGGGCTTTGGTCAAAGCTTGACGGATGTTACTCGTCTAAATTTCTTCGAAGTAGCGCGCGCCGCTTTCTTCTCGAAATATTATGTTGCCCGATAGCAAGTGCTACGAAGTAGTGTGCGCCGGGCTATACAATTAACAATGGTTAAGTTAAAGCAAGTCTACGACAGCAAAATATTTGAAAGGCCCACGATATATTTCCACCGAAAGCACAGTCAAATTCCAATTTTAAATTTGATGTACTACGAAATATGTTAACAGCTTGTTTTATATTTACTTGATTCTGCATTAAACCTGTGTACTTTGGAGGACTTCGACGCTTCGACGCGCCGCGCGAACTAGCATTCTTGCTTCGCATCGTCGATCGTTGCTTTGCTTCGCAAAGCAACGATCTCGATGGGTTGACATCGTCAACCAACTGTGTACTGTAAGCTTACTAAAATTTATCAAGAGGGAATATGAATCTTTTAAGATCATTTTCAAGGCAAAATATCAACAAACCCAAACGTTATTCACGCTATTGAGCTTTTTCATTTTTACAAAGAAAATATAGTATATACTATTGCATTGCATTTTTAAACTTTTTAGTTGTTATTCATATACTCTTTTAAAAGTATTCCAACTGATTTGTATAAATGCATAAATTGATTCTGAATATATCGCACAATATTTAATTTTGATTGCGCGCAATTTGGGGAGTGTGCTTTCGGTGGAAATATAACCTGCGCCTATTTTATAATATCACACGAATTAAAAAATTAGACGTAATATGACATATTGATTGACGATGTCAACCCATCGAGATCGTTGCTCTGCAAAGCAGGAATGCTAGTTTGCGCGGCGCGTCGAAGCGGCGAAGTCCTTAAATATGACATAACTATGAAGTTGCTTAATTAAGATATTTTGCCCCTTGGAAATTTTTGTACAAAACCCCCAGATATTTTATTTGTGTTGACTGAATGTTAAATTGGTATATTGTTATATATTAAAGTCACTATTGTGACGGTACATTAGAACTAGACAGAAACAACGTGTGAAGGGCCTGAACGGAACCCCTCGGTTTCAGTTCCTTGTTTAACACTGCCGTACAGCAAGGACATCCACCGGGTTCTCCAAGGATGGGCACATAGCTCACTCCACACTATGCTTTGTCAAATGTTGCTTATATACCAAGGATCTACAGGAAATATTTCCTTGCAAGTTTAGAGGGCGATCTATGAACAGACCTCATTCCCAACTATATAGGAACTAGAATTCCTATACTATCCCAACGAGCTACACCAAGCATAGTTTCAGATGAGAATAGTTTCAGATGAGAATATATGTTTTTTGACTTAGGGTGGCTTCGATGTCCGAAAAGATATATTTTTCTCCAAATCTGTCTATCCTGTGTGAGTTTCTTCATCTTCTTGCTGTCGTCAAGTTTTGTGTTCCTCCGCAGGATGTCTACATATGATTAAGTGAGGTGTGGTCTTCCCCTACGACGATGTCCGTGGAAGGGTTCTTCGAGGAGAAGCTGATGGGTCTGAAGGTTTTCATGTCTGGCGAGATCATCCTCCCCTCAGCTACCTACCTGATGCTCTAATGAGATTTCAATACACTTTTGCGTTACTCTGCCAGCCTATGTTAAGTGCCATCCTCAGCAGTCTCGTATAACATCCATCTATTTGCTTTACGAGGGTCTGGCTGACAGTCTATGTTTTAGGGCCATATAGAAGGATTGACTTCTTAGTCCACATGCCTTGCAAACTTAATGCACTGTATTTGTAATGGTCGCTATTAATACTCGCCAAAGATGGTTCCCCTTTAGTCAATCGTAGGAGAAGAGAATTAGGTGTCTGCATTTTGTTTTGATTTTATGGGGTCATGAGTATTTTTGAGAGTCCCGACGAGAATGGCCCAATTCTCATTCTCAAAAATTATTTTTGAGTATTTTTGAGAAAAGTTTCCAGGAGAGGCGAAATACTCATTCTCAAAAATTGATTTTAGTTGAAAGTTTCATCTCAATTGGATCACATTGCACTGATATGAAGAATGATTTGGCATATCACTATTTTTGAGTGGACAATTTTTGAGAAAATGAGAAATCCATGCTGAAATTCTCAGATTCAAAAATTAGTTTAGAGTGGACAATTTTTGAGAAAATGAGAAATCTATGCTGAATTTCAAAGATTCAAAAATAATTTTTGAGACATTTTTGAGTATTCCAGGCAAAAATGGTCAAATTCTCAGATTCAAAAATTCTCAAAAATACTCATGACCCCCCCTAAATGTTATTGTCTCTATTCAATCTTGACTCATCGTTAAAACTGAACTTTAAAATTCAAGTTTGCAGTAAAGATATGACTTTGTCAGTGGCATTGTTTGCAACATCATCTGTCCACTTGGCATCTCTTGCTGGAATTATCTGTTATGGAATTACATTGTGGTATGAGTTTGAAGATTCTGTGCACACGCATTGCAATGTTTGGAACCTACTACCATCCTTTTCATCAACGATTGGGAATTACACTCCTCAAAGGTTTTTAGAATATTAACTCTATTAGATGTTAATTTTGTTAATTGATTGATTAAATGTTTTATTAGAATGTGAGTGCATAGATTAATTCTCAGCTGTATTTGACACTCAAAACTATTAAAAACCGATATCAATAGTACAGTCAAATAAGTGTTTTTGTCGGACATAATTCACAACAAAGCGATTTCAACGGGAAATGGTCGGGAAAGTGATCATACGTTTTATGTAATTGTGAACATTTTTGTCCAAAATGTATTTTTGAAATTTCTGAAAATTTACTAATTATTTAATTAATTAATTAAATAATTTATCTATTAAAAATTGTAAGACAAAAAGTTGTTCTTCTTTGTTTTCTAAACACACTGCTTTAAACTAGAATCTTATAAGATATTCAGAAGTTGACTTATTTGCAAAAACCAATGTGGTAAAAATAAAAAGGTGGTAAAAAAGTGGTTATTGTGGATTTTGCTGATTTCAGAAATTTTGGGAACTCTCTGGAATGATTCCTGGGACCTTTCCCGGCCATTTTCTGTTGAAATCGCTTTGTTGCGAATTATATCCGACAAAGGCTTAAATTGGGACGTATTTTACTGCTAGTATAATGAAATTAATCTTACATTTGAGCAATGCTCAGTGCTCACCGGGTATCATAACCAATTTCAGGTATATTTGGAGGTTTTTAGTGGGTGTCTCCTGTGTTTTGAGGCTGTTCTCTGTAGCAATATTTTCCCAAAATCTGAAAAGGTCCAACAAAAAGGGCGCTATTGTTCAGATCCTGACATCAATGCGAGTGGCTGAACTTATAGGTAATGTTCAATTATGTGATAGTTAATTTTTAATCTTACTTTTTGCACATAATGTCCATAAAAACAATTTTTTTAACAAGGTGAATTGATCTTCATCAGCTCTCTCTTTACAATAACCACAATGTATTTATTGACTTGAACATTGTGATAATTCTTAAAGTTCAAGGAAATGAAGATTGCTTTATTCCATTATAAATTACTTCTTTTTACATTTACCTTCTTTTCAGGTTTGTTCCTGTTGACAATGTTTGCATCCACTGAAATATTTCCAGCTCACGCATTTGGTTTCTGCCTTTTCTTCCTTTTTTCAATGTTAAACATAACAATCATATCTCGCCTTATGGGCAGTGGTGTGACAGGATCTGGGAAACTAAACACAAAATTAGCATGGTATCCAGCAATATACTTGCTTACTTTTGTCGGCTGTTTTATATCCTACATTGTTCATGGTAAATACTGTTTGTCAGGAGTTTACACAGTATTTGGTGCACTTGAAGTGATTATGATATCCAGTAATATTATGTTTTGGCATTATAGTGATGGCTTGGAATGGAGTTCTTACACTATTTCCATTGAATGAATTTTTTGATATAAATTATAAATTATTGCCTACTTATTATTATTGCCTTTTTAAAATGTTTCAAAATAGTCGTTTTGTGATATATTCAATGAAGAAGTGTAGATTTTACCATAGAAATAATATATTAAAGATTTTCACTTTTCAGTCTAATCAAATTTTTCTCAGTGGTCAAGGATTTATCGAGTCTCCGATTCAAAATTATTTATCAAATTTTGGATAATATGGACTATTTAGATAATTTTATCAATTTGCTAACATCAGTTAATAACTTGACTAAAGTTATCACTGAGACCCCAATGAGGTGGCACCAAAAGGTTAATGAGTGTAAAGGAAGAGATATGATTAATATTTGTTATGTTTTGTTACGATTATTACGATTCATTAATTAAAATATGCAGTGGTTTGATGAGGCGTGTTGCTACGTGTATTACTCAGCCACATCGAAAGGAATCATTAGCTTTACCATTCGCATTTCACACGTTAGTCAGATTATAGAACTGTTTCTAGTGCTCTCTTTGATTTCAAAAGTAAGGTTATCATTTCGCTATATTGATGCAGATTGATTCACTATTTTGCTTATATTTCTTTGAATTAGGTTAGTGGCTTTCCAACAACATACTTAAATCCTAATTGAGATCATACTATCGAAAGATTGATGTTCATAATTAATTATTAGGTGTTATACGGAAGTTACTAATTGTCGAGACTTGATTATCATTGTAACAGGAGTTCGGGTTTAAAAAAAGTCATAATTGCACCTTTTCCATTTTCCTTTAATCATTAATCTTTATTTTAGCTTAGCTCTCCGAAGTCGATCCATCTGGTATGGCAGCCAAGGATAAAAAGATGAAAAAGACCGCCAGAGAGAGGAACGGTAGAGCAGAAACAGAGGTCATGCTAGAGGACGAGCCCACAACAACCGAGCTAGAAACCAAACTAGGAGCTGTGGGTATATTCATCTTATCCTGTGTCATATACTTCATTACCATGTTTCCTGGACTGCCGATGGGGGATTCTGGCGAGTTTATGGTGACAGCAATAGACTTTGGAGTAGCTCACCCTCCTGGGTATCCTCTCTTCACATCCATGGCCCATTTAGCCATAAAACTTATCCCCTTTGGAACCCCAGCATGGAGAGTAAGCCTGCTTTCTGTTCTATTTGGGGCTCTGTTCAATGTTACTGTCTACTATGTTGTGAGTCTAGTTGGTAAGAACAGTGTCGTGGGTCTCATGGCTGCCGGATGGATCGGATTCTCCCGTCTATTTTGGATGTGGTCCATACAGGGAGAAATATTCAGTTTAAACAACTTCTTCTGTGCGTTCATTATGCTCCGGGCTTACTATTTCGAGAGCTGTTCAAAGGAAAATATCTTGTTTGAAGCTAAAATCTCTGCTCTGACTTGTGGATTATCGTTATCTAACCAACATACCTCAGTCTTGTTCATCGTTCCATTTGCTCTGAGAGTAGCATACAAAGTTTTGATAGTCGAGGGGAAGTCACCTAGGGATGCCTGTAATATCGCAATGTATGGTATCGGTGGGATGGCCTGGTATTTGCAGATGCCAATATCACATTTCTTCTTCACACCACGAGTTACTTGGGGAGACTTCGGAAGTATCAGCACATTCCTTAAACATATGCTGAGGCTGGACTATGGCAGCTCTTTCAAACTGGTGGCTGGAGATACTCAGGGAACGTTTATTTCAAACTTCATTGCCTTTGTCAAGGACTCGTCTGCCGAACTAACAGTGCTACCCTGGGCTTTTGCTCTTTTCCTTATTTACACCGTTACTACGAAAGTGCCTGGGCATCTGTTTCGGACCACAGTGAAAGTTTTTCTAGCTATGATGGGCTGTTATTTTGCAGTCTTCTGTTCTTTAGCTAACATTGAGAATCCTGCTGGACTCTCAAGGGGTGTTTTAGAAAGGTTCTGGATGCAACCTTCCATTGGTCTTCTTATTTTAGCGGGGATTGGACTTAGCAAATTCATCATATTTTTATCTGAAAAAGTGCACCCGATCCTGAAAAACAAATACCTCCAACTTGCCCTAGCTATCCTTATCATATCCGTGCAGATAAAAACAAACTACGAAGAAAACGACGAATCAGACAACTGGTATGCGCACCACTACGCGCAATCAATCCTCCCAGAGCTTCCAGAGAACAGTATTTTACTAACTGGAGGGGACCTGCCCACCAATGTGTTTAGATACCACACCATCTGTGAGCAGATGAGACCCGATGTCCGGGTTATGGACATGCAGTTCATGGCTGCTGACTGGTTCAGGGATGTCCTGGCTCCCACTACATTTGCTGGCATAAATGTGCCTGGAGTTTACCGACCCTTTAAAGCTGCCGATCTTGTTAAAGGCCAGTATAATCTAAAGGGGTTCCTTGACGCTAATATTGACAGTTTTGATATATTTGTGTGTAATTCTGTGAGACGTGATGAAGGTAGCGACTATGAGGTGCACTACATGCTGATCCCTTACAGAACTTGCAAGCGCTTCGTTAAGAGATCTGATGTTGTCAACCCTGTCGAGGTAAGATTTCTCTGATGACTGACTAGCCTCACAACAAAACATCACTTTTATCTTAACTATCGCAAAATGTTTGTCAATTATTTGATGGTATGCCCCGTATTTTGTCTGTAACACACAACAGACCTTTGCCCAGGTGGTAGAGAAGACCCCAAGCACAGTACTGGACGAGTGGCCGATGCCAGATATCCGGAAATACGAGGACCGAACCTGGGAACACACCCTGAAGGTGGCGTATCTCAACAGCCTCTCAGAGAAGGGATCCCTCATGTGGCAGGAAGCTGTGGCTCACAAAAATTCGAATAATCTCAGGTAAAGCATGATTTTGTAAATGTAATTTTGCAGATGTGAATTGGAGCATTGTGATTTGTGAATCAATTTGTGTTGTTTAAATCGATTTTAAATGTAGATTGTTGCAACCCTATTCAATATTCATGTGTGATAACAAATTATACGTGCATGTAACCCTTTTATTAAGGGGTAACTGTGTAATGACCGCATCGTCAGTGATAGCGAATACTCCGTGTCTACTTTTCATATAATCATACATGTGCTCTTTACCCTTTCAACATGTAATCTCTGTGTGTGCCTGTGTTTGCATGAGTTCCTAATTCTGCTTCCGTAGCGAATTTCATCAAAGGTACTTATTGGAACACGGAGCGGTGTTGCACGGCCAGGGAGTGTCTCAGATAGAGACCGCCATTGCAGATGGACGGCTGGAGAGGGACGACTGGCAGCATGTTTACACCATCATGGCCAAGAATATGGGACACTTTTGCATGATTCTCCACACAATGGTAAGAAATACTTTTCAGAGACGCTCGCTTTCATAGAGCTAGATAGTTAAATGTTAATCAGTCAGCTCAGTTTAAATACGCTTGATATTTTATTAGTCTATGAGGCGAATTTGTTTTCCATATTCGGGATGATTGTCTTGATCTGCTAAATGGTGTCGTTCGGTTCTGTGTTTTGGGTCTGATGTACTGTCCAAGTGAGTAAAACCCTGTCAAGGTCCAAGTGCGAGAACTGGTAGTGACTTGTTCTGAAACTGAATTAGGTGTACAATTGAAAAACAGCTTTTTATTTTATGTTCTATAAATGTATAAATTGAAAAATACTTATGGCCTCCTCTTCTATTGGATATTTTGATATCATAAAAATGTGGTGAAATGTTATGACAGAACATAAATATAGGAATTCATTAAGCACATTCGAGCTTTTCATTTAACAAATAAATTTATGATTAAATAAATTTATGATTATATCAGGAACACTAAGGTCTAAGGAAAGTTTTTGTTTTGATCTGATTTCCGGTGATGATATATCAGTATTGGGGTGTTTGGACAACACAATAATCATAATACCTCTGTAGTGTGTACTGATTGTTGTGTCCTAGTCATTGTTGTTACTAAAGATAAGAAGGAGTCAACTTCTTCACTAATGTTTAAAACGTCTTGAATAACGAATGTCTCTGTTTTAAAACCATTTCCTCAGGTAGCAGCCGAGGGTAACGAGACCAGACGACTAGAACTCGAGGAATGTGGCAGGAAATACTGGACTATTTATGTAAACTGGTCTGAAATATTGCGTAATAAAGACGAGGTGGCACTGGTCAAGGAGTTGAGGAGATATTTGGCAATGAAGTCTTTCAAAGGACTAAGGTTTAATATTTAGGTTCACGATTCTATAGGTCTACTGTCTAGGTTGTGTCATTTATTTGGGTAGTGCTCGTGTATTTGAGCAAGATATTTGTTCCCATTGTGAGTACAGTAGTGAGTAAAGTAGTAACTTGTGATGGTATTTATTTGTATTCCACTCGGATTATTTGATTTGGGAACTTGGTAATTTCTGTCGACGGACATTAAACAAAGTTGACGGACATTAAACAAAGCTGACCTACTATCCTTCAACCGTGTGACCGTCCACTAAGTTTCAATTCGAGTTTAAGCGAAGACATGATATTCATAATATTAAGTATTTTACAGACCTTCAAAGGCCTATTTTGTAATATTCAGTACACAATCATTATTATTAGCATTACCATAAAAACATGAATATGTATGAACATCAGTGATATCAGTCAGAAATGTTCAGTAAAAACAATTATGTTTGAATTTTGCTGTTTGCAGTTGTTATTTGTGTTGTTAATACTTTAATATTAGTTTCGTGCATGTGTTATTTGTAATGTAGTACCTTTTTGGGACCTTTACCGATTGTTGAAATTCATCATCGAGCGCTATCTAGCGCTAGATCGAGACATTAAAAAGGTGCCACGCAATTGGCGGCATTGTAGCTAACTGGCGGTATCTAACGTCATCTAGCGTCATTTCACGCTAGATGACGATAGATGTCGAATTTCAACAATCGGTAAATGTCCCCTTTTTGTTAATTGATATTATGTTATTCTGTTCCTATAGACTGAATTATTATTTTCTTCGCATTATTTGATCTTTTTCATTACAATTATTGCAAAAATTGAGTTGTTTCAATATATGATATAGATAAGCTTGGGAGTGTAGCTGGTTTTTAGCGATTCAAGGGTTTCAAAAATATTATCAAGTTAACTTTTGATATCTGATCTTTTGTTTGTTTAGTTTTGATTTTTGTTAAGAAAACGTCTTATTGTATCTGCTTGCTTGTGTTTTTAGGTATTTAGTTAATTATTATTATTAAGTTAATTATGTGTTTTTGATTTTATGTGTATGCTATTTGTGTAATTATTTCTAATATGTAGTTGATTTGAGTTAAAACGGTGTCTTATCACGAAGTTGAATAATCCTCCTATATGAACCATTATTATATTGGTGTCGATTGTGCTATTAATCCTATTATTAGATATTATACTAAAGGAGGCGCTTTTGCACATGCTTTAAATGAAATTTGATATTACTTATAATACTGTCGACTATGTAAATAAAGATTATTATTAATAGAATTATTTATTCTATCATTGGGATGTTATTGGTTGTAATTAATAGATAATAATATTTAGTTAACTTGATCACACAGGTCATCCGTCATCGTCATATTATTTAACCTTTTAAACTTTGAAAAATTTTCGTTTTATTGCAAAAAGATAAACATAATATATTCGGGGGTCATAGCGACCTACCGACAAAAATTTCCTCTCAATTGGCCGTATCTTGGTTTGAGAACACCGCAGAGGCGATAAGTAGATAAAATACGCCTTAAATAAGTATAAAATAAATGTCTGGTTACTTAAACATATTCTCAAAAACTTAGTTGAATTTTACAAACGAGGTAAGGTGTGAGAGTCTCCTGAATAAGTAAGAATAACATCTCATAAAATAGCTGCAATACGTATATTAACAAATATCATATACCTTAGTCGGTAATATTATGGAGTGGGGGGAAATTATGGGTGTTAAAATATGGACTGTTATAAATATGGTTCTTTGGCCCGAAAAGAACCAAATTTGACTCCCCACAATTTAAACTGCGACTTTCCTTTCGTGAAAAAAAAATCTCAGATCGAATTGTACACTGCAACGAAACAGCTGCTGCTGAACTTGTATTATTCATCTGAAGTTGCTGATCTGAAATTGAAATTTAAATTGTTCCTAGTTAACCCCTCAAATTGAAAGGATGGGGGGAATGGTAGACAAATCGGACTTTTTGAACCAGAACTAGCTTCAATTCAGCAAACAACTAAACAATAACGTAAGCATACTTCTGGACGTGAATGAAAGAAAATGAAAGAAACGTTAAGCATATTATGACTAATATACCAAAAGGAACACCAAAATTTGACTCGGGGGTTAAATTATGGGGGGTAAAAATATGGACTGTTGTAGATATGGTTCTTTGGCCCGAAAAGGACCAAATTAGACCCCCCATAATACTACCGACTAAGTTAAGGTAACAATCTCAACGAAATCATTGAAAACAGTTTTCATTTAGACTTCAAGAGTACCTAAAATCGAATACAAATACAGAGCGAAAGTGTCGTTGATTACTGTACCCTGCGCCCACTCCTACTTAACAGGGTTTGTCTGTTAATAAGCTAGTAATTAAGTAATGGCTAAATCCGCAGATCCTGCTATTTAATTGGCTATGAATTTAGTGTGTCTGGCTGGTGTTAGCCATCACTGGTCTATCAAACAGTATTATCACCTCCATCAAACGGCTAAAATTGTTATCTTAATATCATATTAAACTAACTCCTCTGAAACCAACTAAAATTCCCTCAGATTCGCTGGATATCACCACATTTCCAAGCCACTCCGCTGACAGAGCATGTAGCTATGTGATAATAATAATAAACTACTCCGTGTGCATGAACAGTTGAAATGTTGCATTTCTAATTGTGTGTTCAATCTGATGAATGTTGACACAACCTCAATACTTCTCATTGCATGAGTGCTGATTTCTAAATACTAATCTATTAGTAAAAGTGAACTTCACCTTCAAGGTACCTGTTGGGGAAGGGTGCGTTGGAGATTGGACAGGCAGTTACCCAGATAGAGACCGGCATTGCGGAGGGACGACTTGAGGAGGGTGTCTGGGACCATGTGCGTATTGGCGTGGCTATGAATATGGGGCACTTCTGTATGATGCTACATACTATGGTAAGATATTCAACCTGTCAAAGTCGCTTGCTTCTATAGTCATAGAACTAATAATATTTCATATAAGTTGATCAGTCGCCCAGGTTTAATGCCGCCGTCGGTTGATATTTTATTAGTTTATTGGGCGAATTTGTTTTCCATATTCGGGATGATTGTCTTGGGTTGTCTTGATGCTAAGCGGGGTTATGTGATTCTCAAATCCTGGTCTGAGTACTGTCTTCGTCCGTAAAATGCAGGACAACTTGATGGGTTTTTAAAAAGAGTTCTTTTTACTTATTATTTTTACGGCACACAATAATTGATAGTTTGCTGTGTAACTGTTGGTTTTGTGGTTTTAAAATCGCAAAACTTTCAGCCTTATCTTCTTTGATATTATTAAACTGTCAATAAATGAGACAAACGTCACTGGTTGATATAATAAGCTTGGGCAAGGTTATTGAACTGTGAAACACGTTACAAAAGTTTATGTGTGTTTATCTGCGTGTTGCTGACCGGAACCGTCAAGATCTTCACTGATATTTTAAAATGTTTTAAAAACACTCCCATTTTTACAGGTAGCAGCCGAGGGTAACGAGACCAGACGGTTGCAACTTGAGGAATGTGGCCGGAAATACTGGACTATTTTCGTACACTGGTCTAAAATAACACGACTTAAAAAAGAACATAATGAGGATGCCCTTGTTGAGCAACTGGAGACGTATTTAGCTTTGAAGTCTTTTAAGGAACTTCAGTTTAACCTCTAATATCAGGACTGCTGATATTATATAAAAGTGTATATTATTTTATATAATTTTTTATGTCAGTTTTATAGTTATATCAGTCTTAGACGTTTACAAGCAGGTGAGCAAAACTTTCATTACACATCATTCTAATCTGAATAGAAAGGGAAATTATATTCAAATAATATTATGTTTATGTGAATTGTGGAACGTAGTTTCAGATCAGTTTAATTCGAGTTTAAGACTTGATTAAGTGAAAGATATTATATTATTATCATTATAGTATATTGAAATGTTTGCATGCTCCGAGCCTCTGTGATAGGACTCTGCTTTTTGCCTGATTTAGCAATTACCGTAATTTTTCAATGAAAATTGAAATCATCATAACATTGGAGCATGTTTTTTCATTAATTTGGCTTTGTCATTATATGGTAGGTTGTTTTCAATAACCTGATTGCAGAAGCACAATTCCTTCTAAAATTTTAATGAAAGTAAAAAAACTAAGTTTTTAATTTCAAAGATATTGTAGGGCCAGAGGTTTGCAGATTTGCAATGTTTTACCAATGCATGATATTAAGAATTAAAAACAAAATAATATGTAGTATAGGATAAAGATAGAAAACAGATAATAAAGATTAACTTTTTAAAATATTATATTGATTTGATTGGAGAGAAATAAATTATCTGTAACTGTTGTTCTAGTTTGTTTTTGTCATGAAATTTGATTGGCGCTTAATAGTTTATTTAAAGATGAAGGTGTTAACCATGTGATATTAATATTAGAATGTACGTTAGTTGTCTTATAGTAGCCGATTAAATGTCATTAAAGTTCAGATTTTTGTTTTACTGGACAAGGAAACCTATAATTCAGGTAGTACTCGTAACAAAAGGGCACAGACATCATTAATTAATCATTCCCCACATACTAAATAAAGATCTGTTCTCTGGGTACATTCCGAGTGACTACAATATAATACTGATAAATACTACATAAAAGATTGTAACGTAATTACTATAATAACCTTTTCTTGAACTTGATACAAATTCTAGTCCAACTTAAAGCTGATCAAGCTAGCAGTGATGAGTGATGCGCAGACCAAACCTACTAAACAGGACAAGACAAAAAAGCGACCCCTAAAGAATGAACATGCGCTGCGCACCATGAACTTTCTCCACAGCGCTGCGCATCAAGCACCCACCATCTCCACAGCAACCAACATGAACACCAGCCTGGTGACCCTAAAGGAGAAGCACACCTCCCGACTAACCCCCGATTTGAAGCGCAGCATGTGCAGTAAGTGTAAGGTAGTGCTGGTGCCCGGCAACACGGCCAGGATCAGGGTGAGGAGCAAGGCAGGGAACCAGTTCCGGGTGATAACGTGTGTAGTGTGTGGACTTAGTAAACGGTATTTGCTCCGGGAGAAGGAGTTGCAGATTGAGAGATGTCCCTTGTTTGAGAATACTTGATCTTTTAATCTATCATTTAATATACTTGTGCCTTTTGGGCGCTGTAATTCAATTTCAGTGCTTTCAAAGTGGAATAATTTGACAGAGGTTTAACAAAATGTTGCAAAGTTTTACTGATTTTTTATTAATGATTGCTATTCAATGAGGGGCTGTTTTGATTGTTATTTAAATCAAGTTTTGGATGTATTTATCATCAAGTATTAAATAACTGCATTTTACTTTCATCTCAAACACTTAAATGGATCTGACGTTACTACATACAATAATTACTACTTCACTGTTCGCTGTATATGAAAATAAAACCGTTGTAATTACCTGACAATTAACTGAGCTTATCTACTGGAACTACTAAATACACCCCGGCACTGTAACTCACAAGATTGCATGTATGAACTGGTCCATGATATCTAAAATAGCAAGATATCACCGTGACAACTGTATCACACTTTTACATGTGTGAACTTGTTGATAGTAAACCGTAAAAGTGTGGCAAGGTCTCTCATTGGAAGCCTGTTAAACGAGCAGATATTGGCTCTGATGATACATTCTCGCTGCTTAACACCGATAAAGTTACCTCAGAGATTACTGGGGCCTCGTAACAGGGCCTGTCACATCTTCACTGACTCACCGCCGCATTTTAATGAGAGATAATCCTTCCTTTTAGCATCATGGCCGTGGAACACACAAAATAGCACCCAGTGAGACCCTGAGAGAGGTTAAATGTGAGGTACGAGTTAAATCTGGGAGTCTGGAAGAATGAGTGAAGTCTGCATGGATTATCATACGTGGAAGTAAGTGTGATAATTCTTGTTGTAAAACAAGTCATTTGTGTTTAACTTTATTAATAAACACTCTTGATTTACAGCAGAGTTTGGAAGGTGGGTTAAAAAGAACCGATGGGTACGGAATCAACAAGTCATTTGTGTCTGAGTATATTAACACTTTTGATTGGCGGCGGGGGAATTTAAATGGACCAAAGTCCTGGAATTAAAATTAGATTGTCATTTTATATTGACCGACAACCTTTATTGTGCGACGATTCACCTGCTGGTTAGATATCACTAACAATCTATTCTTCCACACACTGACTGCCACACTAAATGTGGCTCTTCAGTTCACTTCTGTGAATTCGCATGCAAATCGTAATGACATTTAAATGGTTGCCTGGAGCTCACCCGAGTGAACCCCTTTAATATAAAGTTATCTGTATTATAACATAACTTTACCCGCAGGTTACACAAGAACCGAATAGTAACCTTACTGTGCCTCATTTCCGCTTTTCTACTGACTACCTCAATATGCATCATACACTGGGCCAAACTTACGGTTAGATATTACTACTTTACTCAATATGCATCATACACTGGGCCAAACTTACGGTTAGATATTACTACTTTACTCAATATGCATCATACACTGGGCCAAACTTACGGTTAGATATTACTACTTTACTCAATATGTATCATACACTGGGCCAAACTTACGGTTAGATATTACTACTTTACTCAATATGCATCATACACTGGGCCAAACTTACGGTTAGATATTACTACTTTACTCAATATGCATCATACACTGGGCCAAACTTACGGTTAGATATTACTACTTTACTCAATATGCATCATACACTGGGCCAAACTTACGGTTAGATATTACTACTTTACTCAATATGCATCATACACTGGGCCAAACTTACGGTTAGATATTACTACAAGTTTACTTAATATACATCATACACTGGGCCAAACTTACGGTTATATATTACTACTTTACTCAATATGCATCATACACTGGGCCAAACTTACGGTTAGATATTATTACTTTACTCAATATGCATCATACACTGGGCCAAACTTACGGTTAGATATTACTACTTTACTCAATATGCATCATACACTGGGCCAAACTTACGGTTAGATATTACTACTTTACTCAATATGCATCATACACTGGGCCAAACTTACGGTTAGATATTACTACTTTACTCAATATGCATCATACACTGGGCCAAACTTACGGTTAGATATTATTACTTTACTCAATATGCATCATACACTGGGCCAAACTTACGGTTAGATATTACTACTTTACTCAATATGCATCATACACTGGGCCAAACTTACGGTTAGATATTACTACTTTACTCAATATGCATCATACACTGGGCCAAACTTACGGTTAGATATTACTACTTTACTTAAAATAACTACTACTTTGCCAAATAACTAGATTATACATAATAAATACCTCGTATCACGTCATGATAAGTTCATCTAATATGTAGTTTCCGTGTACATTGTAGTAGCAACCAGGAGCCATTAAACTGCTCGAATGTTCTGTTCCAAAGCAGTAAGTGAGTACTCTAACTCAAAATTCAAAATGAGTACTACGCTCCGCCGGCTCCGGCTACATTTGATTTATTATACTACATACTGATAAAGCTAAATGGTTTGTGTTCAGCTGCCGCAACACCAGTACCGTCCCAAGATAGGAGATTACATTGGACCCGATAACATCACCAGTATATACCTGGGACTCTTTACAACCTCTCACGGCTCATGTCAGTTAAATAACTTAACTATTTTATCAATTTATAGAATTACTTTTAATTATTGTATAAATACTTCAATTTAATTTATCTGTCCATTTATTGCTTTGAGGTATGTAATATCTTGTGCGGATATTCTTTCTTTGTTGGTGAGAATATATTTTTACACACCTTGAAAATATAACATACGACAGTGATATAACTCCAGCTATGGTAAAATTCTCTGACCTCATTTGTACCTTTTGTGCTATACCTCAATTATTACCTGACCTTTTTCTTTTTTCTTTTCTGGGTGATATATAAGCTAAACACGTAATATGAGACAGACGTCAGATTTAACACACAGGGAAATGGTCTGGCTGTGTGTGTCTGTAATAGATATAGGACAGTTGTATTATATATAGACAATTGTATATTGTGCTATACACTCAATAGGCTTTGTTGTACATCTGGAGGACTAAAGAACAACCATATCGGCTGTAATATCGGCTTGTACGTAGGAAATAAACGTTTTAACTTTAACAATTTACTGACATGGTAACCGCTCTTATTGTAAAGTAAACTCAAACTGGTATCACTTATTTCAGACTACTCGCTCTTCAAGGATGTTAACAAGGAGGAAATTAGAAAAGTAAACATTGTGGCTAGTTTGCTACTAGTATCGGTGTGCTCTGTGCTCATGGCCGCAGCTACCAAGGTTTGTGTACTTACTTTTTTATAAAAGTACAAAACACGTGCACCTTTTATACCATTTATTAGTACTAAGACATAACAAATACAGTTTGTACGTGACACAGATATGTTACAGACATGTTACAGACATGTTACAGACATGTTACTAGTTACAGACATGTTATAGAGATGTTGCTTCTCATTGTTAACCACATAATATATCATAACCACATAACACGCACTTCACACGAATCAGCATCTTCATTCTTCAACATGTATTCTTTAGTAACAGTAAATGTACATCATTATATGATACATACTATAAATTATTCATCATGTAAAACTGTGTACAGTCATTGTCCATTATGTGTCATTGTCCATTAAGTGTCATTTTGACCGTTGTACTTTCAGACATGCTACACGCAAAAACTTAACTGTCTCGACACTTCATGACAAAATCTATGAGTGGTCTGTGATAATGTGATCTGTGATAATGTGGTCTGTGATAATGTGATCTGTGATAATAATGCGGTATATTTTCAGTTATTAGCGCCAAGACACTGTCACCTAGCTAAACGGTACAAGGGATCAGCATTACTTAGCGTGCTGGCTGGTACGTAGACTTAAAGTATTTAACGTCAAGTATTTCAGGTTAAGTATTTAAGGTTAAGTATTTAAGGTTAAGTATCCAACTTGGAGTTCGTGTTGAAGGGTGGTAGTGGTTGCGTTTTATGTAGATCTATTTGGGGGTTATATTTTGTAATTAAAACTCTGGCTCCATGATAGCAGTCAACTACCCGCCAAGGTCTCATATAGTTGACAGCTTCCCGCCCGTTTTGGCGTGTATTAAAGTTCATCGTTCTGATCGTTTTTGTCTCAGAGGTGAACTTAAAACGACATGCACTATAAATAGCCATGACTTACGGCAAGTCAGTTTGTAGCTGATGATCACCATATATTTGAATTTAAAATATTTCCTCTGCGATTAAGTAGTTTAAAATTCTTCCATCTTCAAAACTAGTTTGTTGTTGTTAGGACTATCTACCAGGACGTAGGCAAGCAATAAACATTTTCGTGCTAAACCTTAATGAAAACTTATGCATATAAAACTTTAAAATATTCCTTTGACTTTAAGACCGCATGCTTCTCTGCATTTGTAGATGAAAAGTAAACTATCTAGCTCATGGAATTTAATGAGTATGTTTTGTTTACAGAACATTCCAAGCTTATATATTTGATCAGGAATAATTGATTGAGTTTCAGTAATTAAGTTAAGACTATTATTTTGGACTAATCTATGTATAATACACGTCCATTAAACAAACAAACTTCTCGATATTTGTTTACGGCCTTCAGGAAGGAGATCGAAAGGCACGCCGTAGTTACTCGCATCATACTTATTTGGAACACGCGCTCAATATTTTCCTGTATAGCTTAGCGCATTCGTGTGTTTGATTTGTCGCGCGCGCACGCGCATCCAGCTAGACTAAATATAACCTAATTTGATGTGCTCACGCGATAGAGCGACGTAATTTCATCAAAGTTTAGCTGATAGGAATTGGATCCTAAAATAAAATTGAGTATCACAGACTAGGAGTTGGAGCAGTTACGTTGTATAAACAAGATAACAATTGCTTGTCGCTAGTGAAATTCAAAGAGCGCCACAACTGATTAAACAGCTCAACCAAGTCATCTTTCAGCGGTGTTGAACATCGGTTCACTGGTATTGTGGTTCTGGTTCACACACGGATTTACACATGGCAGATCCACTCTGGGCGCTGTTCTAGACTTCAGCTACTCTGTGTTTATCATGCTTTCTAGCTGTGGACTACTCATCATAGTCATCGGTATGTATGGTATTTTTATCTGCTTGCTCGATACTTTATAAACTTTTCAACTTTTGACTACTCGACAAGACTGTTTATGCCAGCCGAGGGGGGTTTCCAAATGATTAGTGTAATTTTGACACAATACCTATGTGTAAAACTGATTACGGAGGGGGGAGAGGGGTTAAAAAATGTCCACAAATTGAATACGTAATATGCAAACGACCCCATGTAGTAATGAGCCATTTTAGGGTTAATAATCAACCATAGAAACCGAATGCATGCCCGTAATACCATAGCCTCCCCATTTCGTGACGTGTAAGCTGAAACGACTAACAGACTTTTCATCCTCAGCCCTGGAATTTATATCATGTCGGAGAAGATCACATCTGGATACGGATCTAGTGATCTCGCCAACACCGTCTGAGGAGAGCGATGTTGCGCCCCTGAACATGACACCAGATCCTCCTGATCGACCCCCTCCTTATCAAGACCTGCACTGAGAGTGGAACCCTTAATTACGATAATTAGACAATTATGTATTTTTGTGTGATGGAATGGGAATGTGCTTAAAGGTCATAATAATGGATGATACATGATCAGGACTTTGTTTATAATGAAACTCGGCAAAGCTGGCAGGGCTCGTTTAAACCGTGGTGAGATACTAAAGATAAGTCAGTTTCGGCCCAATTTCGATGGGACCACTTACGCAGTTGTTAGCCAAATCTGATTTATTTATCGACATAATAATTTATTCGTTGAAAAATTATTTAAATTCATAGTATGATGCTGATTTTAAGCAGTGGTTGATTCCAAATTTTCTATAGATTTCAGACCTATCTATTTCGTTACACCCGAATATTTGATTGATGTTGAAGATTCTGAATTGTTGATTCTTTTATTTTTAGAACGAACTTTTTATTTTCTCCTCTTTTCTCGATCCAAATAATAATCATACATGTTAACCACGAATTTCTTTGGTAATACATTATTCAACGGATACATACCTATACCCACAGTTAAAGCCCATCCAACAATCGTGGTATAAGATAATAGAAGGTGTCTTATCTAGAAAAGAATAATTTAATTTACACAGCTAAATATTTCTGAACAGGTATAAAAATCGGAACATTCAAGAATGATATAAACATGATTAAGAGTATCATAATTATGTTATTTATATCACATATCTGTTAATTATATTCCATCTCATTTAGACATACTTAATAATCTGTACAATAAAATCCGTATGAAAATTATCTAAATTCATCTTAAGCCGTCAGGGAATGCTGATATAACAAGTCCTTTCCTTTTTAGCTCAGTTTTCTAATGAAAATACCCTTTTATCCTATTTCTGTTACAGTGACATAACCAACTGTTTCGAAGGTGCCTGAAATTATGTTGCGTTTATTTTCTTTGATGGGCATATGAAAACATATGATAGGGAATCACACACGTTGAAAGTATGCACTGGCATTAAGACTATTAAGTTACAAAACGCTTACCCTCGATTTTACTTCTTTGATAAGAGTGGGATTGTTCAGCGTAACATTGAAGGACGGCTTCACCAAGGAGTGTGATGTAACACTGAGATACGAGGAACTTTGTAATTATTTCCGTTAGTATATTTGCACTTTTCGACTAGGGATTCAATGAATTTAGTACCTCCCCCAATAATGTCAATCCTGATGCCTTAAAGTGGAAATCCGTTCAAATACACCTCGTGATAGTATCGTATTTTAAATACAAGTGCAAGTACCTTTCTCGATAATGTCCCGGTCCTGGGACGTTGTTAGGTTTCTCAACAAATCTGGGGGTCTGGCTGGCAAGGGTTCCCTTCAAGTAGGACTCAGTTTTAGAGGGGTTGTACGCTCCTGGTCCTGGGTGATGTGTCTTAACAAAAGTAAATCTACCAGGCTTTAATGTATTCATATTTTAAGCAGCATCCGGTGATCCGGTGTAGTGTCATGAGAAAACTTCATCACATCTGACTATTCTATTTAAGGTTTAAGGCGCTCATCGGTAAAAATCACTGGTCGAAAGTTTGGTCTGAATCTCTTTATATCATGAAGTTTATCGTTCAGTGTTTAGTGTACACGTCACACGACGATCATTGCAAAGTTTGTAGAAATGATTGCTTATGAAAATTGCTTATGAAAACCAATCAAGTTTTGAACAAGCTTTCGAAAAGTTGTTTTCTACCGATGAGCAGACATCCTTGTCAGTCTTATTAATATTTATTCAGTATAAAAATATAACAGTAGATAATCAAACCTGGCACCAGAGGATCAGATTCTTTGATCAAAACATCACGTGGGGGAGCAAATCTTGCAGATGAAGACAAGAAAGACCCTGCTTTAATCTGGCCTGCCAATGTCCTAGGTGCAGCAGTCGTCTTTTTGACTGAAACATACAAATATTTCTATCTCCGATCGGATACAAACTTTTAATTAATTTATATCTAGAGTTGAGTATGGCAATCTTTCATTGGAGACATTTTAAGGATCTTACCTTGAGAGTCATGATATGAGGACTCCACATTGTAGCTGCCCGGAGGAGGAATATCCTTGTCAATTGTTCCAGCTATTCTAATTCTGTCACTCGTACTGGCAAACACTGACGTGGCATGGTTCGTTTTGCGTAGCCTGTGAGAGGAACCTTTAACCACGATACTTATTATATTTTGACAGAAGCGGTAAGCTCACGACACTTAAACTCGGTGTTTTTATTTAACATTTTCATCCAATTACCCAAGCTAGTCAAGTATTGAAATTGATAGCATGTCGAACCGAAAAAACATATTTACTTTTCAGCTATGACATTGCTGTCCTGAATGTAGTGGGACGGTCCGGGGAGATGCTTGTCCTCGTGCTTCGTATAGGGCAGAGTTCTGACGGAGGACGACCCAAACACTCCTTTAGTAGAACTAGACATGCTGAGGAGATAACTTGTTCATAACTTGTACTAGGTGGTAACGTAACAAGTAAGATAGATAGTTACCATAGCAACAGTACACGCTGTATATCATCTATTTCAGGTTTACCTTCTCTAGGGGTCGGCTAAGTGATTAGATTTGCTCAATTTTGACGACATAAATGATAAACTAGTCTTAACAGCTGTGACTAATTAACTACGAATATATAGTCTCCATGGCAACCAAGAATCAGTAAATCTAAAAGACGCGCACTTAGCATGCTGGAAAATAGACTTTAAACCAAAATGAGAGGTTACGCGCTACAAATATAAGGCTTGTAAATTGTGACTGACCGAGTTCTACCCGCTTTTTTGAGGGCGAAATCAGTGTAATTGAATTTACTTTTCAATCATTAGCTATGGAACAAATTTCAGAGTAAAGTGCTTACTGTGCTTTCTTCTGAATGTTTGTGTTCAAGCTTGTCATTATGTCCACGTTATATGTGCCGGGCCCAGGAGCGAAATTACTGCGGCTGCCGCCAGATTTCCCAAATCTCGTAGAAGTCTGACCAAATGGACTCTTTTTTAAACCACTTATCCTGCAATTAGTGATTATTGAAACCAAATGTCAGCGAAAACTGAGTTAGCGATATCAGAAATATAGTAAAAAGTTCGGGTGCTAAGGGAATTAGATGAGATATGAAGCTTACTTTCTCAAGGATTCAAAAGCATGTCTAGTTTCGTTGTATTGTCCTGGAGCAGGCGCAGTGGTCTTCGGAGATATAAATCTCTTAGTCGTCGAACCGAATGGTTTAGCATCGGATCCCTCTGCTTGCAGTGCTACATGTCGTTCCAGTGTTGATTTGATATTGTAGGAACCGGGCCCCGGCACGTTTTTCTTGTCTGCTTTCAGTGGAATCAACTCGTGATATCTTGGAATCTGCGGCAAATGAATTTGGTTACAAATGTTAAATCTTCAGGGGAAGTAGTGTGAACGCCAGAAAGAAAACTGTAAGATACACGAAATTTTCATTAAATATAATCATAGAAACTAGAATGGTAATTGGTAAATGATAAAATCAAAACTCACCCTGGATTCAAATTTCTTAGGTTTTCCAGATTCGGAAATAGTAAACTTCTCCTGGATAACGGGCTCTTTGTGTGGGTTGTATTGTCCTGGGCCTGGATTGTCTTTACCTGAAAATGTGGTTGTGGAGTCTTAGTTTAGGGATCTTTCACATATTACGTAAGCAACCAAGCTACGAGGGGGGAGGCGTTAAAAAATGCTTACGCTATTCTTATGTATACTCAATACTGGTAGTTAGGTTTGAACGTAAATGGTAAAGGTATGAACGGAAGTGGATGGTCCAAAATGGCAAAAATCTGGCTTACGTAATATGTGAACGATCTCCTATTTCTTTATCTAGAGATCGCTTTTGGCGATATAAAATGCTTAACGCTCATGCTTGAGTTTACCTGTCAGTTTTTGGGAGGAAGAACAATCATTTGATTGTATGCAATTTAATTGTATAGTAAACATTAAAGAAATAATAATTGTATGCTGGTATGCAGAAGTAAATGATGGTGAAAAGATTTTCAATGATTCTACTTGTAATCATGATGCAGGAATACAAATACTTGATAATGAGTATGCATTTGGTTGAAGGCAAGCACTTGGCCGTGAGTTCATAATTTAAGAGAGATAAATGTATCGATCATTACACTTTAAGTTTAGTGAGAGCTAAAGGCTGATAAAACATGCAACCTGAAAGGGTAAAGTAAAAGCTCTGACGACAGATTATTCGAATTAAATGGAAAGGTATATATGCGAGGTTAGCATTGAGGCTTAGACACTTTGCTCAACATGATGCAATTTTTCGGGTTTAGGAATAGTGCAATTTTATGCGAGGCGTTTGGAGGATGGTACCTTCATCAAATTTCCATGGAACTTCATAGCCATTGCTCCACACTATGAAATAGCTAGTTATAAGAAACTATTATTAACTTGAAAGAAGTTTGAAAATAATGATTGTTTTGTTTTTGTTTTTTAGCATAAATAGTTTAAATAAAAGCAAGAATCGATTTTTTTTTTTCTTTAACCATTTATAAGAGCTAAAGTGCGAGAGTAAAGTAACTTACAGTAGAATTTGAATCTATTCTCCGTCCTCTTGGACCAATGAACGCCCTTATATCTTTTTTCCGCAATAGTAGTGGAAACCTTGTCTGACTTATAATAAGCAGGCCCCAATGACCCGTCTTTCTCAGGCCCTGCTTGTGGAATGAGGCCTCCGTCTGTTCCTTCTTCGTAACCAAAACTTTTACCCGGTGATGGAATGGAGGGTGGATCCAACTTTCGTTTCCATGTTATATGTCCTGTAAATAATTAAGATAAGATGTGTTTTCTACAAGTGGTGCAATGTTGTCTAATAAAATTGAATCATACATTTTTAAATGGATGCATTCTTTAGTATGGATAGCAAAGAAATTTTACTTAATTCGTGGCATTCTAAAGAATAACCATGTCACGAATCTTTTGAATCACGTCAAACGAATATGAGTCAAGTTAAAGAATTGAAGATGTAAGAATTTATTATGCAGTGCCACCACCAATAAGGTATGCTGAATAAAACCTATCTTAGAACAAACGATAATGTTTTGGGTGGTAAAAACATGGCAAGGGCCAAGGATATAATGCTCAGCTGATAAATTTAGTCTTTAAAGATTGTACGATCCCCATGAATAGAAATTATCTTGAATAAGTAATTTTTATCAAAATACACGTCAAAAATAGCAAGTTCGAGAATAATTAGTAGAAAAAGATTTAGTAATAATTTTCATATCAAACTAACTTTATCAGATTTCATTAGATTTAAACGCCACTGATTATTCTTTAAAAGGTTATTCAGTTTGACAAACCATACATCACTGTAATACAAAGATAATGTCAAATCAAGAATTGCGTGTTTTTTATCCGTCCGTAGTATTCCATGCATTGAAAAAACAAAAATCAGCAAATTAAAAAAGGAAACCTAGCATAAAGTGAGTGCAGCAGCGAGGAACTTAATTGCACCTTTACAAAGGTAGGAACACAGATAACATACCAATTATAAGTCACTATTAAATGACTCGTGTTACTCACCCTCTGAGACCAAATGTTAAGTTAAGCTTTCATTCATGCATTGCAGAAAGTTAAAATCAGAAAGTTAAAATCAGAAAATTTAAATTTATACAATAAATTGGAATAGGCTTAAATTGAGTGCAGCAGCAACAAACTACATAAATTGCTCCTTGATTAAAATAATAATGCAGTTTAACTTACCAGTTCCTTCGAATACCTGTTCGTCAGGTAGAGGCATGGACCGCGGTTTGATCCAATTAAGTTCAGTTGAGTAGGTTCCTGGTCCAGGGGTATCTGGAACCCTTTCTCGGAACCTCGGCTCCTTAAAACAGTATATCAGTAAACAGCTGCCTTGATTATTTAAAACAGTTCACAGTCAATTTGATAAATTTCAGAGTCAGCAATTGTTTAAATTCCATTTTAGCCGTGCTTGCTATATATAACGTGAAATTACAAGTCTACCCACCATATTAGCGATAGTGCTGCCACCCTTAGCTCGGTCACGTGATATCACTTCCGGGTAATAGTGACCAGGTCCTGGCGCTAAGATAACTGTGTCCGGTACATCCAGGAATGTGGTCCTTGGAGCCATCGACTGGAACGGTGCATAGCCCTCTGAGGATGAAGTGGAGCTTGTGGAAAATGTAGGTTAATATTTCTAGCATGCAGAGGCAGCTGCTGGAGTATGTGAATGTTTAATACACTGTGACTACTTAGGGGGCATGCAGCAACTAACTTTAGACACGATTTATTGACCATCATTTACTGGTTATATTTTTAGTTATCCTTAGATGCTTTAAATTACATTAAACTTTCCGTGAAATATTTGTTACTTTACGACTATGGTCACTTCAACTCCCTACATATTAAAGCAGAAATTAAAGAATGGCCAGGTTTTCTTACCGCTGATGGGTTTTCTGTCAGTGAATCTGTGATGAGGTTCGTATGCTCCCGGTCCTACATGTTGGGGGATATCTTTCTGTGTTTCTGAGAGGGCTCTTGGAGCTCGGTCATACATCTAGGAGCTATAAATCAGGATGTGGAGTTAGTCGTGTGTTGGACAAGAGAAAGAAGCATATTTACTATTTATGTTTACTATTTAACGGACATAATTTAGGAAATTACCGTCTTTTAACTTTGGGGTCAACAAATTAAAATTCATTATATGTGTATCATAATTTATCAATAATGCTAAAGAATGTAATTTGTGACGTTTTTATACTTAACTCATGCTAATAATGATCACATAATTTTCTGACAATAATGAATTCATTCAGCTGTATAGCTTTTCGACCCCCAGGGGTCAAAGTATGCAGTGTATTGTGTGTGTGTCTGATACACGGGCAAGTAGACGAGTAAAACTATAGTATAGATTTTGAGTTAGGTTCTAGTTATGATTTAGTCTAACTATTAAAGTTTAAATGAAGTTTTTTGTAGGAGAGAAATCTTTAAACTGTGGAGAATCTTACATTATAGAGCATGTACATTGTACAATTAAAGATTCATTGTTGATTGTGTTGAAAAATACAACAATACCGAGCTGAGTTCATCAGCGATCAAATTTCATATAAGCCGTTGATCAGAAAAATAATAATTCGAGTTCATTTCAGCGATTCTTCTAATTGAGTGGCGAACAAAGATATAATTTGTATGATTAGACTCAAATTTAATCGGTCGTGGAATTGACAAGCAATGAAGCATGCATGGTAGAACATAAAACCAATGGTAACACATCATATTAAAGTAATGAACAGTTTATTTCATGCACATCAAATATAATAATAGACAATAGTAGCATTGCTACTACTACTACTAGCAAACGGCAGGTGCTAAAGAGAATCCAGCTCTTTCAAACACTGCCCCCGTTTTGTATTAATACAATTACACATGCAGCATACCTTTAAAATATTATCAATGGTCTGATCCCCTTATTAAAATCTTGCTTGATATCACACTCAACACTCATCTAGGAGGAGGTAGCATTGTTACTTTTGACTCTGTTCCATTTTGAACGACAGTGTTTTGGGACAAAAAGGACAGGTCACGCAATAGAAATTGTCTTTTAAAGAGTCTTATTGAATTATCACCGCTCACGACAAGAAATGGAATGGTTTATATCAGATCTATGAGATTTTGATTTAATGGTGCCCCTGTACATTTTCCTTTTTTCCTTTTTGTCCTTGTCTCATTTACAGTTGCTCTGTCAAGTCGGACAATACTACCCCCTAATAATGTCTCTGCACCACCACAATTTCATAGTGCAATCTTAAATAAAAATATAGCAAAACTTCGAACAACAAACCATTTCAAGTTCAAACAAATCGAGATTTTCCCGGAAATTCGGTGGTTCACTGTTCTGAGTTTTAAAATATTACTTGACTTGATGAACAAGTTAATTGTGTGCGATAGCTAAGTCTATATCGAGTGTTCGTTGTTCAACCTTTCATGTAAGTAAAAACAAATAAATTAATCAAATCTATGTAAGTCTACAGCCAGCGTAGTGATGATAGAAAATGTGACTCATTTCCAACTTTTGGTTTGAGCAGCATTTTTGTTGGACAGCATGCTCTGAGCTCTGCTCATACCTCCGATTCTTGAAGGACCAGCCATACTCAACATGAGGTTATCGAGAGTATCCTCTAAAACTTCTAGGTCAGACTCTGTAAAATCATTTCCAGCAATATTTTCACAAGCTGGTGTTGGAGTAACCTTTGATTTAGGTTTCTTCAGTCGACCGTCAGCATCGACAAGACAAACTTTGGGGAGAGGCCCTCTGATGATTCCTTCAGGGAACTTTGAACTCAATACTTTAAGTCCACCCGACAACATAAACAAGTTGTCTACTCCCCGCTCAATCATCGTTGTGGAACACATATGGGCCAACTTCTCATCTTCATCATATACTATTATTATTTTACCATCTTTATTAATATAGTTCAACATTTCTTTTGTGAAACAATTCTGAGCCCGGGACAGCATAGCACTTGGATAATTCACAGCACCAATTATGTGACACAAATCATAAGCATCCTCTGTACGCACGTCTAGCAGAAGATAAGGTTTATCTGGTTTTTCACATAGAGTTTCTGGAACTTGAGGTTTCCTAGCATCATACTCTCCAATACCTCTGATGACGTCACTAAATCTTGAATCACAACTTCTGTCAGTGGCAAGGTGGTTCATCTGGACTGGGGGTTGGTGGAAGAGAATCATCGTCAGGTATGGGACTGAGACCAATTTGTTCTTCTGGGATGTAGTTTTCTACCTGTCAATAGTTTGAGTGAACATTGATGCAACTAAAATTGACTATATATCAACAAAATGTTGTTTTGAATAATCCTAACCCCTTCTGAACCAAACATTGCACGTTCCTTCTCTAAAAATCAATTGCAATTTCTGAATGAAACCTGTGAATTGCTATATATTTGGTTTATATATTTATGATAGTCGATACAATATATACTAATTGTGTTCTATTTCAGAATGTACCACAAAAATGTTGTCTGTGGGGTTTGATAATTGCTTAGTGCTTACTGGTGTTTCATTGCATTGTGATTCCTATAAAGTTAACAAAACCCACCTGATGTAGGTATATCAAATGATATTAATGAAGTGAAGAAGTATCAAAACATACTTTCGAACAACCCTTATTACACATACATTGTGACTGTAAAGTGTAAACTATAGAACTAAGTAGTACTACTATCTTAACTTACTTGTATAACAAGCTGAACAAAAGTAGAGACCTTCATCCGTTTGAATATCTCTCCTTGTTTGAACTTATAGTTGTTTTTAATATCGTCCATCTGAAATGTATTCAAATTAATCAAACTACCTCAAGCTTTGGTTACTATGACTATAAATATTATAGAAAATATTTTAAGCTAAAAAACAAAAGCCAATCAAAAATAAAATATTGTAGTTACTAGATAGCATACAATTACACAAACCTTTTGGTTATATTTAGACAAGCTAGACCCAGTATTTGTTCGACTGCTCACACCTCTATATCTTGGGTTCTGATGTATTTTCTTGTCCATGATTGAACCAGGCCGCCCCTTGTGTCCCGATGCTAATGACATGATGCAAACCTCTGAATCCTAAAGTTTTAGGGAATTAGTTTTGCAGGTTATTCAAAGTTGGGGCTCATGGTGAGATGAATAAAATACTTGTATAATTAGTGAACAGCATTGGCGTTAACAAGGGGAGGAGTTTAGTGGAGAGGAACATTGCAAAGACGTGAGAGGAAAAAATCGAGAGGAAAAAATAAGGTGCGAAACTTGGTCATAGGAGGAACACGATGGGAGGCATATGTAGAGAGTAAGTGCAATCAGCAGTACATTTGTAATGAAGGGAGTTATACATTAAGGGGAGACATTGCTGAGGACAAGATGGTGGAATTTAATAAAAGCAAACATGAAATTTGTCTAGTACTTTAGTTACGGTTTACAAAATGTTTCCACATTTAAAAGATTATTTTGCAAAAGTTATGTCAAAGGCACTAACAGCACTGTAATCTGTAGATCAGTACTTAGATTCAAGGAGAAGATGCGAGTAATTGCACCAAGAAAACCATCCCATGCACATGTGCATGGGCTGTGTGTGATCTGATACTTCTTAATCCTGATAAAATTCTAATTGTACAGTATAAGTATCAAATCACTTCTGTCTCTCAGGGATAATGAAAGAAAATAGTGAACGATTTAAGAGCAAGTCATAGTCCAGTAAGCAGGATAATACAGACGTGCTAATTTATTCGTTATTTAAATCTATAAAACCCTCAAAGTCTCCTAGTTTAGAAGATACCCATCCTTCAGTTTGAAAATTCTTTTTCTGTGAGAAGATCTCTCCTTTTCAAGGAACATGAACAGTGCCCTAATATAATAGATGGTCATATACCTCAAGGCCTGGACAACGGCCTCCATTACAGGGTGAGAATCCTTGTCAGGTTTGCTGGTTCTTCCAGGGCTCATAGCTATGTCTGACCGCATTGCACTGTGTGGCGAGTCAGCATTAGTGTCAATAAAAGAATCTTACTTCCATCCTGTGCGGTATATGGATAGCTCTACTAGAGAACCAATACCTGCAACATGCCGCCGTGGGCTTTTCACGACCTCCAATACACCTACTCTGATAGTGGCCAGCTAATCGGCTTAGTAGTTAGTGTAAAAACTGGCAAAACTGGCAAACCGTTCTGCAACTCAACAAGACTCTGATAATGCATCGCTGATTGCCCTACGTGAAACACCTGTATTCCAAGGCACTGTTTTACTCACAACTCAAGTACACAATCTGCCCAGCACCACCATCGCACAAAAACGCTGGCCATTGCATGAGAGCCTTTGAACAAGTCTCACAACTCTTTTAGTACGGTCGCAGAATGAGGCCACTAAAATGCAATGTTAACATGTTTTAGTTGGAAATTCCTGCACATTACATGCAGCTGTGCATGCAAGATCAAGAAGTTTGGGAAAAATAATGCAGTTCACGGAATTTCGATTAAAAATCACCCAAAATATAAAATAGTAAACTCAATTGCTAAATTTCCAATAATATTTTATTTGGTACACGCTGTTTTGATTGCTGTTTTGAATTGTGTTTACATGGGATGCAGGCTAGGTGATTATTTTATATTACACATAAAATATATAGCGTTTGGTGGTCATGTAACATTAAATCACCAAGCATCAAGTGTGCTTGATGCCATTTTCAATCGCAGACCATGGTCGCTTATTGTATTTAAAGTGCTTAATGAAATATTACTTTACGACATTGCTTACAATTTGTTTCCAGTCATAAATCTACCATACATTCATCAGGCCAAAAAAGTGTTAAGCTTATTTTCGCGTTAATGATGCTTACAGAAATCACATCTACAGTTCGTAAGTTCTCGACACGTAGATACCTATTTTGCGTTTCTTTAAGAGTAGTGATACTGCAAAACGCACTTCTGTAGACTTGTCAACTGTGAATGCCCAGGAAACTTACTGTATAGGGCATGCTTCTTATAAACTTCGTACATAATTAAAAGAATAAAACGCTGGCATTTGTCTGAAGCTTTGAAAAGTTCCCTTGTAAATGCAATGTTAACTGTTTTCATTGGGAAATTATTACAAGCATGAAGATAGAGTTTTGAATATCGCACAATCATATTTTCAGCACAAATATAAATGCCACAAATTTAACTTTGCAGTGTGTTGATTGCTGCGCGACGCTTTTTTCGAGTTTCTTACACAGGAGAGCTTACCTGAGGACCCCAGGCTTTAATGTTGTTAAACAACATTAGAGTTGTTAAACAACGAATAGAGATTAGGCGGAATGACAGGCTGAGCGCGGCCCAGTAAAGGAGAGCTGGAGATCAACACTCATATCAACAGTCAACAGCTAAAAGCGAGCAATAAACTAGCAAGCAGAGCTAGAGTAAAAAGGCAAATATGCAATATGCATACTTTAATTAATATTGTATTTGTGGTGCACCACATTTTAAAAACTTTTGATATAATTGTTGTTGCAAATCGTTGTTTTCTTGAAAATTCTTGTTTTCTTGAATTACAATGCGCGGTTCAATTATGCGCGCGGAGTGAATAAATATCGAAATAATTTAATTTAAACATAAAAAACTTCAATTTTTTTATAAAAACAAATTTTTGTTCATATAAGCTCAAAATTAAATTTGTTTGCAAAAGTGTTAAATGGCTATAAAATTGTTTAAAAAGCCAGTTTTTATTTAACATAAATGATAAATTTGTTTTTCCTTGATTCACGATGTCAATCTTTCGCATTTCACTGATGATTTGCATACGAGAAAATGCGCGGCGCGACCCAGTAGTGCATTGCGCTACAATTTTTTCCCTTTTTGCATTTGGCAAAGGCCTTTATTGCATAAAATAAAATATAGTTATAACCAATAGCGCACGATGCACTGTCAATTAATTGAAATGGGCCGCGCGGAACATCCAATTATACTTTCCGCAACCATCACTTTTTCAAATCGGCAAAATGCACCACTGGGTCACGCTTGCAGCTTGTTTTATTTAAAGTTTTTGCGCTTGTGAAATGGAAATATTATTTTTTATACGGAACATTAACTGAAATAAATGATTCCAGTTTCATAAACAAAATCTTTAACAGATTCACTATTCTTCACCCAAAACAAATTTAAGCAATTTTCCCTTTTAATGATCATGCCAATATAACGGAAAAGTCAGATCAGTCTGTTACTAGTTTTTTATACGATTCCTCGACACGAGATACATTTTGCGTTTTGTCTTAAGAGAGAAGTAGAGTTGAATTACGCTTTTATTTAGACTTTTTGTCCGGATGTAGTACATGCACCGATCTTCGGTAAAGGAGGACATGGCCAATTATCTTAAGTATAAATTTGTGGACATTTGGTTTTTAAAAAATAAATTTGTGGACATTTGTCCTTTGAAAGCATTTGAAATAGTTTCCCCTGTAATGTAATGCACCAGTGTTATTTTTCACTTGTGGTTTATTATATCAGCATGAAGTATTGAGCAGTCTAACACGCCACATCAATTTTCCACAAATTTCCACAAATACTGTTGTGTTGCATTTTGTGTTGCAATTTGTGTTGCAATTTGTGTTGCAATTTGTGTTGCAATTTGATAACTCTAATGGTTACCATTCCCTTATTACTTTTTTCAATCGAAAGTTTTGGTTTACCTCATGAGCGAATCCAGATCAAGGACACCAAAACAGCTGTGACCATGGTGAATTTATTGAAACAATATACTGCCTTTAAAAAAAAAAAATTAATGAAAGAAATGTCAAACAGTATATATACAATAAATTAAATCAAGTGATGCAATTGGCAGAGCACAATCGTAAATCCTGAGCAATAGATATCATCTATCCCTCGTAGCTCTTCTCCTCAGGTATCAGGTCGAAGGAGACATTGGATATTGGGGCAGTCCATGCCTTCTTTGCCTTTCCACGTACACCTCTAACTGCTACTAGCACACTCCTCATTATATCCATGCTCAGGTGTGTCCTGATGTTACACATCACAATATACTGCCTAATTTCCAAGTGCATGGATTCCGAATTAAGTGCCTTATCATTTAGTTTCAGTTTAACAATCCATTTTATAGTTTTTCTGAGCATGAGAAACAGAGGACTAGCACGATGAGGTCAAGTAGAACAGTGAAAAATCAAAGAGAATTCAATAGTTGCAATGAAATCTATGTTAAAAGTAGTTACCCATTTTCTAGATTCAACAGCCGCAACATGAACAAGACTGGAAACCATAATAATAACCCTAAACAGAGCCCTTAATCTTTCAAAAACATTTTGTCGAGCTGGTTATGTAGCCACTATAACTGCTGTCATACATGCTGGAATCTGCAATTATGTTTGAGGTTGTCCAAGCTTAAGTCCACTTTTTCCAAACGAAGTTGACCACAGTGTTTCACTTTCTGACCCTATTTGCCAAATCTAGTACAGGTAGCGGTCATGGTGAGGCTATAACCGATTCCAACCTTAAAATGTGATGCATCTTTCCTGTTGTTAACTTTCAGTTTCGCACTGTTTTGTGCAGTTAGCCTTTTTGTTTTTTTCCAGATCTGGTTGACAGCCATATTCAACACCAACAGGATTGAAAACAGGATGAAAAACTAGGAATGTAACCTTGTTTTTAGTTCTACATATATTTGTGGATCAAAAAAATCTTGTTAAACTTTAAGGTTCCAATATCTCGCATGATTTTTAAAGTACAATAACATCAAAGTTTATCAATGATAATTATCATCTTCCTATCAATATGACTAGTACCTGTAAAAATTCCTGTGTCACTATTATAATGGTATAATTTTATCACTAAATATTTCAAATACTTACTGAAGTTTTACCATAGCCTCACAGTAACCATTATGAACTGACAAGATAAGAGTTTGGATTCACACTAATTTACTATGCCTGGAAGAGAGATCAGTACCTTTATAGCAGCTGGAAGGTTCAGCTTGGTCAAGAAAATTGGAAGTGGCTCATTTGGAGAAATATACCTTGCTATCGATTTGAAGACTGGACAGGTAAGCTATATTAAAACACTCAAGGATATCTTGGTGTAAATGTATGATAACCATCTAATATACTATTTGTAAGTCTTCAAGTATTGAAGTCTTACAGATGTTTTTCATTGTTTTGTGCACAAGTGAACACGACACTGCATTATTGATTCTTAGTCCAAAACCGTGATACCTGCCGTCATAAAGTTTTTTTTCTTCACTGTCATAAAGTATATATAGTGAGGGACCAGGTTGTTAGGTGTATTGATATTCCAATTATTATGCAAAACTTTAAACTTTGTTTAAACTTTCAGGAGTTTGCAGCAAAATTAGAAGCTGCCAACGCAAAACACCCACAACTTAACTTTGAAGCCAGACTCTACCGCACTTTGTCTGGTGGAAAGGGTATTCCCTCGATCAGATGGCATGGACATGAAGGAAACTACAATGTCCTTATTATTGAACTTCTTGGTCATTCCCTTGAGGAGCTATTTAACATGTGTGGCAGACAATTCAGGTGAATATTTAATAGGAGCTGAAGTTTAACTCATTGTCATCTGCTACCAACAAATTATCGTATGATTAATACAGAACTGAATATTAATTATTCTTACAGTGGTGGGTTGAGATTCTTTCCATTTATGGTAACTGCAATAGAGCGGACTTCGATTAAAATTCTATATTTGATAACTACTTAATCAATAAAGTTGTACTTATGTAATTTTCAGTATTACTGAATCATGTTAAAATATAATTACAATTTTTGTTCTCAGTATCAAGACGACTGTGATGTTGGCTGATCAGATGGTTTCCCGCATTGAATATATTCACAGCAAAAATTTCTTACATCGAGACATTAAACCAGATAACTTCCTCATGGGATTCGACAAAAATGCCAAAACGGTAAGCAACCCGCAACCATTAAACTGTTCTTCATTTATTACCATTATTTTAAATTTGAATAAAGAACTGCTGATATAATACCCAGTACATTGTGGAATGTCGTTATCTTCACACTAATTCAAATTGAAACCGCTTCATTTTAATTAACATGAACATTTTAGGTTTATCTGATAGATTTTGGTCTTGCCAAAAAGTACAGAATGGGAAAAAACCGAACGCACATTCCGTATCGAGACGGTAAAAGTCTGACAGGAACTGCCCGTTATGCTAGTACTAACGCTCACATTGGTATCGAACAGAGGTATGACATATTTATGTCCATTCTTTTTCAGATAATTTCTTCATTACATTGAACAGAGAGGGAAATGCAGTGTGCATTCTTTTTCAGAAAAATGTATACATTTGTCAGCATCATCAAGTAACCCGATTAGAGTTATACGATACTTTCCGTCTCAACCTATCGGTAGAATTCAAACAAGTTGTAATGATAAAAATACCATTCTTGGCTCCAGACAAAACACTAATCACCGGTATTTCAGCCGGAGAGACGATTTGGAGTCGCTCGGGTACGTGATGTTATACTTTAGCAAAGGCAGTTTACCTTGGCAGGGGCTCCGTGCCAACAACAAGAAACAAAAATACGAGAAAATCTGCGAGAGGAAAAAGCAGTACACGCCACAGATGCTCTGTAAGGTATGTGCACTTCATTATTTTCTAACAGTACTGAACCTCCAATGTTTCAAAGGAGATCCAGGATTATTTCGACTACCATACTATTTCAGTTAGCTGCATTTTTCTTTCCACATTTTATTATTGTATTTGTCTTATCTTATCAAGAATTCCGTTTATCTATCGACATTTCCTCACAGGACGTACCCCAAGAATTTGAAGCATTTTTAAACTACGTAAAGAAGTTGAAGTTTGAAGAAACTCCAAACTATGTGTACCTCCACCACTTGTTAAGATCGGTGAGTAAAACATAACTTCTACCAACTCTAAACGTAACTCTACTCCAGTGTTTCATAGCACTCATAATTACAGCTTCTTCGCGGGTGTGCTTCAGTAGGCCAGCTTGATAGTACGTTCAACTAAATACTTGCTGACGTGGCTCCCCCTATAACAAATTCCCAACCCCCATATCCTGGCATGCTTTAAAAATCTACACCCACCCGTTTAAAAGTCTTCCTCCAAATAGGGCTCGTATATTATAACGGCAGGTGATTGACTGGCCTTGTAAAAGATATCGTATAAAATATCTATTGTGACGTGTGAACTCTCTGCCTTTGCGCCGAATAATAAACGATTTTACAGCAATCAGACAAAGAAGGGTGATAAAATTAGTAAATTGTTGCAGAGCGTAGTTTTATAAGTTATGTCGTCGTTTAAATTTGCAAGCAGTAATTCAGTTGAATATATTTTTAGTAACTATCGGGCATTTAAACTATAAGGATATAAGTATCAAATTGCAAATTTTTTAAAAGATTGAGGTAATGTCCACGAAGGAAATGCATTTCGTGGAAAATAGGAGTTATTTTGAGATCTTATTCTGTGTACTAGCAATATCTTTGTAACCCGATAGAAATATCCCAATTCACAACTGTAGTTTGCAAAATATGTAGAACTAACATAAAATTCAACGGTATTATAATGAAACATTATAAGTTGGTCTAATGAAAATAAATTTAGAATCGCTCCGACAATATTTTAAATACCACAGCGACTCCGAAAATACAAGTCTGTAGGAGACTGAGGGGGAACAATACTCTCTGTGATAATTGTCGTAATTAAACCGTTATATGAGAACCCTCCGTGTCTGCAATAAGTCGTGACCATATCTTATTCTGTATGAAAGTGTTCATGCTAATTAGAGTGTGTTGCCTGATTATTAGATTATAACGGGGACTATATTCCTTATTGATTTATTTTAAATATATTATTTATATTCAATAAACCTTGTCTTTCTCCCGTTAATAACACTTAATAACACTTAATTAATAACACTTAATTAATAACACTTAATTAATAACACTTAATTAATAATACTTAATTAAAAGCACTTAGTTAATAACACTTAATGACCCACCAGGTGCTACGACACTTCGATTTCATGTTCGACTACGTGTACGACTGGGTGCCCAACTCCAAGCAACAAGTGGTAACATCTCCCACAAAGAGAGAAAGTGGAGTTGGAGCCACCAGTCCCACGCCCCGAGAAGAGGCTGCTACATCAGCTAAACCAACCCCACCCAGATCCCCAGTTACGCTGGACACACGCCACATTGCATCAGTAAGTTATGCAGTACAATATACTATTACTTATTACTAATTATATACAATATTACAAGTACATTAAGTTGAAGTCGTTAGTTTTATGTTGTGTAATGTTTTGATCCAAAATATTTATATTGGAGACATGACCTGGACTCAACAAATTATACTATCAGTATTTCGTAATAAGTTAGTAATTGTTGGTGTGTATGTAATTGAGACTGGTCCTGTTGTACTCAACCAGTCCCGTTTCTTGGCTCTTGCTTTAATGAGAATACACACGTACAGTTTAATTCGTAATAATATAACAAAATCTGTGTGCAATTAGCGATCCGCGTCGAGGCAACTTTATTTATTAAATAAATATTTAAAATGTTGGTGAAAGTATAAGAGTAGCAGTGCCTCCCTCGAGAGATTTTAATTAATAGTATCACTTATTATTGTCGGATAATATCGTTAATCTCTACTTGGCACGATAAGAAAAGAAGAGACGTTCACCAATTATAGCTGTCTTATTATTATATCTAATTTCTCGATTTGATAAGAATTAAGATTAGTTCAAATTCCCAGTGCTACTTGATAAGGATGATCCAAATTCCCAAGAACTATTTAATGTCTCAGATAACATCCCGATGAAATTTAATTAAAACCTCCATAATATGGATATTAGCCTCTACACCGTATATATGGGTATCCGGAAATTGATAAGTTAGCATAATCCAAAGAGGCAGTTAGACTCAACGATCTCATCATCACGTGGAGTGAGCCATGGTAAAGAAATGAAAGCGACCATCGTTGAGGGTTTCGCCCTATTTCTGAAGTCAGGCCTCTAGAAAATAGCTTGACCGCAGACTGTACTTTTCTATTAAATATACGGACATTCCAATCTCAATATATGCCTGGGTTTATGAGCCAGACAAGCTTCACAAATATTAGACCTCACTAAAACAGGGGAAACAGGGTTAAGTACAGGTTTTTATTGGTTCAAGACATCAATACCTAGTAGTGGCCACCAGGCTACTTAAACTTACATTGCATACATACTTCACATTTCTCTTTGTTGTACATTCTTCCTATCTGCGACTAGCGGCGCTATAACAACTCACTCTTCACACACACACGTCATGTTTAGTGTTTACTACACAGATCATCTGAGAAATAGCTTAATTAAAACTTGAATGTACAATTTTGTAAAAAGTATTTTTAACTATAATCAAATGTAACTTACATACCCCGTGTAACCAGTAGCACTGGCAAATACCCAAGTTTCTATCAAAAGAACCCCTACAAAAGTTAATCTCACCTCATTACCTCATTACCTGTTATCTTATCTCCTCGTTACCCTCCAGGAAGAACCCACGACCAAGACCCGAACCGAGTCAAGACTGCGTTTCTGGAACTTTTCCGACTGGAAAGCCAGATTAAAACGAACAGCTCACTGATGTGTCACTACAGTGTTTATTTATGCTGAATAGTCACGTGATCAAGGTGTTGTTACCTGGGAACTGGTGCTATTTCAGTATAAATGTACATTTATTTTGCTAAAGTTCGTTCGAAGCGTATTTGTTGTTCACACGCCGATTAAAGAGATTGATTACAATAAAGACATAATACGAGAGGAGAAGACTACTAAAAAAGGATTGAAAGACCTTTTCAAAACCACTGGATTTAATTGTCGTTATAATTTTCTATATATAAATTGTTTATTTTGCCTTTATATTAAAGTTATTTTGCAAGCGTTTAATTGATATGTCTGTCAACGTGACTTGGTTAAAGCTGCCGATTCTATATTTAAGAAGCGACTATACTCCACAGTAGATAATACTATATATTCGTGAACACATCGCACGTTAAAATTTACCATGTGTGGAGTAGTAGTGATGCATGTCTAAATTGTGGTTTGATATCAAGCAACTTTTGCAGCTCTTATATCGGAGAATTTAAGGGCATGATCGCCTGGTTTTTCAGTTGTTTTTATATATAATGCGATGTATTATTATAATGGAGAACGCGAAGAGTGAATTATCGTAACATCATCATGGGGTTTATAAACGAGTTTAGGATTATAATTGATTGACTATTATTAATTGTATGGGGTCGGATCTGATCTTGTAACATCCGGTATCTGATGGTTCCACTAGATAAACACACTGTATCGTATGAGTAGCATCTTGTTTTATGTGCAGAAATAGAATTGTTCGTTGCCAAGGCGTTGCTTCCTGCTGATTAATTATGTTCTGTTTTAAAGTCGTTTTATATGTCCAATGAGGCGATTGTTGGTTGAAAGCAATCTTAATGTTAACGTGTTAACTCCAAAATATAATTTATATTCAATTAAAAGAACTCGGGCAATGTTAACTGATGCTGAGTTAAAAGTTAAAAGTTAAACTGTTAAAGTGTTATACATTATATCCATTAATAGATGGTACAAATGATTAATCACTGTGGAGCATGATTTCCCCTTCAAGACTTCTTAAAAGCTGGCAGGATTCCCGAAATTCCCAGAATTCCCAGTACTTTTAACATGATATGTGTCTAATAAGGCGGAGAGTGCTGCCAGTGATATTAAACTATCAGCCAGTCCTCTACCACCGGTGTTTGAACTCTATATTTAATTATAACATGTGTAGTTGCTACCCAAGGGAAAATTTGATCTTAATAAACGATAAAGAATCATCTAGTTTCACTTTTAATCTTAACTTTCTACTACCGTAATTTAACCAGTATCCCACGTCAGATTCGACGAATGCACGAGGACTAAATGTAACATTTTTCCCGTGTGAACAAACGAGTTATTAGGTAATACGTTACATTGCTAAATCGGATGGTATATTTTTTGCTAACTGTTACAAACATAATATGGTGTATTTATATCCCTCAACAGATTTTGATAGCTTAACGAGTTAAAACTTAAAAATAACGTAATACGAAGTCTAGACTTTAGATGAACACACACACATGCGTATAAATATTATGGAGTAATGATAAGGTTGACTGACATGAATAAGACATAATAATGAAATACATATTATATTTCATGCAATATCTGTATGAATATGCCATACACAGACTAACACTGCATTATATTGGTGAATATCGCATAATGATACATGTGAGTGTAAGACTACTCAAATAGAGTCATTGTGAGACACCACACTGTCATGGGCACTTACTTCACCATCCTTTACTATGGAGCCGTTTTTACGGAACCATCTTTCTTCAGTCAATGAACTGGTTAACAATAACAGGATATGCGTAGAAAAGACATTTTTTAAGCCAATCTTTCGCCAACTTCGACATCTCGTCTCATCAGTAATATAATAAGTTTTTTTCTCAAATGCATCCATCACACAAATGACATTGTCACTGACATTTTTAGAAAATAAGAAATTCCTTGCTACTGCTAGCGAAATGTTTCATGAGGCGTCAGACAGTCAGTTATCTAGTTATTTAGTTAGTCAATACTGGAGTCATGCGGACCACATCGTCTGGAGATGTATTGACTTTGCTGCAAAGCCAGATCATGTGTGCTCACATCCACTGCAAAAGCACAGTGCACGTACATGTCATATTTTTAAAGCAAATTATAAAATTTGAATATATTCATTAAAATTTGACGCAACTGGAGATTGCAGTTTGTCGCTAGTATTTAGTGGATTAATATTTAAATAATGAAATCGTTATGCTCCTGTAATGTTAATGAAGAGCAGGTTGTCAAATATCATGGGCATTATATGCTTTATATTTTATAATCTAAGAAAATAAATAAAACCTTCACATATTATTATTATGTTTTATGTCCTAAAAAACAACCGATAACACTGATGGAAAATATTTCATATTTGTCTCAAATTCCCGGTATCAAATTTTTATTACTTGTACGAGAGTTGTACTCCAAATTTTGTTTTGAGCAGCGGGTATCTATTTTGGGCGATTGATTCACTGCCAAACCTTGCTGCAAACATTCCCTGAGCCCTGTGTTATATCATGCATCATGAGATTAATAAAGCACTGTGATAATAAACCACACGTTGAGGTCACGTGTTTCAGAGGATGATAGCTTCTGAAATAACCAATATTAGGGTTATAAGAGGGACAAACAGTTTTAATTTCAACGATAATTTAATCCTTGAAAAGAGTCTTCTAGCACCTATGGCAATGTTCAGTAAATTCTGACAACGATTAGTAGATTCTAGAATAGAACAGAATATAATAGAAGTTCATTATCCTACTGCAATCACTATTTATATAATAATATAATAATATGTTATACATTCTTCATTGTTGGTTGCTCAGCAGCCCAAGTTTAGCACTTGAGTAGGGAAAGTGAAGACAGTTTCCAGGCAATTCTGACAACGATCAGTAGATTCTAGAATAGAACAGAATATAATAGAAGTTCATTATCATACTGCAATCACTATTTATATAATATATTATACATTCTTCATTGTTGGTTGCTCAGCAGCCCAAGTTTAGCACTTGAGTAGGGAAGACAGTTTGGGCATCTTTGCCAACTTTATCCATACCATTATCACACAACATGTATACACTTTTATCCTGGACCTCACACGGAGTGGTGTTGTATTTCAAGTGTTCTGGACTATTCTACTCAGAATGGATGAGTAAACACAGTTCTTAATTTCTTCAATTAGATATATTTAACTTAACCTAAGTAATTAATTTAATTCATGAATTGCTGTAACTTCCCACATTAGACATAATATAAATTCCTCATTAAAATTTAAATTCCTGAATGGTCCATTTAACTTTAATGCATGGATTATCATGGCTTTATAATTCCTTATTTCGTAAATTGTATCTCATTGATCAGCTTTTTAAACTTTAAGTGTTGCAAATCAAAATAATACATTGTTCATGATTCCAAAGTTGGAAGTTTAAAGTTCCTTAGCCTTTACAACAGAACCAAGTGGTACTCTCAACTCTCACAACTCTCTCTCTCTCTCTGTTCACTCACAACATCCCAGCTCTAAAGGGAGGAGCTGATCACGTGGTCCCTGATCACGTGGTCTCTTGTTGATAGTCACTGAACAGTCCTCTAATCACATGTCACGTTCTACTTTACCACTGCAACACTACTTTAAAGTCTTCCAACACACCTTCCAATACACTGTGTGTGTGTGTGTGTACACTGTACGTGTGTGTGTGTTACGTACTATGGAGATGTTGAACATGTCGACGACCTCTCACTTGTTGAACTGTCACGAGGTAAGACTTAAAACATCCTCTCTCTCTCTCTCTCTCTCTCTCTCACTCTCTCTCTCTCACTCCCTAGTCCTCATATATGACATGTTGATCAAGCGGTGGGGCGCCGACACACTTCAAGTAGGAGCTATCATCATGAGAGTTGCCTGGTACAGGATCACACTAGTTGGCTCATTATCAGACAATGTTTACACTCCCCCACACCCACAATTACTGTGCTGACGCCAAACAATAAGGGGTTCCAGCACATTTCACGTGTTGTGTCGGAGATGTGCTGTATATTGGGTGTTGAAAAGAAGGCGGGCCCTTTCATTGCAAGTTCCATTTGCTATATAATATAATATAGTTATATAACACAGGCACACCTACTACAGTCTCAAGACATGTTCTCCTCCTCCTCATCATACTTTTATTAGCTGTCGGTGCTACATGTAACATTCCCAAACATGGTCCTCCGGATCCAGGCTAGAATGTTGTTATTGGTATCCCGTGGTATTACTAGCTGTCAGGAACCAGGACCCGGTAAATGTACTTTATTATTAGATAGGTGGTGAGTCTGCCTCTCCTCTAGTTTGATGATTTAATATGTACATATTATTACTTTATTTTGATGATGAGATCATTCAGTTTTTTGCTCAAACATAATAAATATTTATAAATCTAACAATACACCCACTCTGATCATTGGTAACAACACTGGAAAATATGTCTGTAATTCCGTAAATTCCTGCGTAATTATTGTTGCAATTGAAATTGTGTGATCGATACAAAGCTAGCACAGTGTACATTGCAACAAGTAACCCACACTGCATGTATAATTCAATATGTAGCCGGAACTTCTCCCGTCTGCTCTACAACTACAATGTAGTTGTTGTGTTGTATGCCGGCCGGATTACAGCAAAGCTTCCTCTAATTCTCCTTCAATTATAGCATTGCCAATGGCTCGCATTCCCCAGCTCAAGACCTGTTCTGCCAGGAATTACCTGCCCGAATTTTAGAAATTCTGTAATTTTAGAAATTCTGTAATTTTAGAAATTCTGTAATTTTAGAAATTCTGTAATTTTGGAGAATACAGGGTCATGATTAGACTTTACTCTCCCTGATCTGGGAAAATATGATGACATCACGTAGCTTCCAGCAGGAGAATAGAGCTTGAACACTGGGTGGTTATTTGAAAATACTGTGATTCGACCTGAGCTGCTGTGGCCTTCCCATTCTTGCACTCAAGAGTTGTATTCATGAGGTCCAGCCCAGTTCAGTAATTAAAATAATAGCTGACACAGTGACTACTGACTACTGACTAGTGAGATTAGCCCCTGAATAACCACTCTGGTTCTCGTCTGTAAGCTGTCTACAAATACCTGCTCAGTACGGAGTATCATATCTACAAAGGGCCACGTTTGAACAGTACGAGGTACTACATCAGTACGAGGTACTATATCAGTGGACAGTGGTGGTCGCCACTTCCCTTACATTCGCATCATGCACTTTTAAATTTCAAGTGGACATCCTACGTGGGAAATACTTGTGATTACGCATTATGGGCTTGATAATATAAACTCACTAACTCGCTACACAAGATATTATTTGCTCAGTTTAGCTGTTAAAAGAGAGCCGGCTTAAAAGAAAAGACATTTAAAATATGACTCATGTTCATTACCGCGGGTAAGCGCTTACCAATATCAGGTACACATCCGTTGTATCGCTAACGCAATGTCTTAATGGCACATTATTCCGGCGATAAAGGAACATGTGACTCGTTGTGCCACGGACCACGGACCACCGTATAATCATCTCTGATAGTGGTAATCTGGTAAACACGATTATACAATCTCGACAACATCTCTCTACAGTTTTTGACAGGCAATCGAGGGGAACTTCCTCGAGATTCAAGTGGTTCCTGCATAACGTCATAATGCAAAAATTGGGTATTTTGGTACATAAATTGACGCAAAACGGGATCTCTATTACTCTTGTCAGATGTCAAAGAGAGTGGCGTAATTACCGGCGTGTTTACTAGATTTAATGATCGTGCCGTGCCGTGCACACAACGTTACGATTGTGGTTTGCTCCAAATATTTATATATTATGCAGTGCATGGGATTAAATGGAGAACAGAGAACTGTCCCATGAGCAAGGTGGGTCTGGCACACCTGTACGTACCAAGCAAGGTGGTTACTTGAGCGGGCAGTATTATTTTTAGAGTTTTGCATAGTAGCAATTACTATGAGACAGAATGTACCGTACATTGCACGGTACCTTGCACGGCACTTTGCGCGGCACTTTGCACGGTACCTTGCACGGCATTTTGCACGGCACTTTGTACTTGGGTTATCATGAACACAACACCAAACAGCTGCATCCTCGTGATCACCAATATTACCCCTGATCATATCACTGATTACACCAAATCATTCTCATGATCACCCTCAGTGACGTGATGAGGTATT